CAAGTTTTACATGATTAAATGAGGTTTCATGAAGTTTAAATTTTATGCATAGCTGTGACAACAAATGGACTGTTGTCAAGTCATTGAAAAGAATCATTGGATGGTGTAATATGCAAGATATAAAAGGGGACTTGAAGCCTGAATTAAAATCAAATGAAAAGAAAATGAAAAATATGAGACCTATAATGGCCAACATGGTCTTCCAAGGTGCTTACAAAAGAAATTTACATCCTTGAATGCCTAAAAGAAATTGAATCCAACTACTAAAGTTGTTAACGACTATCACACAATAGTTGCTTCTACATCTTCAAGTGAAGGAAGTTACAAGAAAATCTATAAGACTTTCTTATTTTGATCTTATTATTTGGTTTCTTGGTGCCAAGAAATCTAGTATAGGATTATTGAGGTTGTTACATCTAATGGAGACCTACTAAAGCTATACTAATCAATGAATAGTCTTGATATGACCTTTCTTTCAAGTGGATGGAATTGCCAAAACCTTTATGTTTAGTAAATAGGCTTGTTGAGACCTTTGTTTAGTGGATATGTTTCTTGAGACCTTTATGTTTGCATTCAGTGTACAAGCCTTGATATTTAGTGTAGTTTATAAATAATTAAGTAGAACCTAGGGACAATATTTCAAGAGTGAAGTATGGGCCAAATCACTATAACTTGTGGGTTTGAATTACAAAAACTATACATAGAAATGAAACCAAAAAAGCTATACATCCCTTGCCTATACAAAAAAGCTATACACCATCTTTAAAACCAACACTTTGTATGTGCGAATTTTGACTTTACTATTAACAAGTGTGAATTATGTCACATTGAAGAAAAAAGATGTATATCCACATTAAGAAAAAAAGTCTCAACAATTCAGCCCTATGAACAAGAAAAAATGGAATAAATAAAGAACAAATATCATGACCAATAAAATGATTATACAATCATGCTACATGGTTTACCACTTGTAATCCTAGATAAATGTAAAAATTTTGGAATATAGGAAAGGAGTATTTAAAAGTTTCCAATGACCATATTACAATATTTTCTGAAGTTTTCAATTCAAAGTTATAAATTGAGTAGTTTCTTTGTGTGTTAAGCATCTGTAAAAAAGTTGGAAATGACTAATTTGAGACTAAATTAAAACCACCATATTCTTCTACTCATATAAGTTAAATATTACTTGATCCATTACTTTAAAAATGTATTTTATTAAAAATATTTTGTGTATTTTTATCTCCCTTGTCCAAACTAATTCTTTAATGTTCACATCTACTAATTATTTTTTTGTGTCACTAGAGACTAGAAATTTGAATTTTACAAGCAATAAAATTTTAATAAAACCATTCAAAATAATTGAAGAGGTGAAATATTTTATAATAATAAACAATATGATTAAGAAAACTAGCACAAGAGTCAAATAAGGTATGCAAATTAGATAAAGAAACATCTTGGGACATCATTTTGAAAATCACAAAAATTGATATCCTGGGCATTGGAACATACATCAAAGGAAAACATGACAATAAATAATACATGTATAAATATTTACTTATTTTTACTTATATATTGCACTTTAAAGTTAACAATCATGTTAAACTATGAAACATAGAATATAATTCTAAAACTAAATACTCATTTGAAGGATATGATTGAATTAAAATAGAAAGCAATGTGAGCTCAAAATAGTGTTGGGTTATTTATTTGTGTTTTAGTATAACCAAAAATTTCTTTTTGGTGAAAATATCCAAAACCTTATTGTATTGGTTTTCAAACTATTTCTACAAATAGTACTACTTATAGATGGGAAAATAAGAGAAGATTTCAAATTTGATTTCTCTATAAGTACATCATGTTTTAATGTCCAATTGGAGCTGAAAAATCAACTCTAATCTTTCTATGATCTTGAGAGCTTGATTACTATTATTTGTAAAGAAATATGTGAGAAATTGTGAAGAATTTGATATTAGTTAAAGGACAAAAAGGTAAAGATTTAAGACACTATTTTCAAGCTATAAATGATCATTACCAACTAGATCAAAGAGGCACCAATTGTAAGCAAATGGTAGTAAAAATTGTACCTTATTCATTATTCTTTTCATCAAACTTCATGAAATATTTTAAGTTAACATTATCTTCTATACTGAAATTTTTTATATTATTTTTGAGATAAATATGCGATGAAATCTTCATTAAATCACTCAAGGGAGTTGCCAATTCATTAATAATTAGCCTCCTAGAACCTTTAATCTAGAAGAAAAGTTAGAGTAATATTTTTTAAAATATGAACTAAATGACCAATAGTTGTCATTGGACATTCTACCTTAATGGAACCCAAGAAAAATGATTATTATTTGAGAATGGACATAGGCAAGAGATTGAACTACAATAAAAATTCATTATTCTTATGCATATTTATCTACAAAAATTAAATTATTAAAGATTAATAAGAGACTAAGTAATCTTATCATGAGTTGATCAAAATTTAAGATTAGAAGTCAATCGAATTCAACCTCTCATTTAATTTTATTGTGGCCTTAAACCCCCAAACAATCTGCTAATCCATGCATTCATTTAATCATTTCCAACTTGTAGCCTACTTCATCAACCTAAAGGCCTCATATTATAGTGTGCCACAAAGTGTCAATGTGTACTACTATGACAAAGAGACAAATTGAGTTATATAGGCAGCCAATAACTAACCTTCATACTTCGTATGCTGATAGTTGGTGTTGTCCTCAATTAGGGTCTAGTATGGCCCACTTTTGATGCTTATATTTGGGTCTAAGCCAAGCTTAGGCCTTGGAATAGAGATCCATGCTCATGTGACAACAGTATGATGGGCATCAATGGACTAAGGTTAGCATTCTGAGTTACAGGCCCAAGCCCAAGAAAAGCACAGAACTAGTCAAGCGGTCATTCATTGAGCCCTTGATGTCAAATTACAATAAAGGCCCTAAAGCAGTAAGGTCCCCTGACACCCTTCACAAGAGCTGATGTTTTTGAAGTATATATATTTAGTTTAATATAGGTATATATTTAAAATTCATTTTTATAAATTGGTTTTTCCGATTGAAAATAGCTCAATTTTAACGTGGTAAATTAGGAGTTAAGGAAAGCAAGAGGCTTCTAGTGCCTTGTGAGGGCAGTTTCGGAAATAACCCTCATCATTGTGAAATTAAAAAGGGTGAAATGATGCGCGGCGAAAATACCACCCCCGCTTCCCCCCCTCTCCACCGCACAAAGAGGGAAAGCCGAGCCTCCCCCTCCACCGCCGCCGGAGCGAGCCGATCACACTTGGTGCGCTTCACTGCCCACGGAAGATGTGCGTTCCGCATAGGTGATAAAAATATTTAGCGGGTGGTTTTGTCGCCCTTGTATCTACTATTCTCCAGCGGGTACATTTCATGGCACTCGTCGCTATGCATGGTTACATTCACGTGACCGAGACGACGGGTTGAACCGCCGCCCGAGCTCCCATAAGCTCAGGGTATCCGAATAGTGTTCAGTCGGAAATAGCCCTTATTGGGTTACGTGGCGTGATAAGAAGACGATAAACACTGTACCTCTAGGTATAGAAGTACAGAGGAGGAACAGTGGTCTGCGGCCACGTACCCCACCCGGCGCAGATAGGAGGGGTCGGGGGAGTTGGAGAGAGAGGGGCGGCATCCCCTTCGGAACTCCAGTAAACCCGAGGCCCCCGGATAGCACAAAACTCCAGTATAGTATGTTTTATTTTACAGCCCACCCGAGGCCCCCGGATAGCACAAAACATCCCTACAATTCACGAAAGAAGCCGAAAATAACAGAGGAAAGACCATCGTTAGCCTCCTTCCCTCCCTCCCCCCCCCTCTCTCTCTCTCTCTCTCTCTCTCTCTCTCTCTCTCTCTCGCGTCAAGCAGTCTTCGCCGGCGTGGCACCGGGGACGGTCGCCGGGCCTGCAGTTTGCTGCCGCCAATGTCCCGCAACCTCCGTCCGATTGACGGCAATCGATTCCGACGAGAAGGACGGAAGTTAAATCCACCCTCTCCATCTTAGCCTCTTCTTTCTACCCCGCCCCCAACAGCCGCCGCCGCCGCCGCCGCCGCCGCCGCCATCGCCACCGCGCGTTGCGTCGTTTGTTTTCCTGCTGTCTCACACACGTCCTCGCTCCACCACCTTCGTCCTACCTCTCCCCCAAGAGGTACACTCGCTGCCCCTCCCGCTACCGTCTCTTCCGACCTTATAATCAGCGGGTCGTGCTGTTTCCGTCTCAGCCCGGACGTTTTTCTAGGAATTTTCTCGCTGGTTCGAGTTCCCTGCTTTCCGATTTAGGGTTGCCCCTTTCTTCTTTGTCCCCCCTTGTGTCCGTAGCTCTCCGGATTCGGCTGAGTCCCTATTCTCTTCTGCACGACTGCGCTTGCCGTCTCACTTTCTTACCCCGCCGATCCGTTTCTCTTCTGCTTGAGTTTTGTTAAGGTAGCGTTCGATCGATGGTGGACCGGACCATGGGATTGGATTGGGTCTTGCTACCTTCCTGGAGTGCTCTGTTCCGGTTCTGGCCTCGGTTTTCGTTGCCTGTCTGTGCTATACGGGGAACAGCTGTTCTTTTCAGTGTGAAACTGTTTGTTTTTCTTTGCATGCAGCCATTTACTCCTCGAGTCTTTGGAATTGACGTTTTGATCGAGAATCTTTGCTCTCCCCATATGCTTTTAGGTGTGGGTGAGTTTACAGGTTTGGTTTTTCTCCGTGGTTTCTATTATCTGGCTTTTTTATAAGCGCCTATTTGTCGTTGATGACTGTCAACCTCTATTTTTTCTGTAATTCATGGTTTTTGTAAGCAATTGAATTATGTTATCTTGAATCAGTGTCTCTCTCACGCAAATCTTCTACTTGGGTTGTTTTTCCTACTTTGCAGTCAGAAGGACATACATTCACCGGATCACCTTAATCACTATCATTTTAGTGTTGAAGTGACCGTCTGGAGTAGGCTTTCGTGGTTTTCCATGTGACAGAGGATGGCATTCTTCAGGAACTCAGGCTATGACTTAAATGAGAAAGCTGGGGAAAATGAAATGGAGGAAGCCTACGGTTCTGCAGGAAATGGTGACGGCGATACAAGTTCTAGTGATGAGAGTGATGTGAAGCTGGAGGACCAATACAGGAGCGAATCAGAGCAATTGAATTCTGTAAAGGTATTAGAGAATGAAACATCTGAAGTGAATGGTATTGGGAGAGGTGGAAGGAGAACGGCTCTTGTTGGAAAATGGGGTTCTTCATTTTGGAAGGATTGCCAACCAATGTGGAACCCAAAAGATGTAGAATCTGATTGCAGTAAAAGTGAACCGGTATCTGAGGGTGACTCCTCTGAAGAATATGATGCTCAGAAAGATGGTGATCATGTACAAGGAGCCCAAGTTGATGTTCTTGTGGATGAGATGCTATCTGATGAATACTACGAGCAGGATGGAGAAGACCAGAGTGATTATTTACCGTACAGAGAAGTCAAACGAAACGTCATGCCTGATCCAAGTTTACCATCCAAGCCAGTTTCTGCAAATAAGCTATCTAGGAATTCAAAGTCTGCCAATTGTGATAAATATAATTATGACGAAGATTATGAAGATGAAGATGAGGAGGAGGGTAATCCCATTGGCCATTTTCAACCGTTTTCCTTTTTATAACATTTGACGGAGAGTTTTCTTTCTTTTCTTTCTTCATTTCATTTGTTTCCTCTTAATGAGGTTCTTTTAGTCTTATATGTTCCAAGATTCATAACTGAAAAATAGAAACTGTATACCTTTTTCCCAAAGTTTTTTATAATCGTTTTGCAACATGAGCTTTTTATAGATAAATTTCTTTATTTTCAGTTGAAGAGAGAGTGGATATTTGAAAGATTCATTAAAAAGTATCTTTTAATGAAGAGAAACTTGGGAAGAGAAAAACGTAAACCATAATATCTTTGATCTCATGGATTATTTTACATATCTCAATCTTCCTCTTTTATCCTTGATCCAATTTTCTTCAAAAAGCTACCTCGTTTTTTGCTTCCAGGATTATCTGATCCTGACAAGCCTTGGTAACCCAGCCTAAGTCTACTTTCAATGCATGACTTATTACCACAAAAAAAATGAGATTTTCCTTTGTTTAAATGGAGTTGAGTCCATGAATTTGACTCAATTGAATCTACACTCTTTACTTGCTTTATGCACTGTGAGATCATTTCTTTAATATTAATGAGTCAGATTTAGATATCGTACTTGGGCAGCATGAGGATTTAATATAACCTGCTATGACGTTACTTGGTATTTTACTGATTTCCTTTCTTTTATAAGAACGAAACCTGAAAGAAGTATCATTTAATATTGGTGCAGAAGATGATCCTGATGATGCTGATTTTGAACCCACTTTTTCTGGCAAAAAGAAGGTACACATTCAGCTGCTAAAAAAAATTCTTTATCGCTTTGCTCCTTTCTCATTTTGATTTAATTCGTGTATGTGCTATGTTACTGAAATTTCTAAATCTGTTTTGGCCCTTGGATTATGGGGGTTGCATGATAAATTTATTTTTTTTGAAGTTTATGGGAAGTGATCTATCGTTTGGTACTATTTAAAAAAATGATACATGATATGACACCGACATTTACATTATTGATTTATAACTTTGTTTTTCTAATATTTTTTTCAAAACTATTTGACATATAATTTCTTTCTAATGATGTGCACGTATTTGTACTGACACCATTCCAATCTAGAGAATTTTTAAGAGATATGAGCGTTTCAAACTAATGTGAGAAGGTTGCCTCTGTGAAAGTATTCTTCTCTTTATGAGCTGTTGGTGTCATCTTCCACAGAAAGGTTCTCTGGCCTTTAGTCAAGAGAGTGGATTTGAACAATCTTAGGGTGCTGTTTTCACAATCAGTCAGGGCAAGCCCATAACCAGGCTATGTAAGTTTCTTCAAATTCTGCTGGTTTCTATCAAACTTGTCTACTTTAAAAGGTAGACGTTTGTTGCCACTGTAGAGATCAGCTAAATGATCATAGGATTTTTGGATTGGTTAAGGAGCAGCTTTGCTTTCGGATTGTACAGAGAGAACCCTAAACTCTTTGATTCATGTTACAAACTCATTTCATTCTTGGCACTAAATGGGAATGATGTCTTTGGGTGTTGGGAAGCTGCTGTGGTGGTGTGTGTTCTGCATCGGAAAGTTTGATTTCGAAGAGGCATGCAGAAGTCATAAGGGCTCAGTTTAGTTACACTGCCAATTGCAAGCGTATATTCACCTTGCTTGGAAAATGACAATTTGCTTTTGCTGATTTCCTAAACATTGCTGCTTAAAGGTAGGTAACTTGTTAGCAGGGGATCTGAATCACCTAGGAAGTCAAAACGATATAAACTATTTTTACTACTTTTTTCACAAACGCTTATTTAAGTTATCTCCGGTGATGCCTTGGTAACATGGCAATGTGAATACCCAAAGGATTCAAGTTGCCTGGGCAAAACGATACAAACTATTTTTACTACTTTTTTCACACGCTTATTTAAGTTATCTGCGGTGATGCCTTGGTAACATGGCAATGTGAATACCCAAATAATTCAAGTTGCCTGGGCGAGTTGCAATATTCACTCACAAACACTATGCAAATGGATCACATTCGTTCATTTGCATGTCATGTTTTTCTTGGTGGTAATATGTATGTAATATTTAATTCATATTATGTATTTTAAATAATAAACTATTTTTAATATAACAGAAAGTTAACTTTAAATAGAACGGATTGTTAGTGGCCCCTTTTTAGCATGTTTTATATATATGGCAACACTTTACATTTTTTTCTAAGTTTGGCATATGAAGATTTGCAGGAGGCCTGTCAAGAAATGAAAAGTCCAAATCTGGTTCTTGTTAAACTTAGAATTGACTGAAGTGAAATAGCTCTATCGTTCTATTGGGAGAATATTGTTCAATCGGACCATGCATAACAAAGGAAAAATCTAAATCAGAAGTTTTTGGAAGATCGATATTGTAGATGATGAAAGGTCGACATTGTAGATGCGGTCATATGAAATACAGAAGCACAATAGATTATTCAACGAGTCAAAGTTGGTCTTAGATACTGAAAGATTAAGTCTTATTCAGTCTTCAGGTTTTATTTAGAAGGCGGTGTTACTCTCTTTTTCATATGCCTATGGTTGACCTGAATTAAGAAACTTATGTGACAGGTTTCATTGTTGTGAATACCTACTAGGGGGGCTGATCTTGAGCAACCTGTTCATATCATCTTGTTTATATTCTCAGATAAGATTTTCTTTCAGGCTCCTGCAAGATCACCATTTGTCGGTTCCAAGTAGACCTAAGAAGTTGTACAGGTTAAAGAATCATTATTTGTGTCTTTTCAACAAGGAATCTTTTCTTGTACGGCTATCTTGATTGAATTTAATATCTTCCTGCAAGCACAACTTAATCTTTTCATTGTTTATTTTTTTAAAAAGATTTGCCCTGATTTTTAGTTCATTACCATGCTCGATGTTATCTTTGATATATATGATCTGAGCATAAATAACTTGCTTCCCAGACCCAGATTACCTCCAGTGCTACTTTTGTCAGTATCTGATTTTTAGAACTTGGAGCATATTTATTTTATGCATGAATGACTGATTGACTAATGATTGATTGACTGCTGAATGACAGGGTAATGTGTCAGAAAGTGATGGTCTTGAGGATGAAGAAGATGATGATGACTATCCTGATGCCTCAGATGACGATGATAGATATTTTAACAATAGTTGTCGTCGTGGCTGCCCACCACGTAAGGCTGGTCGCAGTTCAAAACCAACCAGAGAGAGTAAATCTATTCCTATTCAGAGTCGTAGAAAAACAGTTAAGACATCTTTTGAAGATGAATCATCTGATAAGAACTCAGAAGAAGATAGTTTTGAGGAATCTAATCTTAGAACTAAGAGGTCATCACGGTTTTCCATGAAGAGTGCTGATCAGGCAACTGTGAGTGCAAATCTATCTTCACATGGTAGGGAGCTTCGTACATCAAGTAGAGTAGTGAGGAAGGTATCATACGTGGAGAGTGAAGAAAGTGAAGAAATCGATGAAGACAAGACACTGAAGACTCAAAAGGTACGATAACTTTTTCATGCATCTTTGCCCATTTCTTGCCGCAGCATATACATTTCTTCTAATTTTTTTCAGGTTTCTATAGCAATCTTTATTATGTTAATGTGAATGTAATATGATGTATTGTAAGTTTTGAGAGGTTTTAATCCACATACTCTCCTTTTACTGTGTAACAAGTACTTGGGACTCCGTACCTAAAAGATAATCGTGCCACCTTCTGCAAATGCTATAGGCAAAGAGGCAACCATAACATATGAAGTGAACTGTAGCTAAATTTTTGATGATCTATATGATCCTTGTTTCTAAAACGTTCTCTAGAGCTGATGAATAATGATATTCAGTTTTTACCTCAGTGGGAAGCAGATTTACCTCTCTGATGTTGGTCCTTTTTCTCTCTTTCATTTATATCGAATTTTAATATCAACATGCTGTTTTTTTCTGGAGTTGGCTTTAATAGTTGGGCAACTGATTGGGTATTTTCCTTTTATTTTCAATTGAAGTTGCTGATAGACTTTACTTTTACCAGTCTATTAGTGTTATCGATTGTGGTAAATTGTGAAAGTAGATCTTTCAGGCCTGTAGAGACTGATCATTTCAGTTCGGTCACTTTTAGGATGAGCTTGTTTATGGCCACTCTGCAATACGATGTGACTTCAGACAGACTTTTAATGTTATTGTATAACTTTTCCACGGAATTGAGTCACAATAACCTGCATGATCACATCTTTTGGTGTAGCATTTCTACCTCAACTCTGTGCTTATGATTTCTATTGTTTAGATTAATTCTAGAATACATATTGTTGAGTGCTTCTAATTGACATAGATGGGGTTGTGAGACTGTGGGTTCCTGCATTGTTCTGAAGCTTTGGATTTTTTCTTGTTTCTTTGGAAATCAGGTAATCCTCAGTTTTAGTTTAATTTTGGTAAACATCAGCTGATACAGTTTCTATCTTGCGTTTCTTTTCCTTCCTCTTTGCATTCAAAATCATGGTGGTTGATACTAAGAGATATTTCACAGCTATATATTCTTTTCATTGTATTGTCCATATTTATTTCCTGTGACCAATGAGCCTTCTTGCCTGCATATTGAAAATATGACTTCTTTTTTTGATTCTGCCTCCAGGTTTCTCTGGAGGATGCAGAAGATGATGATGGGGACTCAATTGAGAGGGTTCTTTGGCACCAGCCCAAGGGCATGTCTGAAGATGCATTGAGGAACAATAGATCGGCACTGCCTGTTGTGATAAGCAGTGTCCTAGACATTGAGCCGGATTGGAATGACATAGAATTTTTCATCAAATGGAAAGGGCAGTCTCATTTGCACTGTGAGTGGAAGTCATATTCTGACCTCCAAAATGTAAGTCTTGGAAACTCTTAAGGACAATATAATGTTTTTTTGTAGGGTCGTTTTTTTTTGTCCTTAAGAAAAAATATTCATTATGCTCGCTTGATACCAATGTATTGTCTTGAAGGACTTAGTTTTTTTAATTATTCTTGTGCTTTGTTTGTGCATATGCAGCTTACTGGGTTCAAAAAAGTTCTAAATTACATAAAGAGAGTCAAGGAAGAATGGAAATTCAAGAAATCTTTGTCACGTGAGGAGGTAATTGAGTCAATTTTCTGTCTCCTTGTTCTTTCTCGAAAACTAGACAGCTGAATTTTTTTGGTAGTCCATCTGATAATAACTCCCTTTCAAAACGACACCTTTTCTTCTATTCTGCTATTGAATTGATGTGCTGAAGATGTATGTGTTGAGGTGACTGTGTGTAACAGGAAAGACATCTGAATGGCTGTGTATGATATTTCTGGCAAACAAGAATGCTATTCTGTTCTTCAAAAGAATATTAAGATAGAGACAAAGATGATTCTGAAGCGGTTCTGATTGTTGTTCATGATTTGTCTTGTTCCTTTATTACCTTGATCATTTTAGTACGTTTTTATTTTTGAACTTCTGTTACGAATTTTCTTCACCTCAGTTTGCAAAAGTTGGTGCAGTAATGCCTTTAGTGCTGGAGTGGAATTCCCTTTTGTCTATGATGTAGCATAGCCTCCAAGGTATTACAAGTCGTTATTGGAGGGCATGACATTTAGGCTCCTAGGAGAGCAGACTAAGAGAGCGTACATTAGATGCCTACATTCTATTGCTAGATTGAACCATCTTTAATAATCTTGCCATTAAAAGTCATATGAAAAGAGGAATATAGGCAAATACCATGTCACATAGTAAGTTGAAGATGATCCTAAAGCTTGTGTTTGGATGACTCATTGCTTTATCTGACCTCTTAACTCATTAACCTGCGTAATGATCTCCGCAACCTGTGTTTCTTTGGATGTCCACTTCAAAAGGCTAATCTGGTTAACATGAAGGTGCTTATCAATGACTAAGATATTAAACTTTTTCATGTTACTTTCATGAGACCTGTCATACAGGAGTAAAGAAGTCCGCTTAAAGTGAGCTATGAACGTTATCATATCAACGATAGCATTCATGTACTTTTCATTGTTCATCACTAATGATGTTGCTTTCTTTCTTCATTTTTATATTTGTGTTTTTTTTATAGATATCATTGAATCAGAATCTTTAGTAAAACTAGGCCTTGCCTTGTACCACGTTGAGTTGCTTAAGTAATATTCCTCGGTGTTGATCGTCTTTTGTCATGTCAACTGCTATGTTCAGAAGGATTTTTGTTAAATCATTTGGTTTATAAGTCTGGAAGATATTGTACTTATGTTGAAGGATGTGTGGTCTGGGGTGCAATATCTATGAGATCTTGAGTAAAAGGGGTAGGGGGTAGCTCGGAGCACCATAGGAGGGCGAGGGTTCTTCATTACCCGCTATGAAAAAATTTAGTGTTTTATGGACGGCAAGGGTTTGGTGGAAATATCAGTAATTGGAGTAATTATTCTGTCCCTTGCGGGTAAGATATGAGGGGCTACTTTTATCCTGTGATAACAAGATGCCTGCAGCACTTTAGCCAGAAAATGGACCAACTGTCTGTAAGAGCCTACCCTGTTTTTTAATTTAGAGGATTCAAGTACTTGGAACATGAATAAATTTACGAATCAGCTGTTTCTATGCTTCTACATATTTGAATGTATGTGTTCTCATGATATAAACGTCTTTTGAGATGGTAAATGATACCATTTTGCATCCTTTGTTTTGCTTCTCACCTTTCTTGGGGAGTGTTTCATTTGATCATCTTCTCAGGTCATTGTCATCTACTCTCACTTTACTCAATTCTTGTCTCTCTTGCTTGATATCTAAATCTTTAGTAATTCCATGTGTCTGTGGTTTTCATATTTGAATTTCCAGATACATCATGTTCTTCTTTGCTGTCTCTAATATTTAGCTGGCGCATAAAATTGTCAAACCTTGTTTTATACCTTTCCCATCAGGCTGAGGTTCATGATGTCAGCAGAGAAATGGAGTTAGATCTTCTGAAACAGTATAGTCAGGTTTGTGTTTTGTGCTTCCAATTTGATGTGAACAATTCACTTCCACTAATTTGTAGTTTCGGTGAACGATTAATATTTTCAATGTCTATTTGTTTTAAATTCTCCAGGTTGAAAGAATATTTTCTGACAGAATACTAAAGGCTGCTTCTGACGAGGTTGTGGTTGAGTATTTAGTTAAGTGGCGGGGGCTATCATATGCTGAGGCAACCTGGTATATGAATTTATAATTTTGTTGTTCTTATTATGTCAGGGTTTTACTGACACCTTATCTGTGTCAGTAAACTCGGACAAGCTAATGACATGCCTATGCTTTAGTATCGCTTACGAATCTATCTCAGACTCAAGTTTTGATTTTCATGATATTTCCTTAAATCGCTTGGCCTAATTTACTGAAAACTTTTCATTCTGGAAGGTTTCTCATTCACGCCTGTAAATTTTCTTGATTTTTGATGTAATCTAGTTCTGTTTTGCTGAAGAAATGGGGTGTACATTCCCATATCCATTTGTTGAAAGTGTGCTGAAAACAGAATGTTTTTTTGCTTTGATGAGAGATAATTCAAGAGGAATCGGCTGAAGATTTTTTTTCCCTATCCCTTCAAATTACAGTCTTCCTAATTGGGGGCGTGAGGCAAGAAACTAAGTAATAATTCTGGGTTTGGACCGTTCTTCTTCTGACTAATATTGGCTGTTTGAAATTGAGAGTAAGGAAGGAATGGGTATAAATAATGTTAAGGAACACTTATGATTGCCCCCATTTTGGTATCTGTAGCTATCCGGGCCACGAGGACTGGTTTGATGAGAGGAAATTGAGAGTAGGCTACGGTTATTTGTGATGTGGTTTCGCCTGTATTGATCCTTTCCCTAACCCTTCACTGCTTCCTCTTGTCCTGTTCCTCAATGTTCTCCCATTGGTGGTTGGTGCTTTGGATTAAGTGAGACCATTTATTAGTTGATCCGCACCACTGCTAGCTCTTAAAATGGAGAAGTTTTCTCCATGCATGTTTCATATGATCCTTAATAGTCAAAGGCAAGTCTCTTCTCGTGATATGGGCTAAATCTGAAGCCTGTGGAACTAAACTGCTCTCAGTTAGCTCTGATCTGATCTAGCTGTTATATCTGGTTTGCCAATTCTAGATCTGAATTACTGAACTATAACTATCGTCGCTTTTTCTAGTATGATTCAGATGTGTCTAGTCAATGTAGGCTTGTTCAAGGAGAAGAACCTGATGTTATCCACACAAATCGGATGTAAACCTGATGGAACTTTCAGTTAGGATCATAAAAGGCTATTAAAAACAAAGGAAGTGGGTAGGAAAGTCAAAGGGACGTGGCACTGGTGGAGGTCTCTTTGCGTGTAATAATCATTCGGAAAGAGAAGCGATTTTTGTTTCTTTTGGAGTCTGTTACCACCCCTGATCTGACCATCGCTGCAGTAGCACCCCACCAGCTGCTTTATGTGGTGTGTGGGAGTTATCTGAGTAGAAGGGCACCAGAAGGGTAGAAAGGAGGCACCAGCAGAGAAGGGAGATAGTGATGGGTTTGTGACTAATCTTTTTATCTGCGATTACATTTGTGTTGTCAGCCTAGACGTAACTCGTAGTTTTCCCTGTGTTTGCAATGTCTCTACAGTCTTGTTTTTGTCTGATTTAGGTTTATCTCCTCAAGCTTGTCTACAATCTGTTATGCCTCTGAAATACCATCAGCTGATAACTGAAATGGCCATTATTTGTGACCCAGCTGTTTTAGTCAGTTTACTATTTTGATCTCTCTACTCAATGAATGGGAAGATATTACTGTTAATGACTAAGCAATTAGTTACGCGACTTTGAAACTTTATTACTGTGACCCAGAGGTAATACAGTGATGATGAAATTTTCGCTTTTCATTTTCACTTATGTATCTTATGATAAAACATTCTCCTATGGATCTTTTTTACTGTGATTCTGGGACTTCGACTGAATTACACATTCGTCAGAAATTGTCATGTTTTGCAATTTGGATGCTTCAATGATCAGATACATTTTTGTGAAGTGTGGAACTGAAAATTTCCTAGAATAATTTTACACCAAAATTTCGGAGTTTTGAAGAATCATGTTATGCTTTTAAAGATATTAGGAAAATAAAAAATTGTTAACAATATCGTGGTATTTATTAATCTCCCACTAGACATAAGCGTACATAGTTGATTCTGAGGTCTTAATCAGAAGTTTTGGATAACACAACGATAGGGATGTACAAATATTTAATGAGAACAAACTCCTGTACAAGAAAGAAAAGGACAGGAAGATTTGGTTGTCTATGCTGCAAGCTTGACTTTGTTTCCCTTTTTTGTCTGTTGATCTATTCTCTTTTTATTGTTCTTGATTATATGCTACTATGCACGTTCAAAAAAAAAAGAAACATGTGAGGAACACAAGGTGCACAAAGTGATAGACGCATATCCTTCCTGCATTAAATTTTGGCCACTCTTTTACCTGGTCAGAAATTAAATAATAAAATCATTACAGGGGAAAAAAATGTAAGTTTGAATTAGCAGTCGTTCTCCTGGTTGTCTTTCCCATTAGCAGAGTGCAGATATTCAATGAAAGCGAGGGCTGCCCATTGTGTGTCGTGTGCATACTTGGTACCTGAACATATGCCATCCTTGGTACAATGTGTGTTTAGGCAGCAGAAAGGCATTGACACAAAGGCATGTATTTTATGTTTTTCATTTTATGGGCACATATTATTGTTATTTACAAATTTTATTTATCTATAAATCACAAATAATTCAAAATATTTATAAATATAAAATCATATTAAATATATTATTTTATTATGTTGTGCGCGTATATATGCTTGTTTACTGAATGAGTTATATCAAATATTTTAAGATAATTTCTTAATTTTTCCGAAATGGCTACACTTAGGTTTCTTTCCTTGTTGACAAGGTGGAGGTAATAGACGACCTAGTTGATCGCCTTGAAAAATTTTGGACATACATCATGCTAGAAAATTTTCTAACTGCTTTAACCAGGAGTTGCGGAGGATTTAGTTTATGTGCACGTTCTTTTTATTGATGGACACTTATCTCAAACCTTTATTCTAGAAGATCTGGGTGAGGAAATTTTCTGAATTACTATATTACCTTATATTATTGATGAACTTGTATGCCGGTTTTTTGCTGTGGCCAAAGGCATTCTTTTAAATACAAAAATAATGAATTAGATGAAAACATCACTTTCACCCATATTGCTCTGCTATTAAGCTGGAGTAGTTACATGAAGAGTGTCAAAAATTTATATCCAACGTCTGCTTCTGGCTTTAAAACTTTACATAAGTTGGATAATTTTCTTCCCTCTTTTTCCACGTTTTGGTTCGTGCTATTACGTGTTTGGAGCAATATTGTCGTTTTTCCCTTTAGGATATAATGCCTGCCTTTATTTCATGTTGTTTATTAATGTTCGTCTCTATTTTGTGTTGTTGTAGGGAGAAAGACACAGATATTGCTTTTGCACAAGATGCTATTGATGAATACAAGGTAACATATGTTGTGCTGTGGCTTTACAGTTTAAAAGATCATGATTAATTGAAGACTTAATGATGCCCGTTGTGAGGGAAGAATTAACTTGTAAGATTTGTTTCATAGTGCATTCTGTCTTACTAGTTCCATAGAAACATAAGGAACATCCGTGGTTTATATGTTCCAAGGATTTACCCCTATCTTGACATAAGCGAAAGAAGTACTGGTCCTTCCCCTATCCGTGGTTTATATGTTGCCAGATTTTCTCATTTTTGTAGCCTCTCCTGCATGATCTTCCACTGGAGTCCCTTTAGAGAACATGGTGTTCACAAACCCAACATGCCACTAAAGGCTAAAGCTTTCATCTGTGATAGATTGACATGGCCACCAGGTACAGTAGAATCTTCCTTTTCATCTATCTCTACTGCTATCAGCCAGTGGTCTCGCAGTGACCTTTCTAGATGCTAACTTAGGCGGATTAGTAGCTGCTCGATCTCAAACAACCTAATATTTCTCCTAATCCTAGGCAGCTATCCTCTTCTCCTGACTTAGTGTTAAAAGGCTGTGATCAATAATGGCAAAATCAAGTGTTGCGCAGTGAAGAAAATGGAACTGATTCCAAAGATCCGAGAATGAAGCCTTTTGTCCGTTCCCAGTAGGTAGCTTTGACGTATCTTTCAGCCCATAATTAGCTGACAAGATACCCTTCCAGTATCAAGAAATGTGGCTGATAAAAGAAGTATGTTATGAGGCTGTATGATACATACTCTGCTTTTCTGTAATACTTCTGTCTAATGAGTTCTAGCCTTGTCTTTTGTCCTGAATTCTCGACTTCCATGACCATTTTGGAGTGATCAATTAGACTCATTATAGAGATGTGCCATACTAAAACTTTGTCGCTGTTCTCGCTTCTGACAACATTGAATTGCCTCTAACTTCGGTGCCACTGTTCTAGGGGTCCTTACAAATGGACTGGTAGTAAACTGGCAGGTTGGCCCACTTGATGTCTTATTCACGCATTACTAACTGCTCCTCATCAATGTTGACAAACAGTTTGGTGTCATGACCATTTTCTAAATGTGTTGCCTGATTATTCTGCCATGTGCTGATCCGTAGTTCAATAGTCAGAACAAAGACAGAGAAGATGCTGGATCTCCCTAGCTAAAGCCTTTCCACTTTAAATCTTCTCTGTTGTCTCTTCATTCACCAGTAGAAAGTAACCACGGACCATTGTTTGTGTTTTTAATGAATCTGGTTTCATTATTTGATGTGGCTTTTGTTTTATGTATAATCTTGTGATGTTTCAGTTGCTTTGAAATTAGGCTGTTTCTTTCTGTTCAAAGGTGGCCATAAGTTGTGTCTTTCTGTTCAAATGATTCGCATGTACACATTATGCCCTACTGTAAGGAGCGAAAATGGAGAAGACTGTTGCCCCTATTCTAGGAATTATTTGGAGGGAAAATAATAGATAGCTATCTAAAATGGGCATTTTATGTTGTCCGCATACCTGCAAATGATAGTCTGATTGCTAGAGCTATTCGCGGTGGGGTGGTATCTGGAAAGGTTTCGGTGGTTCAGAGGTGATCAGTAATTTTTTATTTGAGTCATATGATTTTGCCTACTCCGTACAACTGTTATTCTGATCTTTATATGCATTGGTATTATCTGAATTGAATCATATTTTACATGAAGAGACAGTTGTTTTATTTTCCTTCCCTCCTCATCTTTTAAAAAGGCTTTGGTTGGATAATTTTTATGGATTTCTTCCGTCTTGATTCATTTTCTCAAACATCCAGGCAGTTTCCACCGTTTTACTGAACAAATGGCTACAAATGAAAATACATGAACACCTTCAAATTCTTTTAAACCACTTTTGCTGTTTTTTGGTATCTACCCGCTGGTTTATATACATTCTAGCGTATTAGTTTTGATTTTTACGTTATTTGATCCAGATTTTTATAGAACAATTCTAATCTAAACTCCTATTTTGTAAAAAATGTTGGTTGTTTAACTCTTTAATTGTGACCGCATTTCAGTTCAGTACATTGATTAAACTTGGAGTAAGCATAGAATAAAACTGTGGATAGATAGTATATTCTGCGTCCCTTGTATATGATCTTTCTTTGGATTTGAGCACGGATTACAATGGTAACTGACATATGGTTATTACAAAAACTGTTATCTATTTTTTATCAACCAGGCCCGTGAGGTTGCGATGTCTGTCCAAGGGAAGACGGTAGACTATCAGAGAAAGAAAAGCAAAGGTCATTCCTGCTCGTGCTTATTCTTGGTTGCTTCTTTTACATGTTGACGAATGAGTTTTTGTCACAAGATTGCAATCTGTTGTTAATGTTTTTTTGCTTTTCAACAGGGCTAAGCATTTTCTCTAATGTCATGCACCAAATTTTCACTTGTTTTTTTTTCTGCGAAAATCTTTTTTTTAATTTCGGCTGGGGGCGTTTTGGTGAACAACATTGTCATGGGAAGATGTTATGGATGTTTCATGTACGTTGTTCAATTGCAGAGACATGTGACTACAGAAACGTATTGAGTCACACAAGGGTTCTGTTTGTGATGGATCTTGAATAAAATGGTTGGTAAACTGGAAGATTTGATTTTCTTTTGAAGAGGTATAAACAGAACGTCTCAGGGACTGATGAGGATACATACTTCATTTTTGCTGCTGAAAAGGAAGGACTGGCTGTTCTCAGTTGATTGTTTTTACTCAAACGAGTATTTTTTGGGAGTTGCTTTTCTATGCCTTTTTGTACTTTCAAATTCCGTCTCTTTGAATGTTTTCAGTGTATTCTTAGTTGCATTAACAAAACGGAATATTTTGGCATTTGTAAATATATGCATACACACATTTGCCTAGCTGGAAAAAAGATTCTTTAACATGAGTCCTCATAAGAGTGTAAAATTTTGTTATCCTCGAAATAGGCATTGGAAAACATTCTGACATGCTCATGGCAGAACTTCTGGTATTCTCATGGTATGTGTAGAACTGGCCATAAAAGAGAATTTCTGGGTTGCCTGTGGTCATTTAATGGATATTTCATTATCATTAATGCTGTTTCTTATTCCATTCCCTCAGTTTCTAAATTTAAGTATATGCTTGTGATCTTCCATTTTTCCTCGTTAAGTTGTCTATTTCATTAATTACCGTCAAATTTGCTTACTGTTCCTTTATATGCACTTACCTGTCATATCTTTTTTTGCATAACGTTGAAGCAGGAATTGTCACTTATGATATTTTAATTTTCATACGTTTTAGATAGTTTGCGTAAGCTTGAAGACCAGCCTGAATGGTTGAAAGGTGGAACACTCCGTGATTATCAACTTGAGGGCCTGAATTTTCTGGTTAACAGGTACTCTACTTTTTTCACATATGACTGTAAAGTTTCATATATTTTATGGATTTAACCAGTTAATATTGTATATGTTAGTAAGCTTGTTGGTGGTTTGGTTTGAATCCCAGTTGGAGAAATGACACAAATGTTATTCTAGCTGATGAGATGGGCCTTGGTAAAACTGTTCAGTCGGTTTCAATGCTAGGTTTCCTTCAGGTAATGCTGAATGTTTTTCTTCATTTATATGTTGAGTAGTTTTTATTGACAAGCTGTTTCTTTCGTATTTCAGAATGCTCAGCAACTCCGGGGGCCGTTTCTTGTTGTTGTGCCACTCTCAACGCTGTCAAACTGGGCAAAGGAATTTAGAAAGTGGCTACCTGAAATGAATATTATCATGTATGTTGGAAATCGTGCTAGCCGAGAGGTAACTTGCTACTATTATTGCATGACGAAGGCATTTGATTTGGAAACAGTTATAATGCACTAAAAATATTGCATGTTGAACATGGTAAACATGAGCATGACTCTTAGTATTTCTCTGTTTTTTTAGTGTTTACCTTTTGATGAGTTATTCAAAAAATTGAATTGAATTGAAACATAAATGTTTATTACCGGCAACTATATGCCACATTTACAACTTCTACAATTGTTCATGTGGATTTTTTCCCCGACTTTTTTACTGATTGGAAAACGTTTTAGGAACAGAATTTTTTTGTTAAAATGGAGCTATTTTCGGAAGCGAGAATTAACGAAAAAGTTATTTCTTTGAATCTAATGCATACACCTGAACTTAGATTAAGTCAACAGAGATGCTGGATGAATATTTGTTGTCCTTAATCCTCACATTTTCGTCAATAACATAATGCTTGATATAGAAATCCTGCTGTAAGAACGTTGAAACACATTGCTTATATTTTCTGGAACAATGACACAAGTGATAAGCCTTCCTAAACTTTTGAAGAAAGAAGCCATATTGTTCCCTGAAACATATGTTTCAACTGTACGTTGTGTTTCACAAATCATCGAGATATCTGCCCTGTTTCCCCAGCATGAATATGACATCGTTTATACTTAAGGATTTAGTTCAATGGTCATGAGATATTGGAGAAAGTATATCTTCCAGTGTGAATGTAGCATAGATGACTTAATTATGGGACTGATATATATATTTATTTATTCCCTCGACTTTTCATCTATTTTTATCTTGCGTTCTGAATAATATATAATCCTATTGGACGTCACAACTCCCAGAAGTCCGACGTTAGATCAATAATATCTAACATATGGATATTGTTTTTCCGCAGATTTGTCAGCAGTATGAATTTTACACGGAGAAGAATGGAGGTAGACACATAAAATTCAATGCTTTATTGACGACATATGAAGTAATACTGAAAGACAAAGCCGTACTCTCAAAGATAAAGTGGAACTACCTTATGGTTGATGAGGCTCACAGACTGAAGAATTGTGAATCATCTTTATATACCAGCCTTCTTGTATGACTTTCTTTCTTGTTTACTATCGTATGAAAGATGATATAAATCCTTGAAGTCTTGCTCAATGCTGCTAATTTTCTGATTGACTGACGAAACCTTCACTTCTCTTGGTGTAGGAATTTAGCACGAAGAATAAGTTACTAATTACTGGCACGCCACTTCAAAACAGTGTAGAAGAGCTATGGTGAGTGTTTATCTTGTTTCCTCGTCCAGGAAAATGCCACGTGATTTTCAAAAAAAAATTCGTTTGTCGAGTTGTCAGATTTGTCTTCGCTTTTCCTTTTCACTGATAATGACAGCATTATCATAATCCTCCTAATATTTTTTTCTCTTATTTTATTTTACTCTTTTCAATACCAAGCAATGTAAGTTCCAGGTAAGCAGATGGTCTGCTTAAAAGTCGATATGACTAAACTGTACACAAGGAGCCTGTGCACTGGCAGCACCTTGGAAAGAGATCATAAGAGGATGAGGAAGATCTCCATCCATGCAAACTTTGGTGCATACCTTGGAAGATCTCCCATTTTCTACTTTAAAGAAGTGTAGGAAGGGTAAATGAAAATGCCAAAAGAAGAAAGAGAAGAGGAATAAAAATTAATGGGAGAGGGGAGGGTTTGGGGATGAATGGAACTATAATGAACGAAGGGAAAAGAGGAACAAGTTACGTCCTCGGCTTGTCTCTATCAAACTATAACGTGTTTTCTTCCTGATATCTTGCATCTCTGCAGTTGACCGAGAAAGATTACAATTTTTAAGTGTGATGGTAGTCTTAATCTTTTCTCTTGTAGGTATTAGCAAAAATATAAATGCTTAGCCGCTGTTATACAATGAATTTGGTCAAGTATGCTGTTAATCATGCGTGTTAGGCGCATTTATTTGCAGAATTTAAAAGACCTCTCGCAAAGATTATGCCTTTATTTCTAAAAATATCTTAATAACTTGTTCCTGTATATTTTTCTTTGTCAATGCTCTTTGCAAGAACTCGTATTAATTTAGTGATCCTTAGGCCTTCATTTAAATACATTTAGTTGCTCTTAGAAACTTTGGTCCTTTTTAGGTATTGATCTTCATGACATATTATTTTTTTGTAGATTTGGAGTCAGCGGTTGCTTGAAACTTTTTAGAGTGAAAATATTCCTGTTCCGGTTAGAAACATGATGAAAATAGCCCACACGTTTCAATCTGATCAGTATATTTTCAAGTTAATACTTGAGACTGACAAAAAATCTTTCGTTCTGATGCCATGTTTTTGAAGACCTATTTATTTATGTATTTAAAATTTACGTCTCACTGTTTAATTATAATTTTGCTAATTATTAGAGTAACATGGTTCACTCTGCCTTGTGGTTTTCTCTTTTGAAGGTCATTGCTGCATTTCCTTGATCCTGGAAAATTTAATAATAAAGATGATTTTGTTGAAAAGTATAAGAATCTCAGCACCTTCAACGAGATTGAGGTACATAATAAAGTCACATCTGCCTTTCGTTATTTACGACCAGAATTTCCATGTCTGAAAATTTAGTTGTTCTTGGGGTGCTATGACTTTTTAATTGTAATGCTTTTGAGGGATGGCTTGCTAACGTTTTCCTTGTTTTCTTTCCTTTGCACTCGATTGGTCTTCTAATTCTAGTTAAGAGTAGCCTCTTATTAATCAATGAATAATTGACTATTGAAAGTAAAGATGGTTTTATTCTGCTCATTTTCAGTTGATTTTTGAGTTGAATACTCCAATAGTTTTAACATTGTATTTGGGGTGGCGGTTGTTCATGATGCTTGCACCCCAAAAGTCTTATCTTGGTTATTATAAAAGTAGGTGATAACTATAAAGATATAGCCCTACATGGCTCATTGCCTATCGCTTTTGAGTTGATGGCCCAATGACCTTAACATTTCTAATCTTCATGTTGCGCAGTTCTAATTTCTTTGTTTGAATGGAAAATAACAGTCATCTTAATTGATGATTGTTTTTTGTTAAGCTTGCAAATCTTCACAAGGAGTTGAGACCTCACATCCTGAGAAGAGTTATAAAGGATGTTGAAAAGTCATTGCCCCCCAAAATTGAGCGCATTCTTAGAGTGGAGATGTCACCCCTTCAAAAACAGTAAGTGTTACTGATGACTGCGTGAAAGAAAACTGTTTTATATTTTTTAGTTGCGATTTTCTTAGATTTTACATTTCGAAACAATACTTGATGATACCCTTCTGATATCTGTTTGAACTTTCTTTTTTCCTTCTCTACAACATTATAGGTATTACAAGTGGATTTTGGAGCGTAACTTCCACAGCCTTAATAAGGGCGTTCGTGGGAATCAGGTATGTGAGAGCTATTAGAGTTTTCTTCTCATTTCTGACAGACTATAGACCCGGTAATGTTCTAAGCATCGTTTTTGCAATGGAGTTTTGTTTCCCTCATAGCATGTCACGTGTTTTATCTAGACTATCTGCAATTTTTGCGAAACTGTTTGGAAATTCAGCATATGAATCATGCACATTCGTCTGTTATTCGCACTAAGAGAAAATATAAACGAATTTTAATGTGAATTACTGAGAGACAGATGCAGCTCGAAGTTTTTCATTCGAATTTTCTGATTAGTCCATTTGATATTTTTCAGGTTTCGCTTCTGAATGTTGTGGTTGAGCTGAAGAAATGCTGCAATCATCCGTTCTTATTTGAAAGTGCAGATCATGGCTATGGTGGTGATGCCAATACGAGTGATAGTTCCAAAGTTGAGCGCATAGTATTGAGTAGTGGAAAGCTGGTGATCTTGGACAAGCTACTAATTCGACTGAGAGAGACTAAACATCGTGTTCTTATATTTTCTCAGGTTAGGTTATTTATCTTTTTTTAATCCAAATGGTTTCTTGCGTTGACACATGCAATTGTATTTTCTTCCATACTCTGATGGCCAGTTTCCCCACTTATTAATCATGTCAATCTTTGGACAATTGGGTATCTATATAGCTTAGGGTTTTCATTTCTTTGAAAGATGTAACTTTTATTTAGTGGAATCCTCCTTTAGGTATGTTTTTGCCTTGTTAACAGATCGGAAGATCTTCTATTTTTTCAAAGAAATTACGTGTTCCTGATGCTCTCTAAAATTCTTTTACTGAGCTTACTTGTGTTACTTTAGCAGGGATGCCTCTTTCTGGTTGGGTTGACCAAGTTTTATTATTGAATTGACGAGCCATTATTTAATACCGTACTGAGATTCCACGCAACTCTTTTTCATACTTCATTCGGGTTTCTCCTCCTGCTCAATTGGCTTGATGGATTTCCACATCACATCGTTTAAGGGTTACTGACACTTATTAACGTATGAATGTAGTTACTTTAGGTATGCAATGTAATGTGTGTTGGAGGACTGGGGGATGGATTTCTTTTGAAGCATGTACCAGTTATACCTTGAGCAATAGGAGTTGACATCACATTAACAATATAGATGTGTATCAACTTCTCTGTATTGTGTTACTTGCGTCTGCTGACAGAATTTTTCTTCTGTGAACTGTACTCTCAATTTCGCTCTTTCGATATAGAATATTATGTGAATATTTTCTTTTGAACCCAACTGTAAATCGTCTAATCGTATTTGATACCACTCTTTAAAGCATTGTGAAGTCTTTCAATGCAAATCCTGCAGTGTTCTAATCCCTACAATCACAACATATGGCTGAGATAAAGGAGAAATAATTCTTTCATACCTCAAACATAAGCTTGATTTGGTCATGCTTTGTGCTGATCTAATCATTGTAAAAATGGAAGTTAATTAGAAGCAAGGTCAAGATTTCTAGGGACGTTTTGCTTACTCTAGTTATTTAATTAATGAGGAAAGTAATGTTTGTGGCACTGATCCCTTTGCTGCCTTTGATCACTGTCGTATTGTAGCTAGAGTCGGAATGCTGGAAAACCTTATGTTTAATCACATTCCTATGATATAAACTGTAATTGAGGAATATAATTGATGGCAGGACTCAAACTTTGTTGTTGATGTGTAGATGGTTAAGATGCTGGATATACTGGCAGAATATTTATCCCTGAGAGGATTCCAATTTCAAAGACTCGATGGTAGTACAAGAGCTGACCTCCGTCAGCAGGCAATGGAGCATTTCAATGCACCTGGAAGTGATGACTTCTGTTTCCTTCTTTCAACTCGAGCTGGAGGCTTAGGAATTAATCTTGCTACTGCAGACACAGTTATCATTTTTGATTCAGACTGGAATCCACAGAATGACCTCCAGGTTTTTATATTATCTTTGATAGATTGTGTTTTAAAACGACTTCTTGATGACACTTTTGTTATGGCACCCTGCCTTTTCCTCATTCCGCTTTCTGAAATTCTGAACCCTTGTGTTTTTCCTTGCAGGCAATGAGTCGAGCTCATCGAATTGGGCAGCTTGAGGTCGTTAATATTTATCGATTTGTTACAAGTAGAAGTGTTGAGGAAGACATCCTTGAGCGGGCTAAGAAAAAGATGGTACGATAAGTTGTGCTTTTCATTTTCACTACAGTTCTCTCGTTTTCCCTGTATATCATGTGTTGTGTTCTGGTTTTCTACATAATTCGTCGTTGCTTTGTAGGTCCTTGATCATTTGGTCATTCAGAAGCTAAATGCAGAGGGTCGACTAGAAATGAAAGAAGCAAAGAAGGGTAGCTCTATGTTTGACAAGGTATCATTTTGATACACTACGGTTGGGATGCCTTTTCAAATCTGGTGTATCAAATATCAGTGCTGGACCCTGCATTCCTGTTACTAGTCCTTCCTTTCGTTCATTCCCCTATTTTACTGTTATTAATTTCTCATTCTCGCAGAATGAGCTTTCCGCAATATTGAGGTTTGGAGCGGAAGAACTTTTCAAGGAAGACAGAAATGATGAAGAGAACAAGAAAAGAATGGAAAGCATGGATATTGATGAGATCCTTGAGAGAGCAGAGAAGGTTGAGCAAAAGGGAGCAGACGTAGAACCAGGAAATGAATTGCTGAGTGCTTTTAAGGCAAGATTTGGCCTTATGTTTGTCCAAAATCTCGAACTTTGTTTTATTTGTCTATTGATGGAATTCTGAAAAGTTATTCTTATGATGAATGAACATCTGTTCTTTCTCTATATAGGTTGCTAATTTCTGTAGTGCCGAGGACGATGGGACCTTCTGGAGCCGTCTGATTCAACCAGATGCCATTGGGCAAGATGAGGTATGACTTCTGAGTAAACCTTCTTCATTTATTCTATGGAAACATTCGTCAGTAATTATTAAACTGTCACATCTGAATTTTTTATACGTGAATCGTTATTTGCTTCTTTTTCTCATTAAACTTATACTTCTCTAGAAATCCTCATTGTTTGATATTTGACTCGTCTATCATTTCGTTTGTTTCCTCCATTGTAGGAAGCATTAGCTCCACGTGCTGCTAGGAATACAAAGAGTTATGCTGAGACTAACCAAACTGAGAAAACTACAAAGAGAAGAAAGAGGGGACTTGAGGCACAAGAAAGACCTCGTAAGCATACTGCCAGAAGTGCAGAAGCGTCTATCTATACTCTCCCAGTGATTGAGGGATCTTCTGCACAAGTGAGAGAATGGTCATATGGTTACTTATCGAAGAAAGATGCTGCACATTTTGTTCGTGCGGTAAGTGTTTTTTTTTTATAGAAATTTATATGAATTTTTCCAAAGTTTCATGGTATATACAAATCTGTTTCGTTAGTGTTCATTTTGAGGGAGGTTTCATATCGGGGCATGATGAACTTTAGAAAGCTGCTGTATCAGCGAAATTATGAAGTGTATTCCGACATATTCCAAGTTTCAAGATGTGTTTCTGAAATCTAATTGATTTGCTTTTACTGAGGATCCTATTGATGGAATTATCAGATCTTTATTAACTTCCTGGTAATCAACATAAAAATGTCCTGCATTTTCCTTTCCACACTTTCAAGGCTAATTTTTTTGTGCTATATAGGCGATATTCATTATGTGTGCCCATTCTGCTATTTGTTCCTTCATTGTGTGAGGAAATTGAGGCTTCTTTTTTTATGAACTTTTGTTGCATTACCTCAGTGACGTTTTCTCTTCCGATTTTAGTCTAAATTACATAATGGCGTACGTTTTTTTATTATAATAGTTTTTGAAGAACCTGTAAGTAAAGACTTTGATTTAATGTCTTGAACGTAATATTATTTAATGTTAAACGTAATATTATTCCGTATTCTCGCTGCACTCTTATTGGAATGAATAATGTCTGCTGAGAAAGAGTCTTTAATGTTCGTGACTTAGTCATTAGGCATGTATATGCTCAACACCTCATTTAATTTCACGCCATTTTAGGCCCACTCACTTTTGATTTAAAATAATGGCATGAAGTGCAATAGTTCGTATTCTCTACCTAGCTTTGGGGAGCACAATGTGAAAAAAAATACTCTACACTCAGCACGGCTCAACATGGTGGTATGCATTACTTGTGAGATTGAGGGGAAGAAGATGCTCCACAATGAGGGGTTCATAATTCTTGAACTTTAAGCAGCTTTTGTGTGGGTCTCATGCAGTGATGTGTGATGCACCTGTCTCTTTTTCCAATCGTTAACATTAGTGTGGATAGCAAATATAGTGCTATTATGGATTTATGTTGCATTGATACTTCAGTTTGGAATTCGACCATCATCTGACATGAAATAGTGACTGGACTCGCCAATTCTTCTCCGGAGATTCTCTGGCATGACATTAATATGATGTACTTTATTGAATAGTGATTGTTATACATCAAATGTAAATTAAGTTGAGGTTCCATTATATTCCTTTTCTCGTTAAAAAAACACGTCTAAAGGTTTGGTTTTTGCTTAATTTGGGGATTGAAATTAACTTGAACTGTCTGTGATATGAACTAAAAGGTTTGTATTGGATAGTGCACAGGTTATTTCATTGAAAGTTTTGTTCTTAATTGATCTCTACCATGTGTTGACTGAGATGGATGAATATGCTTAAGTATGAAATCTCATAATCATTTTTTTATAGAGTAGGGCACATTTTATTGCCTAAAAATTTAGGCACTTTATTACATCTAATTGAACTTAGTGCAAGTCTTTTGCCTTTGGGATGACGGTGAGAGAGTTATAATGTGATTTGGTATAACAAGTGACATGGCGGAAAGTTGTCTGTTGATCAAAGTGGATGTGGTAGAAAAATACTCTGATAATAAAGGAATGTCATGCCAAATAGCTACTTGCTTCACTTCACTATGAACTTTCGTTAAAGTGTTCCTTTTTTCAATGCCTTTTGTATAATTTTTAATCGATTATTACAAATAAATAGAAGTTTCTCTAAGAATTTTTTTCTAAGAAATGATATCATGAATATTTGTGTCATTAATTTTTTGAGTTTAGCGTAACAGATGAAAAATCGGAATCCATGCCTTACTACGGGTGATTGACAGGGTTCCAAGCTGCAGCCTAATTTGTAATTTTCTCATTCAGGTTAAAAAGTTTGGAGATCGCATCAGCTTGATTGTAGGGGAGGTTGGCGGTGTTGTTGGGTGTGCCCCATCAGAAGCCCAAGTTGAGCTATTTAATTCGTTAATTGAAGGTTGCACAGGAGCAACAAAGGAAGAAAACATAGGCGTCAAGGTTTGCCATTTGCCCTTTTTCACAAAATGAAGATAAGTCACTGAAACCTTTGAGATGTGACATTTTCGACTTTGCTTTGCATTTTATTTTGTCCTTCAGGGACCTCTTTTGGACTTTTTTGGGGTTCCTGTAAGGGCAACTGAGCTATTAGATCGTGTAGAAGGACTTCAACTTCTGGAGAAACGCATTAGACGTTGCCAAGACCCTGTCAAAGAATTTCGACTGGTAACAAATAACAAAAGTCCTCAGTGGGCTAAAGGCTGTGGCTGGAGTCAAGGTAACATCAAGTCTTTAATGTACCTTTTATGTGATTATTTCTGAAAACTAAATTTTTCAGTTCCATAATTTCACCAGTTGATGATGCAAGATTGCTTCTTGGTATCTACTATCATGGCTTTGGAAACTGGGAGAAGATAAGGTTGGATTCTAGACTTGGGCTTACGAGGAAAATTGCCCCGTCCACACTAGGAGAAGGGGAAACTTTTTTACCCCGTGCCCCTAACTTGGACAGTCGTGCTACCAATCTTTTACAGAAGGTATCACAACCTTGTCTTTGTCCCCTTTGATAGGTTGCGTTTGGGATTGTATAGCATACTTATTTTCTTTGTTCTACTCGTGGATTCACTACTTTTATTATTTCTGAACTTCAAGCTTAGCTGTCATCTAGTTTTTAAGTAATCTACAAGGATGAGTAATGTTATGAACAGAAAGTTTTTTACTTATTAGCTGACACAACTTCTCCTTGATGTCTATTTTGTATAAAATTAAATATTTTATGGTCTGACGTTAACCTTGGCGTTGCCTGCGACTTGGTCTGATTTTCTTGGGATACGAAAGTACGGCATTCGGTGTAGTGTCTTTATCAAGTCATAATTTTTATTATGCTTACCAATTTCATTCCACGAATACTGGCTAAAAAATTGGGAAGATATTTCGTTATTTCTAATGATGTTTATTTAGCAACGATGTTTCGGTGAATCTTGTACCTATCCTTCTGCTAGTGAATGAAGTCTTATATTTGTTTATTTTTCTTCAAACCGTCACCTTATTAACCTTAGAAATTGGTCACCTCGTCCATTTAGGTTGATAGTTTCTTTAATGTTAGCACAAACTTAAAAACCTCGTGGGCTACATTTAGAGAATGATAAGCCACCAAAACAGCTGTTACTGAGTATCCTTCAGACTCCTTAATTGTTGAAGTGTTATTCTTCATTCCGCGTTTGATAGGCTCTTTTAAAGGTGGTTGTGAATGAGCTTCTCCCTTGATGTTTTTTGGGTCTTCCTGGCTGTGTCCTTGTCTTCATAATTGTCTTTTATACAGTTGTTAGAACTACAAGTCCTATTGTAGTGTGCTGTATTATTTTCGGCTGGGTCTGATCTACGCCCAAATTAAACTGGTAAAATTAATTATTAACGTAAAAGTGGCGATTTTATGTTCAGATATGTTTTCTAATGGATGTTATAACACACGTAAATAAATAGAATCCACAAGGTTGCTCACGACAAATATGATTGCAGGAATTAATAACTGGGTTTTGATTACTTTGGCCATTTTCCCTTTGTGGGTTGTTTAGGATAAACCTAGAGCTTGTGATCTCCTTGTCCAGGTGGTCCTGGTTTGTCTCACAGTTCCTTTCCTGTTCAACCGGAATTCAAAACTATATGCCGTAGTTTTCTATTGCCATCCATTTCATGTTAGTTGAAACGTTTTGAATCTCTCTATTCCACTCATTTTACCGACAACAAATTATGACTTCATTTTTTCATTTTTTGCTTACTGAAATTATTCAAGTTTGCTCAAAAGTTTACAAAGATAGGCTTCTTTCTCTCTTTTCATTTCCTGAATCAGGTCTTGAACCTCATGGTGAACTATGTCATACAATCTTGAAATTATTACAAACTTCACATTTTGGCTATTGTCATACATGTCGAGTTCTGCCCATTTAACTATTTTCTAAAGGGTGCCAAATTACTTGCTAATTTGAGGTGATTTTTCGTGATAATTTAGTCATCTGATCCTTTTTTTTTAATAATTATCTAATAGGAATTAAACTGAATTAGCTGAAAATAGCGGTTCATACTAGACCAAATTTTATAGATACTATTATTTTTTCAATTCAACAAAATAAGCAATCTTTAGACCTTTTCTGTTTCTGGTCTAGGATTAACGAGGATTAGCTATCTAGAAAATTATCCCTTATGATTTACTCTGTGTGTAGGTCTTTCATATTCGATACTTTTTCACATAGCAACATCGTCATTTCCACCGTCGTGATTTTTACATTCTCCTTACTAGCTGCCCAACATCTGACCCATTTAACATGATTAACTGATGGTTCCAGGTATAACCTCGTCTCAGATGTATCCTAAGTTGCTTTTGCTATAATTTTTTTCTGTGGTTAAGTGTCTCAGTTTGTTGGTTAGGTTCAATTGGTTAAGTGAATGAGCACATTAGGTTGTAGTGCTTGTACAATGCTGAACATGTTTTCTAGTTTGCCGTTTTCAATCATTTATATTTAAGAAAGCCATATAAATTGCATTCCCTCAGAAAACTCGGTGATGGCATGTCATCTGTTTGGTTTTGGACTGGGAAGGTTCTTAGTGTCATTCTCCATTATACCAATGAATCAATAACGTTCAAAGTTCAACTGCACCAAGTACACTTTATAGGTTGTTTGCCTAAGGTTGGTCTTATCTCCAGATTTATCACTTAGGCTTAAGGTTGACAGACCTGCCATTAGTCATGCTATTGTTATTTTTTTTCATTAAATAATATACTGGATATTAATAGATTGGCAATGATTTAAACTTTTTGTAGGAATTCGCAACAATAAACAGGAAAAGTTCTAAAGGCAAAGCAACTCGTGAGGTCATCAAGAATGGACGAGAGAACAGTCTTAAAGTCCAAAATGGTCGTGTTAAAGACACTCAAAGGAAAGTCAACTCGACTAAACTAAATCTTAGAAACAAAGACCTTGATCGAAAGCGCAAAAAGATTGAACCCCAAGTCAAGGAGGAGGGTGAGCTATCTGATTCTGAGCAAGAAAGGTATCAACAATTCAAGGAACAAAAATGGATGGAATGGTGTTCTGATGTCATGGAAACAGAAGAGCAGACATTGAAGCGTCTAGAAAGATTGCAGTCAACCAGTGTAGTTCTTCCAAAGGAGAAGGTCTCTTTCTTGTTTCCAATTTCAGTTTCTTTTCCTTTGTTTCTAGTATTCCATGTTGAATCATCATTAATGCTGTTTGCCTTCTCTGCTTTTCAGGTGTTGTCTCGAATACGGAAATATTTACAACTTCTTGGGAGAAAGATTGATAAAATCGTGGAGGAACATGGAGAATCTTATAAACAATCCAGTAAGAGTTGTTCATCCTTTTTGACTTTGACATTTGTTTTATAAAGTCTCTGCGAAGCGTCCATCATCTCTTAGCTTTCCCTTAGTTTTCTGCCAGTTTGAGTTATAATGTAGTTTTTTTATAACTCATGTATGCTGCACGTTGATGGCTTGGATATAAAAATTTAGTATGTGTGTTGATCAGGGTAATAAAACTATTCACTTCGCATTATTCTGAATCACTCGTATTTTTCTTACTTGAGTGGAAAGTTGTCTTCTGAATAGAACTGAGTAAAAGAGCCATCGCTGTCAAAAAGAAAAAATGATGCCGCCGAGAGCCAGCAATAGGTCTAGGCTTACATCTCCATCGTTTCCTATCTTGTTTGAATATGCTCTCATTAAATTCTTCATCAACTAGTGTCAACTACGAATTTAGAACCTCTCTCACATCGCTTTGACTAGACTCATAGTTTCCTGAATTATGGACTCTTCACTATGTGAGAAAACTTCCTAGGGAGAACGGGTTTTTCTCTATGTTTCACCTGCCTGGCGTTTGAGTCGTTGATAATTGTTAATTCCTACTTGAGATTTTCCTGAAGCTGAGATGAGGCATGTGGTGTGAGATTTTCAACCAGGCTTGAATCCTGCTCGCCACTCGCTTGTATGATATTTAGACTATTAATGCTATTTTCAAGATAGTTTTGGTTGAGATATGACATGAACATTGGGCGGTCTTTTGACAATGCATGGGCTTTCAGAAATAAAGAAAATGGATAACGTGATAACCCTTACGATCATTCGGATGTAACTTGCATGAAGAAATTTAAAAATGGAAGTAACAGTGATGGGCCGTAGTAGGTCAGTTTTCTTGTGAAAATAATAGGCTCTCATTCTGACATGTTTTTAGTCTTTAATTTTCGTGATGAATTTCTCTGACAACGTTTTGGGTTCTTTGCTGATACCTTATCTCATCTTTCTCCGGCTACTGATTGTATTTGCAGAATATGCCACCAGTTGTCTACGAAGTGGACTAGTCATGGGCCACTTAAATGTCATTTTTCCTCAGTTGATGATAAATCCTTCAGAATCTTTATGATTACACAAGCATTCAACATTTCGCTTTTATATTTTTGAATATTTGCACGCCAAAAAGCCCATAAAATGACAACACGCCCTTTCGCAGAAATGACAATGAGATTGTGGAACTACGTCTCCACTTTTTCAAATCTGGCTGGGGAGAGGCTTTTTGAGATCTACTCAAAACTAAAGGAGGAGCAGGCTGATATGGGCGTTGGGCCCTCCCACCGCGAGGGATCTGCAGCTGGCTCATGTGACAGGGAGAACGATGATAGCCATTACCCTTTTGTTAATGACTTTCATGGCAATAGAACTCTCCGTCAGAAGTTTTCGTCCCAGCATTCAGAAGCATTTTATAGGGGGGATCAAGCAGGAGCCAAATCGGAAGCATGGAAACGCCGGAGGAGGGTCGACAGCAATGCGCACCAGTCAGTTCAGGCATCGTATTCAAGCGCAGCTGCCAGCAATGGCACCCGGGCTTCCGAGACCTCAAACTTCGCCGGGATCCTGGGGTCTGGTCCACCAGTCGTCAGGCGGGCTGGCAATGAAAGGCCAACCAGGGTTCAGCCAGGCCGCTATCCTTCAAGAACAGGACACCCACCTGACTTCAAATAACGACAGTGAGAGCGGCCCGGGCTGTTCCTCCAGTGGAATGGACAGTCTCTGAATTGACCTCTATTCTTTACTCATGGAAATAAATTTTGCTGCTTCTGGTCTGTGTATTATGGCAGGCCCGGGGCTGTTTTACAACGAGGTGTTTGCCCTGTTCGGCATAAACGCCCGCCCCCTTCCTCGCCCCTTTTCGCTCTCCCCTTCCGCCGGTGGCTCCAGATGAAGGGGGAGGAGGAGAGCAATGTTAGGCATTCTACGAGGAACCCTGCACACAACAAAGTGAAAACCGGCTACCTGCACGCCCTTCCTGAGCCCGCTCGGCTTCATCATAGAGTACAGTTGAGACTCAAAAAGGATTCAATGGCCAACAGTATGAATTCATACGCCCCAGCCCCCTTTGTCGGCTCCCAACCCCGTCCCCATACAGAAGTGAATGTTACTGTAAGCCTCTCTTTAATTAAATCGCCGGATCCCATTTTTTCTGCATGCGACCTCTCCTGGGGCATGCGGGCTCGTCGGAATTTTGGTACCCATTGCTCTCGTGTGCATTGATATCCTAATGCAGTGTTGGTTTTTATCCGGCCACTGGATACATACATCTCTTCTGGGGCGCTCACCTTGTCTTCTTAAAGTCGGAGCCGTGAGAAAAAGATTGCTGCTTGGGAGGCTACCAACATCTTACGACTGCCCGAGAATGGCCCGAGGATTCCAGGCAGCTGCCTGGAATTCGAAGCATCACGAGGAAACCCCAAGTCCTTACTACTGCTGCAGGCTGGCTCCGTAGCCTCGGGAGTGTGCCGACATTTGGGCGCTTCAATGTTCCGTTCTAGATGAAGTTTTCTTAATGAAATTGCAGCTCCTTGACGTCATAATGAGTCGGGATAAGTTGCATATCGTCCGCCGGATTCCAGGCAGCTGCATGCGACCTCTCCTTGGGAGGGCTAGACAACCTATATATTCTCTCTCTCTCTCCCTCGTCCAGTGGTTTCCAGGTTCCCTTCGGTGGGACTGCATCCTTACCGGGCATATATTTAACGTGGAGAAATGACAAGGGTAATTTCTTGGCGCTCCATGCTGAGGATGTGTTTGGGGCTGGGGCTGAGCTCCGTGTCCCGTTCAAAGCCCATTTAATGGTCGTTTCTCTGTGGCCCGGGTTTCAAATCATGCAGAGAAACTGCAGACCTGGTTGCCGTAATCCTGCGGCCATCTGGCCCTCTATTCCCGTGGACCTTGGCGTCATCTCCTCAGGGTCTTCGGAGAAAACCTTGTCTGTGACTCCTGTCCGTGGATTCACTGGATGAGCAGGGGAGGATTCGAGTCCGTCGGAGTAGGCGGAGTTGACCGAGGTTTTCTCGCTTCTCTGGCACTGATCGTGTTGTTCATCCCCCACCATGTGAATTATACCGGACATTAAGCGATTTTACTTGGGTAAAACGAGTAGATATTAAGAATGTATGGCTTGCCGAAGGATGACTGTGTTGAGAACGAGCAAGCCCATGGCTTAGCCCCTAGAAATCCTCTCTATCTCGGTGCCCCGGTATTAAATTGTCAAAAAGGTGGATTCCTTCCCCGCACAGCAGAAAGAAGGTGAAATCTCGCAAAGGAGCCGCGCTTTATTCCCCCGTGTTTCCTTTACACCACGTCCAGAAGAGAGATGAGGGAGAAGGGAAGGCGGGGAAAGATGAGAGGGAGCTTGCGGGTGAAGGGTGGCATCCAACGGGCAGTGACGGCGTAGCGTGCGGCGATTGCGTGGGCCGGAGCCGCCGCCGGTTTCTCCCTGAGCTCACACTGCTTTCTTTCTCGGAGGAAGGACCAGGGCGGGGTAGCGACCAGTCACGGGGGCTATGAGAACTTATAAAGAGCAAATCAGCAGTTCGCGAGTCGGTACCCCACGCCCGCCAGCTCTTCTGGCACACTGCCGGGAGCCGCCACCTACCACCGGGCTTCTCAAGCTTTCTCGCGCAAGAAAAAATGCCGATCGGGGCTGAGCTGGTGCCCCCACCCGGTCTCTCTCTCTCTCTCTCTCTCTCTCTCTCTCTCTCGCTGTAAGTCCGAGTATATGACGATCGTCATTTGTTATGGATCGTTGGTGAAGGGTATCCGACCGCGGTCGCTGCCCAGAAGGCGAAGAAGAAGCCGTGCTGTCCCCGCAGAAGCAAGAAGAAAGGCGACAGAGGCTTCCTCGAAGGATGGTATGCCCCAAGCCATAGCTTTGGCAGTTTCTCTCTCTACTATTCCTCTCCTTTCCCTACCTCCAAGTTTCGTCGTGGCTGCAGCATGGCCGCCCTCTGCTGCTGCTGCCTTTGTGAGATCTGCTTCGACTAGCAGCGCCGCCGAGACAAGAACGACCCTAATGTCGCCCCCCGTACTCCACGACGCCGCCGCTGTTCGAACGTAATAAACAGTTCTCCTACCCACTTCAAGCACCCCAGTTCTCTGTGCAGATTTCCCTCTTCCCTCCCTGGATCTCCCCCGCCTCCCCCCCCTTTCCCCCTCCTGCAATCTGCAGGTGCCTAAGAAATCAAAGATCGGCCGGGGTATCGAGGTTCAAAATTATAGGTTTATCGAGTACAATGGATTCATGTAAGATAATAACATGAAAGGTTTAGCCTTTTTACAGCCAGAGGGGGGCGCTGTCCGCTTGAAAGGGGGGCTCCTCACTTCAGATCCTGGAGGGGATGAGTGGGGTGTTGTTGAGGAGGTACGCCGCTGCCGCCGCCACCCCGCTGCCAAGCTTCACCGGGTACCCGACGTCCCTTAGCACCATCTCCACCCCGCTCAGGCACCCCAGCAGTTGCAGCTGCACAAACACGCCCGCCAACGTAAACACCCGAAACTCCACATCGCACCCTCTTGGGCTCAACGACCACTCTAGCTCACCATGGCTACTAAATCACATCGATAGAGAGAGAGAGAGAGAGAGAGAGAGAGAGAACTCCTCACCTTCCCTAGTACTTGATATGAAACAATGAGGATAGTCGATTCGAAATGAATGGGGATCAAGTTGAGACTCAGTATTCAAGAGGAAGGGTGCAACGATACTATAAGATGGAGAAAGAGCGGAGGAGGATACCTCGTTGACGTTACCAAGATGCCCTATTCTGAACACCTTTCCGGCCACCTTGTTCAGTCCCAAGCCTAAGCTCAGGTTGAACCGCTTCCATGCCCTCCTGACGATCTCTGAACTGTCGACGTACCCTGGGACCATCACCGCCGTCACTGTGTCACTGTACCACTCCTCCTTCTGGGTGCAGTTCTTCAGGCCCCAGGCTTCCACAGCAAGCCTGCGCGCACACACAGCTTATCATCCATCAGAAATACATTATTTCTGTATTGTTCGCCCTAAAAAGTCAACACCTCAAACAATGAAAAATCCTTCTGGAATGACAGGGGTGGGCACGGAGCCTAAACAGTCGTTTCCCCATAATTTCTTTTTGTTTACGTAAAATGTCAATGGTTCGAACAATGAAAATCCGCCAATAATGGGTAGACTAGGGGGAGCGAGGATGGCTGACCTTGTCGCCGTCCCCAAACGGCTGTGCCTCCTGATCACGTTCTCGAGGCCCTCCTCGAATATGAGGTCCAGAGCAGCTCGAAGCCCGTAGAGCAGTTGAATGGACGGGGTGTACGGCCAATAAGTCCCCATCTTATAGAACTTGAGGTAGTCGTTCCAGTCGAAGAACACTCTCACCGACTTGGCGGTCTTGGAAGCCTCCAGCGCCTTGGGGCTGGCGCAAACGATGCCCATCCCAGTGGGCAGCGAGAGGGCCTTCTGAGATCCCGTCAGTGCCACGTCCACTCCCCACTCGTCCATACGGAAGTCAAGCGCGCATATTGATGACACTCCGTCGACCAGCAGCAACGCGGGATGCCTGTAGTCGTCTGTCTCCAAGCATGATCGAGAGGTACGTACATCAGCTTCTCAGAACATAATAAAAATGGAAAATTATGCATCAAGAAATCCCAGGCGTCGATTCTATCGGAAGATGATGAGCATCCATACTCGATGAGGGTCAATCTAGAAGACCAGTATGTCAGCTAGATGGCCCCCGACAGCCACTGAAAACCAGTGCATGCCAATCGGATAAAACACAAATATTTATCGGGATGTTCAGAATAGCAGCAGAGAATAAAAAAACTAACAGATGATTGGTTCGATGAACTCTCCAGGGTATATAAGATACCATTCAACAGCCATCGCCAAAGTGCAAGCATCAATCATTCCAGATAAAAACTATCTATTTTCTTCAATGCAAACTGATAGCCTACGTTGAACTGCGCTGCTAATCCCAATCAACTGCGACGAGTATGGTCCACCGAATACCATAAAAAATCGAAGAGACCAGCTGGAAATCAAAGTGCAAAGGCATATTTTCTATTTCTCATTATCAAATGAAAATTTAAACCTCACCAAGTAGTTTCCTCACAGTCGCCAAGTTGTTGGTGACTCCCGTCGCCGTCTCATTGTGAACAATGCAAATAGCTTTGATGCTGTGCGAATTGTCTGATGCCAACTTTTCAGCTAAAATGTCAAGGTTGGCACCTTGTCCCCAGTCACTCTCTACGACATCAACATTAAAGTTCAGACGCTGCTGCTGGTCGATCCAGAGGAGGCTGAACTGTCCGATGAGAAATGATATGATTCGATCTCCAGGGGACAGAGTGTTAGTAAGTGCACTCTCCCATGCCCCGGTTCCTGCATATTAAGATTTAAATGATGTCACATGAAGTGTCCGAGAAAGCATCTCATCAAAGATAGCAGGAATATTTATCCAAACATAGAAAGAAAGAAAAAACTATGGGCACATCAATGTCACTATAACTGACATCTGAACCCATGTAAAGAATTTCAGCAATTCGAATGTAGAATACTTGGAAGAATAATTATCTTTTCGGAACTATTCTTGCCACAAGTTCCAACGAAATAATCTTAGAGAATTAAAGGGCGTGAAAGTTTTCCAGAAAGAAAGTATATCAAGTAATATTTCAATAACTGAAGCTTCACAAGGATGTTTCATTACCGGACTGCATCTATTAAATACTAATCAAACTAAAAACGATACCCCTCTCCGTTCATTCCAGTAAAACCACCATCGAAAATTTTAAACGTAGTCAAATGCTAAGGTCTGGTAGCTTCACCAGTCTTTGACCAAAAAGCTACCATATAATGGTGTTTTATGTTTTAAGAAACTACCAGACGACCATTCACAGCACTTGGCCACATTGCCCAATATATACATGGTGGCATACAAATGATTCCCAAAAATACACCAAAAATAAAGTTTTACTGTAAGGGCGTTAAATTTTTTATCAATTCTCAAATAAATTTAGAAAAGAGTAAGCATGAGTAGGCATGGGAAACTCAAACAGGCTACAATCAAGGGTACTTGTCACCAAATCTAACGTTTTAACCATCAGGACTTGGTTATTGAAGTCCCTGGACGATTTGTTGAAAGAGGGATGGGGTGACCAGTTTCAGCCGAGGCTCTAATGTTCGGCCAGGAAATAGAGCCATGGGATGTCCTCTCTACGACTACCAAACTTAGCAACAACAAAAACCATGGCGATTTCCTCTACCATTTCGGAGCTATATTATGCACACAGCATAGTGCCTGCTCAAAATTCAGAGATGTATGGCTACCATATTCATGGCATGCACCAAGGGATTAACTCAGCTAAAAATGAATCGTGTTTCTGAACATATATGGATTTTAACCAGCTGGTAAGATTAAGCCATTGGTAAAAGACTCAACCCAATCAATCACAAGAATTAAAAGGTGTAAACGTTGTTTTAACTCATAACGAAGAGAGAAACATAACGAAGAAAAGATTATCGAAATATTTTCTTCACCCAAGTACACAGACAGAAGTGCTAATACCTGTGGTGGGAATCAAAAACGGAGTCCCGCTTGTCGTCTTGAATATCTTCTTAACATCCTCAAGAAGGGTCTTTGTCAACGCCGGCACAGCGGGGGAACGGTAGTCCTCGTTGTTCCTGTTCATGGCGCGTATCACAGGCTCCGGGATGTTCACGGGTCCCGGGACAAAGAGGTGATTCCTCCCCGGTCCGTAAACGTAGTCCATCTTTCTCCTTCATCAAAAGAAAAAAAGAAAAGGACTATCAGCCATCAACAATAGTATTCTTCTCAAAGTCGGGAGCAGATTGAGCTCGGGCGTACTGAAACTGTCCAGGGTTCAAGAACGACCGATTACAAGCAAGAAAGAATCAACTGAGATCCATAGAACTTCTGCCACAAGAACAAGAACCAGGGTCGAAGAACTAGTTATTCCAATTAACAAGCAATAACTTTAGATAGGAGTTCCCCAGTTTGTCGTATTCCCCCACCCATTTCGCCGACACTGAGAACCACGGACGACGTACGGAACCAGAGGCGAGAGGGCAATCCGAATGGATTCGTCCTTGGCGGCGGAATGCGCCGTGTGGTAAGAGGGGGGGCGGCGAGGCAGCGGAGAAATCTGATCCCCGAGTCCACGACGCGAACTCAAAAACGACGCAAGCGACAGAAGAACAAGATAATATCACCGATTCGATTGCCATCAAAGACTGCAGCTTTATTTTTTGCTTTATCACTATTGTTATCCAAGTAATTACTGTAATTTATTTCACTGGATAATAAGGGTATTCAGCAGTAATCAAAATTAATTTCCTCTCGCGAAAATATTTAAAGACATGTTCTGTCAAATCAAGTTTATTCGTCCATAAGGTTATAATATGATCGTGACAAATATGTTAATAACAGGTATTATTAATTAAATGTTCCAACCAACTCAGTCGGGCCATGTGGAGTAAAATATCTAGATTTCTTCACTTTTGCTAGAAAATAACAAAAATTCCTTTCCTGTTATCACTCCACTCCCCGCTAGAAATCTTATCTCGATTCAAAAGAGTCGACAGACACACTAATGTGAATACCAATCTCGCAGAGTTTGATTCTCCGCTGGATCAAAAACCGGAAGAGAAACTCGGAAACCGACATTACAGCAACGATATTTCCGTTTCACGAGATACTCCCGATTCTAACATCGGTAAAAGGTAGTCCAGAGTAGGTTATCCCCTGGAAAGACAACTAGGCGAGGGAAAGCCATAGCCGAAGGAGGAAAGGGGATGACAGTGGAGTTGTACGGCAACCAGGGGACACCCAAACTTACAGTCAAATTATCGGCGAGCTTTCCCCATCGAGTCCGACTAGGAAAGCGAAGGACGAAAGAAAGAGGGTGTGCGCGGGGGAGATGAGAAAGAACAGCCCGCGTCTAGCATATCCACGACGGAGTCTTGGAAATCTCGGCGGATTAACCGCGAAATCTGCAGCTATTCTGCGTACTGTTGTTCCAGTGGCTACTACTGAGAAAGGAGTCCACAGAGAGCAAGAGAGAGAGAGAGAGAGAGAGAGAGAGAGACACACACACACACACACACACACACAGGGAGAGAGACCTGTGGATCCTTCGACGAGATCTCCGAGGAGCGCGCAGAGTACGGGACCCGGAACACCGCCTCTGCTTCTCACCCGCACAAACTTCGGCCAGAGAGGGAGAGGATGAGAAAACAAGCGTGACCGGGGGGAGGGAGCGGAAGGTGGAGATTTAAAGGACCGCGCATGGCCGCCCACGCGCCAGGTGAGAGGGCCCACGCTCGTCCGGCGTGGCAGATAAGAACCTCGGCGGCCCCCCAACTTGCGGCCTAGGAGCTCGCCCCCGAGCCCGGTCGTTCCCAGGCGGCTCTACTATCCGATGATCAGAGAGGAGCGGGTGGCGGGAGGGGAAAGATGAGGACGGCGAGGATAATGGGACCTCCTCGCCACACACACGTACGGTTATCCTCCCTTCAAGGAAGATGCCACGTCACACAATCCCTTTCAGTAGATTTAATTTTAAAAAATTATGTACGTCCTCTTACCGCAATTAATTTTTAGATATTAAATTTCACGTAGAGACGTGTGCTACGTCTCCTTGTCTTGCTATCTTTGCAAAGTTCATATTTTCTTGTATTTAGAGAAAATCCCAAAATGCTATCCACGTTAGACCCTTTAAAGGAGTGCACCAAGATGAGGAGGAGAAGAGAGAGAGAGAGAGAGAGAGAGAGAGAGAGAGAGAGAGAGAGAGAAGCTGAGGGGATCTAAAAAATGTGTCGTTTACAGGACTTTTCAGAAACAAAATAGGTTAGAATTTAGAGGACTTTCCAGAAAAGATCCACAAAGAAAACGTTTCATTATAATTTATTATAAAATAACAAGAGAAAGATTTGCAATCTCAAACAATTTCACTAAGTTAGGTACATAGTAATGTGCTATCAAATTTTCCAAGTTTTAGAGGATCATGTCCTTTATTAAAAGTATGAAAAGGAACCCATGAAACTAAGTAAATGTCATAAAGTTTTGGAGATCATTATGAAATTTTATTTAGATAATATTTGATATAAATAGAAAAAGCTAGAAACATTGAACATCTAGCTACCTTAGTGGACTATAGTGTCACTAGATTATGCTATAAGTACTTTTTAAACCCTTGAATGCAATAGGGTTTCCACAATAAGTCAAAAAAAATATAAAGACAACTAGTCTAGGACAAACTAAACTCTAAATGGCCAATCTTGTGTACTATCCTAAAATTGTGTTTAATTAGGTTCATATTAAGTAATTTCATTTGAGATTACTCATGAAGTTTGCCCACCACTTCATAGATCATTCAATATGTTTAAGCAATGAACATAATTTTTGTAATGCATTATTCTATAGTTTAACAAAATGTTACAAAAATGTTTTTCTTTTTATTATTGTTGTGAGCATAAAGAGTGTATGTATATAAATGGGTCATCTACCTTATATATATAAGGAGAGAAAGAGATATACAATAAGATAAAATAGACATGTTAGGCCTATTAAGTTGGTACGACCCACTCACACTCTCCCTCAAGTTTGAGAGTAGATGTCCAGCATTCATAACTTGCTACAAAGAGTATTGTATGATATTTCACTCAAACTCTTCATGAAGATATCCATTAGTTGCTCTGAGGATAAGATATGTGGTGTCGTGATGAGTCATTTGAAAACTTTGTTGTGAATATAGTAACAATACACCTCAATGTGTTTTTTGTACGCTCATAGAATATTGAGTTACTTACATTGAAGATTACAACCTAGTTGTTGTAATACACAAGCATAAGAGTGCATACTGAAAAAATCAACTCTTGAAGAAATGTGCGTGTTCACATGTTGTATCAACCGTAATCTTATATTTGACTTCAGCACTAGAGTAGATATCACATTTCATTTTTTGTTACATCAAATGATAACGTTCCCTCCAAGGTATGTGCAATACCCAAATGTAGATTTTCAATCACTCTTTTTGCCTACAAAACTAGAATCAAAGTAAGCCTCAACCTAGAGATGACGATGTCATTGATATATTAGGACTTGTCTCAGAGCATATTTGACATATGCCAATACTCTTAGTGCTCTTAACTAGTATTTTTCATGGCTCGTGCATAACTTAGTTGAGAAGTCATACAGTGTAAATAACATCAAGGCCACTGATTATCAAGTATATTAACCTCTTGATCAATTGTCGATACCAATTAGCATCCTCAAAAAGAAGAGAGGTGATGTCCCAAAAATTAAGTCATGAGTCAATCGATGAGAACTCAAGTTTACAGCTTAGGAGATCGGCATCTTCTAGCAAATTCAGAACATACTTGTATTGGGGCAAAACCATTCATCCATCTTGATAGACAAACTTGATCCCTAAGAAATAGCGAGCCCATGTCTCTAGTGACAAAGTGTTCATGTATGTCAGCCTTGGTATGTGCAATGTCAACCATGTCACTGCCTATGAGAAGGATGTCATTAACATAAATTATTAGAATGATATTCCCAATAGTAATATGTTTACGAAAGATGATAGAGTCTACTATGTACGTCATGAACCTATGAATAGTCAAGATATGACTAAACTTAACAAACTATGCCCAGAAATTATGTTTAAGTCCATAGATAACCCATTTGAAAATACACACCTAAGATTACTCCCCCTAGGTAGCATACCCTAGAGGTTACTCCATGAAGACTTTTTGTGTCATGTCTCTATAGAAGAAGATGTTGGAAATGTCAAGTCATGTGAGCATCTACCCTTAGTTGAGAGTTAGGAAAAGTAGTATGCAAATAGAGTTGAGGCGAATAACTAGAGAAAAGGTTTCTTGGTAGTTGATGCCATATGCCTGAGATAAGTCTCAAGCCACCATACATGCTTTGTGTTAAATGATTTTGTACTTCGAAGAATATTTGTGTGTAAACACCCACTTATACGTGACAATGTTGGCATCTTTGGGATGAGGAACTAACTCTCATATTTTGCACATGAGCAGGGCATTATACTTCAAGTTTATAGTTGCCTTCCACTTAAGTATCTATCAAGCCTCAAATTACATCTTGGGTAGTGACTCAGAGTTAATTGTTAGGGTGAAGGTGGTCATAAGAAATAAAGTGGCAAATAAGGTGATGAGTACAACTCTAAATACCTTTTCGAAAAGTGACCAGTAGATGAAGGTCAAAGTCAGATGGTGGCGGCAGACTTGAGGATGGAATTAAGGTTGGAGTAGACAAGGACAATGAGTCTTGATCTAGCGATTCAATGAGTGGCAAGTTTGATAACTCCTCTAAGGGGAGTAGAGGTAGATTAAGCAATAATGGAGGTGAAAGAGGTGTAAGGGTGATGAAAGTGGTGGAGAAAAGTCGAGTGTCTTCAAAAAATGTGACATCAGTAGAGATTATACTATTAATCATCTAAAAGATATATGTAGTAATTCTTCTAGGTGCAAGAGTAATCAATAAAGACCCACTTAAGAACTCGAGGAGAGAGTTTGGAAAGATTAGAGAAGTGGTCTTAATCAAAGACAATACATCCAAACACCTATGGTGGGAGAGAAAAGAGATCTATATGAGGATGAAAACAACAAAGTGAGACTTGTCCCTCTAAGGATGAAGAGGAAAGCTAAGTGAGTAGGTAGGTAGTTGTGAGAACAATGTCAAATTATAAGTAGTGAGGGTCTCCCATCTCTACTAATAGTATTTGAATCACATCAAGAATGAGATGATGTTTACATTTAGTTACATTATTTTGTTGAGAAGCGTGAGGATAGAATGTTTGGTAGAGAATGACAAAGGATATACAACAATCTTAGAAGGGACGTTGAAGGAACTCAATAGTGTTGTCTATTCAAATAATTTTTGGAGTCGAAGAGTACTAAGTGATAATTTTGTGGATAAATAATTGAACAATAGAAAATATATTTATGCAATCTTTGAGGATATAGACCCATGAGATACAAGAATAATCATCTACAAAGATGAGATGTAATAGTGATGGCCAAGAAGAGAGTAGATACGAAAGGGACCCCACACATCAAAGTTAACTAAATTAAAAAATATTAGGCTTTTAACAAAATCAAGATGTTTGTAGATAGCTCGATAGTGCTTATCAACCTGACATGATTCACACAAAAGAAAGGGGATAGAAGTCTAAGGGAGGGTTTGTTAGAGTTTGGAGAGTCTAAGATGTCTAAGTCAACAATGTCAAAGGATGGAGTTGACACAAGTTGTGATAAAGGCAAGTCTTGAAGGAAAATGATCAAGAATGAGCTCGTAGACATCATGCTCATTCACACGGCCCAAATAAATCATCTTCTCCATCCTCAAATTCTAAAATGTACAATAAAAGTAGAAGAAGGTTACTAAGTACTGAAAAACTTGGGTGATGTCTAATAAGTCTTCATTATCATGAGTTAATAATTAATAAATAGTATATTTTTAGCCTTAACTCATGATAAATAGACTTATATTTATGTTAAAATGTGAAAAGTGGTTTTCAGTTGATTAATGTAAATTTTTGGCTAATTATGAGATTTTTAACAAATTTATATGATTTTTATAATCTTATTTTTTAGATAAATGAAGAAATATATATATATATATAGCAAACGGAGAGGACCTACCAGCCAGCCAAGCCTGCAAGCAGGTCGGAAGTGTAGTTGGGGGGAGCCATGAATAGGGCTCAAGCGGTTAGAACTGATAGGGGCACTTGTGCACCACTCCCCTTCCATGTCATTGATGGTCAGCCGATTGTGAAGTAAAAAGTGATTGTACATGCGAGAGAAAGAGACTCATTATTTGAAAATGTGATATTACTACATATTCACCCAAAACTTTAGCAAACAAGTAATGTGGGACTAAACCTACATCACACCTTCCCCTGAAAGGCTTCAAAGATTTTAATACCTAAACTACCCCTTAATTATAATAAAGATATATCATGATGATGTCACTTAATAAGACTCTTATAGTACTTATTTTAATCTCTCTCATGTAGATGGGCAACCGATGTGGGTTTGAATCTTCTTAGAGCCAAAACTCATATTTTTATTTGATTATCGCGACTTTCTTATAGATCACTAGTAAAAGATTAAGTCGTCAGAATCATTAAATCATTAGCAAAAATCTCATCAACGTGATTCGCAGAACATTACTACTAAAATTACTGAATGATTCATGATAAAAGAATCGTAAATCCATCAACTAAATCATCTCTAATTGATTGATGAGCAAACCATTGTCGTGAAAAGAATGATTCACTAAGAGATGAGTCACCACCTCCTAAGAGCATACCAAATGTGTGAACAGCCTCATTTTGCTATGCGGATCTAAAGATGAAGCTCCCTAGCACATGCCTCATCTCTATCTAGCTCCTCTCCGTCGGGTGACAACTACCGAAGAACTACAAAGTCGTTATTTTTCTGCTCCGCTAGGTGACAGTTACTGTAGACAATTCAATGACTCATTTCATTGATCTCTAGACTTCATAAAGAAATCTAGAGATTGTCCATGTCGTCCTTATCTAAGAAGAGCCTTTGAGGTTGTGGATGCTACACAACAATCTTTTTGAATGTTTAGAATTTTGGTGCATCATCAATGCAGCACTATTGTGATGCCAGAACTTTATTTTCTTACTTTCAACTTAATTTTTACTTCATATAGTAATAATTTGTGTGATTTAAATTTACCAAGTTATATTTCATTTAATTATAATTTTTCTAATTTTTATAAATCTTAATTTAATCAATTAAATCATTTATAATTACTTATGTAAGAATCACCAAGCAAAACTCTATTTTCACCTGATTTGCATTCATCAAGTGCTGATGTCATCCTAATGTCCACACCTTTATTTCTCTTTTTCATGAATTTTAAATATATTTTATTTTTATTTCTTGGTATAAAATTCATAGAAATTTGTAATCTTTGATAAAGATTTTAAAAAATTATTCGATATTATATTACATCTCTATGATTGACCTAAAAAATTATCACTATTTTTAAAATTTTTATTAAATTATAATTAATATATTTGTTCAAAAATACTTCTAAATATCTAAAAACTAGTATATCTAGTTTTTTAAATTTTAAATTTACGTGATTTACTATACAACAACTAAGTCATGTCAATGTCACTAATAGATAACATAGGAAAATTGAGAATATATAAAACATCAATTAAAGGAAGGTGAGAGGTGGATGATTTATGATTTGTCCCTTGATAGAGTAAGTACATCCATCCACAATGGCAACAAAATAAGGGTCAAAAAGTGTAGATAGGTAAGAGAAAATGGTGAATATACCTAACATATGAGCTAACACCCCTAGTTAATAATCTAAGAAGTTGAATTTGAGGCAAGTAATGATACTTCAGGTAGAAGTCGTAGCATGGGTGGCGGCATGACTTGTCGATGTACCATCCTTATACTTCATCGAAGCATCATATTATGTTTGAGATAGAGACATGTTAGAGTTGTTAGATAGTGATGTCTTTATTATTATGAGTTAATAATTAGTAAATAATATAGTTTTAGTCTTAACTCATGATAAATAGATTTATATTTGTGTTAAAGTGTGAAAAGTAGTTTTTAGTTGATTAATGTGAATTTTTGAGTAACTATGTGATTTTATATGAATTTGTATGATTTTTATAGTCTTACTTTTGAGATAAATGAAGAAAAAAATAAAAAGAAAAATAAAAATCTAGCAAAATGGGGGGGACCTGCCGGCCAGCCAAACCCACAAGTGGGTCAGAAGCACAATTAGGGAGGAGCCACAAGTAGGAGCTCGAGTAATTAGGACCAATAGGGGCACGTGTGCACCACTCTCCTTCCACGTCACTGGTGGCTAGCCAGTTGTGGGGCAAGGAGTGGTCATACACATGTGAGAAAGGAACTTGATTAAAAAATATAATATTATTATATATTTGCCAAAAACTTCAGTGCATAAGCAATGTGGGACTAAACTCGCATCACACCTTCCCCAAAAAGGGCAGACAATCAGCGCAGGTTCAAATCTTCCTAGAACCAAAACTCATATTTTTTATTTAATTATCGCAACTTTTCTGCAAATTGCCAGTGAAAGATTAAGCAACCAAAATCACTAAATCATCGATAAAAATCTCATCAATGTGATTCGCGAAGCATTGTTACTAAAATTTAGATGTGATGAAAAGCCTCCTCTTGTTGCGCGGACTTAAGGATGAAGCTCCCTAACATGCACCCCACCTTCATTCAACTCTTCTCTATCGAGTGACAATTGTTGGAGTGCCGCAAAGTCATCATTTTTTTACTCCACCGGGTGACAGTTGTTAGAGAAAATTCGATGACTCATTTCATTGATCTCTAGACTTCGCAAGGAGATCTAGAGATTGTTCACATCGTCTTTGTCCAAGGAGAACCTTTGAGGCCATGGGCACTACATGATGATCCTCCCAAATACTTAGGATTCCAGTGCATTGTCGACGCATCACCGCCGTGATGTCGGAACTCTATTTTCTTATTTTTAACTTACTTTTTACTTAGTTAGTGATAATTGTGTACTTTAAATTTATTAAGATATACTTCATTCAATTAAGATTCTTCTGACTTTTACAAATCTTAATTTAATGAATTAAATCATCTATAATTATTTACATAAAAATTATCAGGTAGAAGTTTATTTTCACCCGATTTGCATTTGCAAGGTGCTGACGTCACCTTGACGTTCACACCCTTATTTTCCTTTTTTATGAATTTTAAATATATTATATTTTTATTTTGTAGTATAAAATTCATATAAAATAGTATTCTTTGAGGAAAATTCAAAATAATTACTCAATATTATATTATATCCCTATGATCAACTTAGAAAATTACTACTATTTTTGGAAGTTTTGTTGAATTACAATTGATGTATTTATTTAGAAAAACTTCTAAATATTCAAAAAAAAATATTTTCTAGTTTTATAAATTTTAAATTTATGTGATTTATTATACAATGACTAAGTCATGTCAAATAGCATCAAGTTGGATGTGATATGAGCCCAATCATCGGGCTTACCGAACTTGTCCTAACATTTGTTTGACAAGTAGTTGGTCTACCCGTAATGCTCACATGGAGAGAGACAGCCCCAACCACCCAAGCCGCATCTTTCATCGCATCTATGGCCACACCTACTATCTCAGTCATATTCGTTCCTTCTTCCATTCATAGTGACTATGATAGATGAGTCATGGACAACTAGAGTAGAAGTATAGGGAGCTTAGCTAGCGGACACATGAACATACTTTGAAAAAGTCATTGTAAGGATGGTAAGATGTCAGTGGCAAGGACCTAACCCTAAATTTGAGAAGTGGTGCAGTAGTGAAGGCCGAACATCCAAGAAATGACATGGGTCAGAAAGGGGTGCAGTAGTGAAGGCCAATGTGCATCTTGTTGATGGGTGCATAATGTGCAGGGTGTGCACACCTCTATGTGTTGTGGAGGAGACATGGGTCAGAAAGGGGGAGGCCAATGTGCCTTAAGGTGAGATGTGGCAGTAGGGAAGGACTAGCATGCTTGGGGGAAAGAGGGGGGTGGCGAGAGTACGCAAGCATGACCAGGATGAGATGGGGTCAACTTTGATATCATGCAAGCCCAATGAGTGTGTGTATAAAGGAGTCCTTGACGTGACTTAGTCGTTGTATATTAAATCACGCAAATATTAAATTTATAAAAGTAGAAAATATGAATTTTCAGATATTTAGAAGTATTTCTAAATAAATATATCAATTATAATTCAATAAAAATTCCAAAAATAGCGGTAATTTTCCAGGTCGATCATAGGGATGTAATATAATATCTGATAATTATTCAGAATTTTTCTCAATGAATACGATTTTCTTACAAATTTAATACTAGGAAATAAAAAGAAAATATATTTAAAATTCACGAAAAAAAACGAAATAAGGGTGCGGACATAAGGACGATGTTAGTGCCCGATGAACGCGAATAAGGCGGAAACAGAGTTCCGCCCGACGATTCTTACGTAAGCAATTACAGAAGACTTAATTAATCAAATTAAGATTTGTAAAAGCAGGAAGAATTGTAATTTAACGAAGTATAGTTTGGTAAATTAAAATCACACAAAGTATTAGTAAATGAAGCGTAAATTAAATTGAAAGTAGGAAAACAGAGTTCTAGCGTCACGACGGCGATGCGTCAGCGATGCACCGGAATCCTAAGCGTTCGGGAGGATCGTCGTGCAATGTCCACGGCCTCGAAGGCTCTCCTTGGACAAAGACGACGTGGGCAATCTCTAGATCTTCTCGCGAAGTCTAGAGATCAATGAAGTGGGTCGTCGAATCGTCTTTGGCGGCTGTCACCCGACGGAGCGGAAAAACGGCGACTTTGTGGCTCTCCGACGGCTGTCACCCGACGGAGAGGAGCTGGATGGAGGTGGGGCACGTGTTAGGGAGCTTCATCCTCAGGTCCGCACAGCAAGAGGAGGCTCTTCATCGCATCTGGTACGCTCTCAGGAGGTGGCGACTGGTCTCCTAGCAGATCGTCCTCTTCCCGACGACGGCTTGTTCGTCGATCAATCGGAGATGATTTACTCGATGGATTCGCGATCCTTTACTCTTGTTTTATTTTCTGATCAATCGGAGATGATCAATCGGCTTTCAATTTAATTTACACTTTATTTAGTGATACTTTGTTTGATTTTAATTTACCAAACTATACTTTGTAAAATTACGATTCTTCCGGCTTTTACAGATCTTAATTTGATTAATTAAGTCGTCTGTAATCGCTTACGTAAGAATCGTCGGGCGAAACTCTGTTTCCGCCTGATTTGCGTTCGCCAGGCGCTGATGTCATCCTGATGCCCGCACCCTTATTCCCTTTTTTTTCGTGAATTTTAAATATATTTCCTTTTTATTTCCTAGTATAAAATTCGTAAGAAAATTGTATTCATTGAGAAAAATTCTGAATAATTACCAAATATTATATTACACCCCTGTGATTGACCTGGAAAATTACCACTATTTTTTGAATTTTTATTAAATTTTAATTGATATATTTATTTAGAAATACTTCTAAATATCTGAAAATTCGTATTTTCTAGTTTTATAAATTTTATATTTGCGTGATTTAATATACAACGACTGAGTCACGTCAAATTTTGGCGCCGTTGCCGGGGATGTATTGCATAATATTTAGTATTTTTCTATTTTTCTCTTAGAGTACACAAAAAAAAAAACTTTACTCTCGTTTTATTTTCTTTTTGCCAATTTTTATTAGAAAAAGGGAACGAAAAGAAGCACGGCAAGGACTGGAGCATCCTGAAGGAGGGTAACAGTTACTAACTTTTTCCCTCGAATTTATTGATTTTTATGCATGGTAGAAGATCCTTACATCCAAGGCTAGAAAATCCTTTCATTATTTCATTCAAAAATAAAAATTCGAAAGAAAAGTTAATTTTGATGGATCCTAAAGGAAGTACAGGTCAAACTGAGAACAATCCTATGGCCATGAAAAATCATTATATCCCTGATTCATTTCAAAGAGCATCTAATATCAGAGTCCCATTAGCACCCACTATTAAATTCGAAATAAATCTAGGAATTTTTCAAATACTCCCTAATTTTCATGGATTGCCTTTAGAGGAACCTCATCAGCACTTAGAAAAATTTCATATGGTCTGTGATTTAGTTAATCTCCCTCAAGTTACACCGGAAATTATTAAGATGAAATTATTCCCTCATACACTTGGGGACAAAGCTAGTCATTGGCTATCCACATTAGATAGAGAATTAACTAGCTGGAAAGATATAGAACAGGCCTTTCTTCGAAAATTTTATCCCTTAGGAAAAACTCAAAATATGAGAAAACATATATGGAGTTTTTCTCAAAGACCAGGAGAAACTTTGCATGAGACATGGGAAAAATTCAAAAATTTACTTAGAAAGTGTCCTCATCATGCTATACCCAAGTGGCAGCTCAATAGAATTTTTTATGATGGATTATTAGAACAACATAGAAATATGGTTGATTCTATATGTGGAGGAGCTTTTATAGAGAAAACTCCTGATGAGATTTACAGTTTTTATGAGAATTTAAGTGAAAATTCTAGAGATCAAGCCTCTTTTGAATTATATGACAGGGAAATGAAGAGAGAAATTTATGAATTACATCATGATGATAATTCTAAACTTAGAAATGAGGTTAATCAGATTAATCAAAGATTAGAAAAACTTGATTTACTTATTGACAATATTAAAAAGCCTCTTAACCCTCAATTTAATTCAAATATTACATGTCCTACGTATGGTGAAAATGATCATTTCAAATTTCAATATCATCCTAGGCAAGAACAAGTGCAAGTACCTCACGATTTTAGTAAAAATTGGGAATATTTTTCTAATTCTTATAATCCTAATTGGGGGAATAATTTTTCGTGGAGAAACCCAAATAATATTCAAAATCCAGAAGCACTTAGATCCAACTCAAACTCTGAATTTTGTCCAAAACAAGAAAACCGATTTCAGAAAAATCAGCCCTCTCAAACCCAACATGATACTATAGAAATGATGCAGCAAATGAGCCAAATGATGCAACAAACTATGAATCAAATGATGCTTCATCAGAAACAAATTATAGAGGCTCTTGAGAATAAGAGAGAAGAGGGACAGCTACCTCGTCAGCCCATAGAAAATTCAGAAAACTGTCAAATAGTAAGATTTCAGCAAGAAGAGTCTAGCTGGATAAATTTTAAAAAAAACTCACAAAATGAAAATGTTAGGACAGTGAATACATTGAGTGAGAATATTTTACTTGATCGTTATTTCCAATTATTAGAAGAAATTGATGATCCATTAGAAGTAAAAAAGAATATTAAGGCCAAAAATATAGTAGCAGAAAATTTGAATAAAATCATTTATTGCTCACAATTGATGAATGAATATAGTGAGGATGATGAAGAGAAAGAACCCTTAGATGAAGAAACAGCAACTAATCATAGAAAAATCGTCCAAATTTTAGTAGAAGGGAGTAAGGACAGAAATGAAGAAAAATATATTTCAGGTGAGGAAAAATCAATTGATTTGGAAGATGTAGGAGACGAAATTAATGAATCTAATCATAATTTTGCAACCATAGATGTTGATTGTGAGGATGATGATGTATATCAGATACCAAAATTAAAAGATAGCTCTTGGGAAGATGAAGAATTTGATGAGTTGAGAAACGAAAAGCTAGAAAAAGAATTGATTCAACTAATGGGAACAAGCGAAAATAATAGATATGAATATAGAGATAATTTTGGAGGAGAAAATTTGAATTTTACTGAATTCATTAGATCTGAGATTAAAGAAGACAATCCTTCCATCTTTCAAAGCCCACAGCCCATTAGAATTATTTCTAAGCTTGAAATATTTCACTCCTCGCAAATTGAACAAATATGTATGGAAGATAAAATGGAGCAGGGGAAGATTATGCAGATAAAAGAAGACATTAAGAAATGGGTGAGTGGAAGAATTAGAGATACCAATTTAGATGAAAAAAAATTATATTGGGTAAGAGCTAATCTGAAAATTATATGGCCTGATCACATTTTATGGTTTATTAATAGAAAGTATTTATTAATAAATGAGAGCCTAACAAAATAAGATAGAAATAAGGAAAGATTCTTTTCAAAATGGAAATATTATTTTTGGGAAAAAATTGTTAATTTCCATTTTGTTTTGGCTGAAAGTATGTTAAGGTATATATATGAAGTATATGAATTTATGCTAAATCTGAAAAATAATATCATGAAACTTACCTTGGGATACAAATATATTTTGATGGCCATAGATCACCTTATATGATGTAAGAGCTGTCCAGCTGGAGACATTAAATTCAGCGCTGCATGGGAGTCAACCCATGGTTTTTATTTCATTCTGTTTGATTTTTTTTAAGCTCTGTTTTTCTTAGAATTTCGTAGTACTTGTTTGTGTATTTGTTTTTCTTTCGAAAAAGTGCAAGAGGAGTGTAAGATGAAGTGAAAAATTAAAAACAAGGTTGAGGTGATGTCTTTCAGAGCTTCATCATTTATGAAAATATTTTTAATGCTTAACTTTGCAGATATGCATGCTTCACTTGAAAATTATATTTTCTGCATATTCTGTTTCGAGTTTTCTGTGTCATTGAGTACAATGTCATTTTTAAGTTGGGGGGTGAAGTATTCATTATTAATTGATACTGTAGTACGATTAAGAACATGTGTTTGCATTTTATTCAACTTAGAACAGCAACTAAAAAAATAAAAAATAAAATAAAATTCGGAAAAATTGCAACATCTATTTTCTGGTTTTCTGTCAGAAACAATAGACTGTCAAAAACAGCAGACAAAAAATAGCCCGAAATTTGAAATTCTAGAAGACCCTTTTCTCACATTTCAATCCCCTAGATATATATTACTGAAATTTGAAATTACAGCTATAAAGAAGATAGTTTTGATTTATTTTTGACAAATTTATTACTGCTAAAAATAGAATTGAAAATAGAAAACGGAATTGTCAGAACTATCTAATTTACAAATTCCTTACATCATATTACATGCATGAAAAATTAAATCAATTAGATTGATTGATACCAAAAGATACTAGGAAAATTATTATTGAGTCAAAAGAATGATCTAGTAGCATAAAATGTTGGAATACTTCTTGGATACATGATAGATAACATGGATTTGATTTTACAGATTTTCACTTCATGATCTTGATGGATAGTATTTACTTGATGTGAAAATTTGATTGATCATTTGAGTTTAATGGAGATTTTTGCACCCTGATCTATAGGACTTGTGAAGAGAAATCACTTATTTCGAAAAAAAAAAAAAAAGAGAGAGCAATGTGAAAAATCTAGAAACGAAGAGTACACATGGAGGGTGTGAGACATCATTCTCATTGTCGAAAATCGTGCATAGAAAAACACTTGCTGAAAAATAAGTGGATAAAGTGAAAGCCCTGAAAATGAAGAGTACACATGGAGGGTGTGAGACATCATTCTTATTGTCGAAATTTATCTACAGGAAAAGCTACTTATCTATTATTTATAAAAAAAAAGAAAAAAAAAAAGAAGGAAGAAATATAGTGCAAACTTCAAAAATCAAGTCATAGAAAAAAGGAAAATGTAAGATCAATATTATTCTTGGATGAGTATTGATAATTGGAAGATCTTGTAAATACATCTATGAGTAAAGAAGTGATAAAGATGTGAATAGAAGAAGTGAAGTCTAGATTGTTATTCCAATGAGTGTTTAAACATTTAAGTGCTTGGCATCATTCTTAAATACTTGATATAAGAATCCAAAGTGTTTAACGATGCATCATTTCTAATTATATTTTTTTTCTGTATTGAAATATGATGTTTGAGATTTATAAAATTTTATTTTCGTAATTCTATTACTAAGGGACTAGCAATAATTTAAGTTGGGGGGTGAAAATTTGACGTGACTCAATCGTTGTATGTTAAATCACGCACATATAAAATTTATAAAACTAGAAAATACGAATTTTCAGATATTTAGAAGTATTTCTAAATAAATATATCAATTTTAATTCAATAAAAATTCCAAAAATAGTGGTAATTTTCCAGGTCAATCATAGGGATGTAATATAATATCTGGTAATTATTCAGAATTTTTCTCAATGAATAAAATTTTCTTACGAATTTTATACTAGGAAATAAAAAGGAAATGTATTTAAAATTCACGAAAAAAAAAGGAAATAAGGGTGCGGGCATCAGGATGACGTCAGCGCCCGGCGAACGCGAATCAGGCAGAAACAGAGTTCCGCCCAGCGATTCTTACGTAAGCGATTACATACGACTTAATTAATCAAATTAAGATCTGTAAAAGCCGAAAGAATCGTAATTTAACGAAGTATAGTTTGGTAAATTAAAATCACACAAAGTATCACTAAATAAAGTGTAAATTAAATTGAAAGCAGGAAAACAGAGTTCCGGTGTCGCGACGGCGATACGTCGGCGATGAATCGGAATCCTAAGCGTTCGGGAGGATTGTCGTGCAGTGTCCACAGCCTCGAAGGCTCTCCTTGGACAAAGACGACGTGGGCAATCTCTAGATCTTCTCGCGAAGTCTAGAGATCAATGAAGTGGGTCGTCAAATCGTCTCCGGCGGCTGTCACCCAGCAGAGCAAAAAAACGGCGACTTTGCGGCTCTCCGGCGGCTGTCACCCGACGAAGAGGCGCTGGATGGAGGTGGGGCGCGTGTTAGGGAGCTTCATCCTCAGGTCCACGCAGCAAGAGGAGGCTCTTCATCGCATCTGGTACGCTCTCAGGAGGTGGCGATTGGTCTCCCGGCGGATCGTCCTCTTCTCGACGACGGCTTGTTTGTCGATCAATCAGAGATGATTTACTCGATGGATTCGTAATCCTTTTATCGTGAATCGTTCAGCAATTTTAGTAGCAATGCTCTGCGAATCGCGTTGACGAGATTTTCGCCGATGATCCAGCGATTCTCGTTGCTTAATCCTTCACCGGCGATCTGCAGGAAAGTCACGATAATCAGATAAAAATATATGAATTTTGACTCTGGGAGGATTCAAACCCACGCCGGTCGCCCGCCTCTTCTGAGGAAGGTGTGACGAGGGTTTAGTCCCACATTGGTTGTACGCCGATTTTTCGGGCGAATATATAGTAATGTTAGCTTTGTGAGCAAAGTCCCTTCTCTCGCGTGTATGACCACTCCTTGCCCCACAATCGACTGGCCACTGGTGACGTGGAAGGGGAGTGGCGTACGCGTGCCCTGTCGGTCCCCAAGCCAAGCCGCTCGAGCCCCTGCTCGCGGCTTACTCCCCGACTGCGCTTTCGACCCGCTTGCGGGCCCGACTGGCTGGCGGGTTCCCCCATTTTTGCAATATTTTTATTTTTATTTCTTGTTCTTCATTTATCTCAAAAGTAAGACTGTAAAAATCATATAAAATCACATAATTACCCAAAAATTCACGTTAATCAATTGAAAACTAAAAATCATTCTTTAACACAAATATAAGTCTATTTATCATGAGTTAAGGCTAAAATTATATTATTTACTAATTATTAACTCATGATAATGAAGACTTATCAGTCCTCTACCCTATATATATAAGGAGAGAAAGCAAGAGAGAGAGAGAGAGAGAGAGAGAGAGAGAGAGATACAATAAGATAGAGTAGGCCCATTAGACTTGTACAGCCCACTCACAATTGTTCTGATGAATAGTTTACAAGATGTCAGGTATTAGGCTCAAAATGACAACTAGAGAACCCTCTAAAGTTGCATTCACTTGTATGCTATATTTTTTTAGACTAACAACCTGAGAGTTGATTTTCCTTTTTTTTTTATTCATAGTTTTAATTAGTACTTACATGAGTCTTCTACATAAGAAAATCAGATTATTTTTGTGTGAAGTTATATTTTTGTGTTGGAGAGACTATGTTGTCTTACTAAAGTAGTGCTATGAAAATCAATAGAGTTTTAATAACAATCTAAATCATAAAACATTTTGACAATTGACCATGAATAATGAATACACCCTAAAAAAAAGTTGACTAAAATTGTATTGATATCATTTAAACCTTCAAGATATGTAGAGATAGATAAAGCTAAAATATTAAATCCTAATAAAATTACTTTTATAATAAAATCAAAATTTATATAAATAAAAAAATAAATTTTCAAAATCTACTATACTATATTTTGCAACATTGGCGTGATGATTTTTTGATTTTTTTCTATTTCATTTAAGGAAAAAAAAAAAAAATTTGTGATGTTCTATTGATGAAAAGCTCATTTAGATATTACTTTCTCAATATAATATTCAAAGTAGAAATATCATTGGAACTACTACATTTAAGTTAGGTATAGAGAAGTACCTTAAATAGCTTTATTCTTTCAAGATAGTGGATCTATACATGTTTTGTCATGATACATGTTCATTTTAAAGTATGTAAAGCCCAAAAGAGCCTTGAGCACCTAACATAAGATCTAGAGTAATTATAAAACATTTTATTGATATAGTACAAAGTTTTGAACATAAACCTAGATTTTAGGAGATCCAAACCTTCAACTTATAATGAGTATTAATAGAATTAAGAAGATATTGAATCTTTAAGTGGGATGGAATGTATAATGAGATATTGATGAATTAGTTTCCTAATCAATTTTGGTGTTTTTAAGTAAATTTAAATAATTTTTCCAAATCTCAACTATAAAGCTTGATACATACTTTAGTTGGTCAACAAAGTGGGTTAGTTAAGTACCTACTTAGCAGATTACATGGAACAAAAGGGGACTGAATTGATCTCTTACATATTAACTGTCCTTTTTTTATTTTTGAGTGTTGACTTTATTATCCTAATTTGAATTAGACAAGGATAGGGAGAGAGGTAATAACATACAATTTTTTAGTTATTCCGGCAATTACTTTAGCATACATCCACTTCTAGACTTAAAATTTTGATTCCACTATTATTATCTTAGAATATAGGTGATTTCATGAGATTAACACTTTTACAAAGACTTTGTGAGTTTATCAATTCCTATTACATTTTTTTAATGCTCACTAGTAACCCTAATAGCATATACTCCATGTCTATCTACTAAACTTATGACTTTAGATACCCTTAATAATATTTGATAGGTATTTAAAGAGTTAATTCAATTTTTTATTCAAACACAAGGTTGGTAATAAGAAATATTTAGCTCTAATGCACAATTTGTTGGAACATTAATACTAGGTGAAACATAGTGAGGGGTCCAATTGGGGTTTCTAATATTTTTTTGTTTTTTTTTATTGAAGCTAAACCTATGTATATGTCATAATATGTGTCAAGACAAATCTAGTGATAAGACCTCTCTTTCTCAAAGAACATCAAGATTTTTGTGTTGGTTTGCCCCTGACCTGACTACTTTTAATCCTAGAGGAAACTTCCCTCCAGTATTTAATACTTTCCTTGAGAATTACATGTTAATATTCATGACATCACGTACCTAAACACCTCAAGTTCATCTCCTTATAGAGTTAGGTTTTCTCAAACCAAACATGGCTACCAAGATCTAATACTTTTACCTAAATCACTCTTCTCTCATCACTCAATTATCTTACCCCCTCATGAAGAGCAAGAGCTATGATGATGGAGTTGATCATTTTGCCAAAATCTTTGATGTGTATAGTTGCAGGATATTAATTATGTGACTTGAATCTTTGTATGTTCAACTAATTTTTGATACATAACCCTTCTCGTAGAAGTAAGCCTTTGTAATTTACTAGGTTATTAATTTTACCAAATCTCCAATGTTTTGAGAACCTTGTTCAAAAACCTGTCATTTTTCAAAATGTGTGAGAAGGACATGCAAACCGTCAATCCTCAAATCTCCTTATTCCCTTGTTATTTTTTATTTAAATTTGAACTAATTTCTTTAACTTTAAAAAGAATGGTTGGATGTCCAATTTAGATCTAAATCATCAAGTGCAATATAACTTTTTGTCTACAAAAGTAGTTTAGTTGTGTTTAAAATTTAAATATCTCTTTCATTTTCTCATCTTCTTGATGATTTCATTCATTGTAAGATTTTAAGAACCTTTCTATCATCATAAATGTTAAACACTACATAATATGATTAGAGAAATATATAATAAAAAATTATATAATTCGTATGATTTATTTATATGCCCATTTAACCATATACTTATCCTTTCATTTGAAGATAATTATTCATCTTATATTCTTTGCTGGTTAAATGTTCCTAAATTGGCAAATCATTTAATCTCAAATATTAATATCTTAGATTCAATTGTTACTGATAGATCATATAATTAATAAATAAATTTTATATAATAAATATATTGAATGGTTTGAATATTTAAGACATGTATAAATAATCATAATAGCATTCAAAACACATGAGAGGTGCTATGAATTCAAAGTTATGCCTTTTGATTTCTTGAATGTGCTGGCCACTTTTTAGTCGTCAATTTTCAAACACTTCCTTTAGGAAGTTCATACTAATAATCCTTGATATCCTAGTGTACAATTGAGATTCAGCAATGCACAAGATACATCTATGACAAGTATTTTAACCCTATAAACCTGTAAATTACATCTCAACATAAAGAAATATGTTTTTTAGTAAAACAACATTAAATACATGAGACACTAGGTGCTTGAAAAGAGAGTGAAGGTTGACCAAGCCAAGATAACAGCTATGATCAATTGGCCGACTCCTACCACTCTAAGGGAGTCATGAGGATTTTTTAGTCTCGCAAACTATTGTAGAAGATTTGTATAGAATTCTAGAGTGTTGCCTTAGTCCCTATACAATAGCTCAAAGAAAGATGTTTTTCAATGGCGGGTTGATAACAAATTTTCAAACGACTTAAATTAGTCCTAAAGAGTTTACTAGTACTAATTTTATTTGATTTTTCACATCAAGTCAAACACATCAAGATAGGACATAAGTGCAATCCTAATACATAAATGCCAACCTATGGAATTTTTAGGTCAAGTAACATCAATTAAACACTAATTTAAAATTATGTATGAACATGAATTAATGGCCATAGTATTAGCCATACAAAAAAGTGGACACTATTACTAGGCCAACACTTTATTTTTCATATTGGTCAATGAAGTCTTAAGTTCTTGTTAGAACATAAACATATCTCCCAAGACTATCAATGGTGGCTGATCAGGCTATTTGAGTACAATTTCAAGATATAGAACAAATATGACACTAATAAGAATGTTCCAAATGTCCTCTCAAGACAACTAACAAAATAGTATTCCAAATTTTTGACATGCAGGCTATAGTTAAAGAAGTATACAACAAGACGCTCACATTTCACACATTAATCAGAACTTAAAAAGAGGGATTGAAATGTGGCCCAAGTACAACTTGCATTGTGGATTGCATTTACACCACCATCAGTTGGTTATCCCTAAAGGTTCAAGTCACATAAACTAACTCCTAAAAGCTTATCATGATTCTGCTTTAAGGGGACACTTATGGGTTCTTCACACCTATAATTGTTTGGCACAAGACATGTTTGTGGAAAACATGAAACAACCATTTGGATAGTCTATGGGAAAATATAGCATATGTCAAAAATAAATACAAGGCACTCTCACTTGTGAGATTATTCCAACCACTCCGAATTCCACAACAAGTATGAGATGATTTATCTATGGATTTTATTGAAGGTCTTCACCAATCATTTCATTACAAATACACAATAGTGGTAATGGACCAACTTAGTAAATACACTCACTTCACAACACTCAAACACTTTTTCTCTACATAAGATGTTTATCATATTTTCTTACAGGAGATAATCATGCTACATTACATACCACTAATCATTATATCTAATAGAGACAATCTTTATGAGTCATTTTTGGTCAAACATTTTCAGATCACATGCCACAACTTTCACACACCACAATTTATTGTTGGGTTTGATGTGGCTAAGTATACCAAGAGGGTGAACTAGTTTTAGTTTCCTATGTTTTCTCTTATATTTTGTTATTTTATTTGTGTATATGTGTTAACACATGTTCTCAAAAGTCTCTCAAGTATATATGTGCAAGTTCACATAAGTCAGTCCTCTTTTTTATGTATATTCACTTTGTTCTCTCTCTCTCACACACTCATAGCAATGAGGGACAGAGCAAGAGGGGTGTGCTACGTAAGTCAGTCCTAAATGAACTTTCATACCGGAGTCACTATTTTCTTCTAGAAATATAATTGATTTCATGAGATTAGTGACTCAAACACTTATGTTCAATCTCCACAAAGATCACACCCCTTGTGGGCAAGGTTTGACTCTTGATACCACATATATATATGACAATACACTAGTCTAATTAGAGACCACACCCTCTATGAACACTTTTTAGCTCTCAACACCTCTTACCTAAGCCTAACCCTCTCTCCACTCACCACCTAGGTTACCTTAGGGCACAATGGAAAGAGTCATTCTTCAATGTAGTTTGTTGACTTGAATCATCGCAATTGTGTAAGAAAAATGATGGAGCTTTCAAGTCTTCTTATGAAGCACATGGTAGTTTCTCTTTGATAAATAAAATATGAGCTTCTTTCAAGTTTGAGTAGATGAGATATAAAGATTTTCTCCTTGTGAATTAATTATGGTTCTTTGTCAGCTCATTCTATTTATCCTTTAACATCTCTTTGTTATTTCAATACTTGAGAATGATGATGGGGATTAGAGCTGCCACATCATTAGTGTCTATCACATTAGCAAAGGATGTCATGTCATTTTTGAATGTCACATCATCATTAAATGACATGTCATCCCTATGGCTGATGTGTTGTCATCACATCAATGCATTGTTTGGTGAATCAGCACATCCTTTCATTATCTGTAAATATCCCTAGAATGATAATTGACAAAAAAAATTCAATACCTCTATCGTCATTGCCCCCCCATCGGTGCCACCATCCCACCTTCCAACCACTGCATTGTGGTTGTCTCCCTTTAGTGCCACCACCACCTCGAGCCCAGCATCAAGTCACGACCACAATGCCCAATTAGGTTTTTGGCAGCAACCAGCTTAAGGTGGCCACTTATTGGGCCCCACCCACCCAACTTGACCCAGCCCACCTATTCTGCTAGCTCAGTCACTTTGACCATATAACCCAACCCATCTGACCCATTGACCCAACCACCTTAACTGTCCAACCCAGCCCACCTGATCCATTGGTCTAACCATGAAAGATCATTGACCCAATAAGTTTCTTAATCCTAGAGTCACTCCCTTCTCACAGCCCATTATTAATCCTAGGCTCATTGAATGACCATAGTCAGTCCCATCAAGTCCAACCCGGTGAGTTGTCCCACATCAAATGGTCATGTGAATTCCAAATTATTTTTATTGCTATGTTAGCATGCTAATGACCTTCAGTGGCTCTTCAGCTCAAAGCTTTATGTTCTTACATAGGTTGTCTTTGATATCTTTTCTAGAGATATGTAACAAATAAATAGGCATTTTCTCTATTGTGGTCTAATTCAGATGTATTCATTTAACTTGTCATTCAGTTCACATACTTTGTTGACGTGTTATCATTCATAATTCATGTTGCTAACCTTCAGCCATTCATTGGATAAAAATTTTATGCTCTCATGTAAGCTATCTTTCATATTGTGTTGAGATATTTAGCAAATCAATATGCATCTTTGCCTCCAAGGTCAAACTTAAATATGATTTTTTAGCTTGTCATTTTGTTCACAGTTGTCTCACATATCATTTTTGAAGCTTTGTTTTCAATATTCATAATACATCAATAGATATTTCTATTTTTAAGATTGAATTGAAGTAAGTTGTTTTGCTGTCATTTTCTTTACATTAGACATTGTCCAAGATATGTGGCAAAGACATCTTTACTTCCATAGAGATTGATTACTTCTTTACATGCAAACACTTTAGCTTAGCTACTATATAAGATTAGAGATATATTTATGCTTTAGTCATTGATTTTTGATATTGCTTTGTATTTTCTTAACCAGCTTTCTAGCATGTCAATATAGAGATTTTGATTTCAAATCCCGCCCATACATTACTCTTCATTATATTCAAATATTTTGGCTACCACTTTTCCACATCTTGTAGCTTGTGTCTTGAGTTCAAATCTCACACCTAACATTGTGTGCTCTGATTTTTAAACATATTTTTTGTTGAAGCTTCTGACTCCATATCACATACATTTTACATTTAAATCCTACATGTAACTTCATATTTCTAAATTGTATGTAAAACTTTGCCATACATGTTGACATATGTTTCCCTATACATATGTTCTAACAATATGATGCTACATTATTTCAACATGAAGAATATCTCAAGAGTGTAACTTCTTGAATTCATTGTTAATCATAAGGCTATATTAAGCATCATCAATATATGTATTTTGAATAATCTTTAGATATATTAAACTTGTGATGTAAACTATCATGATATCTATTAATGGTTTAATAATTTTTTAATAAATTATTCATAAATACTTTTTTTAATATAAGTGTCGAAACCAAGGGCATCAACACTTACCACCATCAATTGGATGGTTAGATTGAGAAACTATCACATGCTAGTCTATTTCAACCTTCAAGGAACTACAAACACAAACATCACATGCCACCTCTAAGATCATGACACTATCTTGACACAACTCAACAACACCTTCTCTAGACCCAAGCCTATATTAAGTCATGAATAGATAAAAGCACTGAGACATGAAAAATGCAGTGGGTGATTATGTGCACCTCAAGATGAGGTCATATCATCTCATTTCATTAAGTCAATGACCAAAAGAGAAATTAGCATTAAGATATTTTAAACTATTTAAGATTGTCAAGAAGATTGATCCATTCACCTACATATTATACCTACTAGTGTCCACTTGTTGTTGTATTTAAATGCACACTATCTGATAATATTTATAACTAAAACTTAATAAAATATTAATATAGAAGTAAGTCTCAAGTCAAATACAAGGAAATTGATTAATCTGTCAGGAAAAATAATTTAATTTATATATAAAGTAATTTTAAATATTTTATTAATATTTAATAGAAATAATAAAATAGAAGAGTGAGGTGAAAAGAATAAAGGAAGGGAAGTAAAGAAAAGAAAGGAAGAAAAGAGAGAAAGAAGAGAGAGCTCTCACAAAAGATAGATGAGATCTCTTGTGAAAGGGAGAGAAAGAAAGAGAGGAGGAGAGATAGCTCTCACGAGAGAGAGAAAGGATGAGATCTATCACGAAAGGGAGAGAAAGCTCTCATGAGAGAGAAAAAGGACGAGATCTCTCGTGAAAGGGAGAAAGAGAAGGAGATCGAGAGAGAGAGGGAGAGAAAGGGAGAGATCTCATGAGAGACGAAGAGAGAAGAGAGGTCTCACAAGAGAGGGAGAGAGAAATAAGACAAAAAATAAAGAAAGAGAGAAATACAATCAACTCATTTTCTCATATGAATGTGTGTTTGAAGATTCACACACATGACATGAGGTCAGCCGTGAATGTCTCCAACTTATTTTAATTGTTGAACACTCATTAATTAGCCTGTAATCTCAGTGATTTTGCATTCAAAAATAAAATATATATTATTCACAAAAAACTAAAAGAAAAGAAGTTGGAAATGATCATAGCTTGATCTCAAATGAGTTTTGAAGGATTCAAATGAAGAACAAAGATCATTCATCAAGTTTTGAATTAGTTCTACTCATTTCAATCGAAATGTACATGAAACAAAAAGACTTACCATAAAATATAAATAAATAACACAAACAGGTAAGTAAATACTCAAAATAGTAAATAAATTATTATCTAAGTTTAGTATGCCTCCTAAGTAATTTGAGACACTAGTGTGATGACTTGGTTTCGTCTGGACGTGCCACACCATATCAAAAGTCATAGAAGTATCATCTAGAAGTACTATGTGACTTGTCGAAAAGATTTGCCAAAAGAGGGGTTGCCATGTTGTCACTATCGTCTAGGGGAGAAGGGAAGAGCTGATCACTTGTCGAAGGCCTTGAGTGTAGTTAGGGAAGGAAGTAAAAAGCTTATCAATCGCTAGAGATGTCGATCGCGCAAAAGGAGGGAAGAATGGATTACAAATTCATGACTACCATTGAGATTTTAAATATAATCGATAATGTCTATTTGACCAAAAAATAATCAATTATTATCTTCATATCCTTGACGGTGATACGTGTGAGAACTTAAGTTCATAGTATCGTGGTGCTTCATGAGCTACTATAACATATGAGCTTGGTCATGTGGTGCTCTAAGGGATGTAAGATCAACCAGCCATGAACCGTTGTCAATTGGGAACTTAAGTTCCAATATCATGGCACCTCCACAGTCGTCGGATCAGCCTTTAAGGCTACATGCGTGTTGAGCGGTGTCGAACTAGCAAACCGCCAATGGATCACTTTACTCATTTGGTATCATAACGGTATGCTAGTCGCAAGACTAAGCTAATCGAATGACGTGGCTCTCTGTGTACTGCTAGATCACACCACGCTCTAGATGATTGTGCTGAAACAGATGAAAACATTTAGTCCCACATCAGAAATATTTCAGAAGATATGCCGAATATAAACTAAAGCTACGATCTCTTAGTAGAAATCCCTTCTCTTGAAATAAAATAATGTCTAGGACCATTTTGGGAGAAGGCAATAAGGTGGTCTGCCCTCACGTGTGCACGTTTGTACATGCGCTCCTTGCCCCATGACCAATTGGCCACCAAGACATGGAAAGGGAGCGACGCACATGAGTGTGGAGCGAGGCCTTCGCTACTTGAGCCCAGCTCGTGGCTCCCCTGGTCTGGGTCTACTCGATTGACCATTGTCCCCCCTCCAAGTTAGTTGTCGAGTGCCAACTTGCTAGCAAGCAGAAGAATTTTTTATATTTATTATTTTTATTTTAATAATCAAAAATTATGTTAAGTATTCTAACTTCAGACTTCTAAAATTAACAATATATCCTATATTTACTATGCAAGTTTACATAATAAATCAAATAATTAAAACACATAAATCTAGCATTAATAGCTACCACCCTCAACTCAGATTTATTTAATTTTCTATGTTTCTCAATTTAGGAAACCATGAGAGCTATCAGAGACCCACAACTCTCCTCATTGTTGCTCTAAATTGACCTCATTAAGTGGTCCATCCACAAAGCATCATTGCAGCCTAAGTAGTAGAGTGTGGCCCAAAAGTTTTGGTCAAATGGCAATAATTACCAACATGTGATGCCTCCTGGGAGCTAGACAACCTTGTAGCAATTGTTCCCTTCCTTCCACCTTGAGGACAATGTGTCTTCAATAATGAGGAGTGATGTTGGGCCCCTAGTGGGTCTTACATACTCAAGGTGCAAGAAACAACCCTCGAAAACTAGTAGCCTACCAATGCATGACCATTCTACCCTTGCATGGGAGTAACTAAGACCCATATGAAAAGAGAGAAAAAGATCATTTTCCTTGCAAAGGAAAAAATATTAGGGTTTGGGGGAGCAAAGGAAATGATAGAAAATCTTGTAGAGTTTCAAGGAGAGTGGGGCCTCTCAAATGTCCCCACCATGTGCTAAGGTTCCTCAGAACCCATGATATTATTTCCCCCTATCACTATTACATCTTCTTATCTCCTCAATCATTGGAGTTTATCATCGAAATGAAGGGGGGGCATCAGATTTGTGATTATTAATGTCTATAATTAAGATACTAATGAAAGCATCATGCTATGGTGCATGTTTCCATCAAACTATCCATTATTGTTCTATCCATATTAATAGAGTGTTTTCTAAAATAAATACTATGGATCTCTTGGTGAGTTTTCTTGTTTGTGTTTTGTGAATTTTTTTTTGTTCATTTCAGTTCAAAAATATTCCTCAAGTGACTGACTATGGTGGCATGGTCTTCCCTGAATACTGATGGATAAGGGATTTATAAAGAAAAGGGATGGTGTGGTATGCCTCTAAGATTAGAATGTGTGCTATTTGTCTCATGAAGTTCTTTTTCACATGTTGCAGGCTTGAATTTTAGTAAATTTCATTTTGAAACTTCTAACTTCCTCAAGATCCACTGTATACAAAAGTTAGCACCACAGCATTGAATCATTAAAAGTTTATGATATTGTCTTACCACATTTCTCAAACGAGTGGAGGAGCAGGAATAGTAACTTTTTTGTCCAAGTTTTAAGTAATTACATCAGAAACTTAAATGTCAACTCATATTAATAACGGATATCTCAAAAATCCAGCATTATTCAAACATCATAGGTCAATTAGATATTTAAGTCATGTTGTAAGATAATGAAGAGGGTCGCCCTGGCCACAATGGTCTAAAACGTGTTTTACATGGGTATAGATTTGTTGGGTCTAGCTCATAAGTTATTACTTTTTCTTATAAATATTTGTTCATGGGAGTTGCATCTCTAAGAAGGACAAGCCCAGCTAGTAAACTTGACTAGAAGAAAAAAAACTAGGATTGGCCTTCCCGATAATATTTATAATCCTTTCAAGTAAGTTCCATGTTCATGAGAAAGGGTGAAGAATGCCGTCAGGAATGCTGGTCGTAGATTTTAATTTTAGTGAAACTTAATGTATCCTGGAAAACTTGGCCATGTCTTGTGCTAATTCGTACACTCTTGTGATTTATATGTAACCCAAAGACCGAAACCCTGCATTTCTTTCCATGTGCCCATGAATAATTTATCTGGATATTCCATGAAACCGTGAGTATGATCTGTCCCCGGATCACACTGAAGTGAGAATGTGAGCATAAGAGCTTCCGATCACAGGTCAAAGAGAGTTGAGCAGACACAATATTTTCTCTTTATTTTCTAGTGATTTGTACATCATACTGTGATCATTGAAGGTGCGGCACCACAGGATCAATCAACTAGGCTGTTGCCGCGAGAACCGTGGATCAATCAACTATGGCTCCCCAGGGTTGAAAGAAAATAAATCCCAATTCAGAAGAAAATTTATTTTCTTATGCAGTTTTTTTCAGAGGGCAAACTGGTGGGTACTTGTAATTACCTCAAGATTTCCTTCCAAATTGTCGCCAACTTGCAGGTCCGGATTGGTGTGAAATTACCCGAGCCAACAAACCTGGGGATGAAGTGTCTCCTGTCCGATGATCACCAGCCACTCTATGCATACCCTGAAGCGGATATGCTGATCTCCAAGCAGAAGCAGAAGTACTTTTCCTCTGAATAGGGGCGTGGGTGGGCCGATCCAGAGACCCGAAGGCAGCGCCTGCAGAGGATGAGAAATGGGATGGGCAAGAGGAAGAGACACTCTCTGGGTACTGGCCGGGGGAGAATCTCAGCCATGCTATCCAAGCATAAGAGCAAGTGAAGACGCTCCGAAACCCTGTCGTCTCTCTCTCTCCCTCTTCTTCTTGAATATTTCAACTGAGCGTAGCCCATTATCAGTCTTCATGTCCCGAAGTTTCAAATCGAACCAATTAGCCGCAAGTCTTGATTACGCAACAAGTGAGATCTCCTCGCTATGAACGCGGAGGGAAGATGAGCCGCAGAGGCAGCGGCAGCGACGCGCCCTCATCTTCGTCGGCGGCTCCGCCGCCGCCGCCGCGCCTGTCTGCGGCGGCCCAGAGTGTCCTCCGCCTACTCGCCGCCTGCCCGTCCAGCTCCGGCCTCCGCCAGATCCACGCGCAGGTCCTCATCCACGGGCTCTGCCGCAGCACATGGGTCGCCTCCTCCTTCATCGGCGCATGCAACTCCGCCCAACTCCTCCCCTATGCCCTCTTCTTCTTCTCCCACCTCCCCGACAAGCTCCACGTCTTCGTCTGCAACAGCCTCCTGCGAGCTCTAGCCCACTCCCCCTCTCCCGAGTCGTCCTCCCGGTGCCTCCCCGTCTATTCCCACCTGCTCAGGGCCTCCGTCCGTCCGAACAACTACACCTTCCCACTGGTCCTCAAGTCCCTAGCCGACCTCCAGCTGCTCGCGCAGGGCCGTTCCATCCACGCCCACGTCGTCAGGGCCGGCCATGGCGGCGATATATACGTGCAGAACTCTATGCTGAATCTCTACTCCTCCTGCGGGGAGATGGCGGCGTGCGAGCAGCTGTTCGACGAAATGCGCATGAGAGATGCAGTTTCCTGGACCACCATCATCGAGGGGTACCGCAAGGCGGGGCAACTGGACGAGGCGCTGGTCGCCTTCGAGCGGATGCAGTTCGCCGGCACCGCGCCGAATCGCGTCACGGTGGTGAACGCGGTGGCGGCGTGCGCCGCGCGCGGCGCGCTCGAGATGGGCGTCTGGATTCACGACTACGTGCGGAGGCGAGGGTGGGAGCTGGACGTCGTCATGGGCACCTCCCTGGTCGACATGTACGGGAAATGCGGGAGAGCAGAGGACTCTCTGGTCGTCTTCTCCGCCATGTCCGAGAGGAACGTCTACACCTGGAATTCCCTCATCCGGGGGCTCGCGCTGGCCAAAAGCAGCGAGGAGGCCCTACGGTGGTTCTCTAAGATGGAGAAGGAAGGGATTCAGGCCGACGCAGTCACCCTCATCGTGGCGCTGTCGGCGTGCAGCCACGCGGGGCTCGTCGGCGCCGGTCGTGAGCTCTTCCGCAAGCTGCTCGGCGGGTCGTTCGGCTTCTCGGCCGGCGTCAAGCACTACGGCTGCATGATCGACCTCCTGGGCCGCGCGGGGCTTCTCGACGAGGCGGTGGAGGTGATTGAGCAGATGCCCTTCAAGACGAATCCGGTGGTCTACGGGTCTCTGCTGAGCGCTTGCAGAGCCCGCGGGGACGCCGTGCTGAGCTCGCTCGCGGCGGAGAAGCTCGTCGAGCTGGACCCCGAGAACACCGCCTATCGGATCCTTCTGTCCAACTCGTACGCCGCGTTAGGAAGATGGGGCGAAGCCGAGGAGGTCAGGAGGCTGATGAGGGAGAAACAGCTTGGAAAGGTCCAGTCATGGGCTGCGGGCTCCCTCGTACATACATCTAAACCTCCCGCGGATCCCACAATGGTCTCCTGAAACAGTAGAGTTATAAACTTACCCTCTCTCTCTCTCTCTCTCTCTCTCTCTCTCTCTCTCTCTCTCTCTCTCTCTCTCTCTCTCTCTCTCTCTCTCGATCGATCGATCGATCGATCGATCGATGAAGAAAATGTACAGGATCCGAGGAAGAAAAATGATCTTCCGAACCCGAGGCCTGGAAGATACCTCAGCTGAAGGCCTCCTGAGGATCAGGCATTCCGGCGATCCCTGAGAGCCCGGGAGATCAGATAGAGGACGAAGGCGAAGAAGAGCAACCCAGCGCCCGTTGATGATGTGCCTGTCGCCGGAGCTGGACACCGGAGATCGTACAAGATCACCGTCTGCTCCCTACCTGTCGGAGGTGCTCTGCTGGAGAACAGGTCCCGGAAGAATCCCACCGCCACCGAACCGCCGACCAGCCATATTATCCAACTCGGGTGAAACATCTGCTCCGCCGCTGGCTTGTAAGCCGGCACACCAACGGCAATCCCGGCGTTCAACGGCGAGGGCCTCTCCTGGTACTCGTAACTGAAGGTGACCGCGCCGCAATCTCCTCCTCCGGGCCGCTTGATTTCCGTGCTCAGGAAGAGAGGCCCAGCGGAGGAAGACGACATCTCGAGGAGGCCGGCGAGGGGAACCTCCGCTTGACCGGCGAGGATGTCCCCGCCGGAGAACACGCACCAGAAGACGAAACGCAGCTTTTGGCTCCCCAAGCAGTCACGAAGGACGGGGAAGCGCACAGAGAAGCCCCTAGTAGGGTTCCAATTGAACCCGTCGGAGCCGGCTGAAGCCATTGGAGACCTTTCCGAGGCTAAGATGGCGTCGTCGGTGACCAGAGCGATATCGGTGAACAACTCCACCTGACGTTTGAGCAAGCCCCCCTCCGCGGACATGAGGACGATCTCCAACTCCCCCAGGCCCTCCATGAAGAAGACGAAGACGAAGAAGAAGACAGGCAACGATCAGATGATCTAGGTGAAGGCGGGCGGCTCCGGATGGAAGAACAAGGCGACCGAGCTCGAAGGTTATATAGAGCTGGAAGTGTGGAGATGGAGTTGAACAGTTTAAGCTGGGCCTGTACCTCATCGACCCCTCTCTAGAAGGAGAAAGCAACGCGGTTACCACCATCGAGGACGTCGTCAGCCGGCTAAAACCGCAGTTTATCACTGTCAACACTGTCTGATCCTTCTTCGCTGTAGGTAGAAGCTAGACCGCGTTAGAACTCAACGCGGTACTCTCTCTGTAAGCGACAATGTCAACGCCGCAAAGTCATCGCTCCCCCTCCCTCTCTATCTATAAGTCAACGCGTCACAAGGTTCTCGGTTGAGAGAAGACGAGGAATATATGTTAAAAAAAATATCACGTATGTCAAATTGCCACTGGGCCTGGCCCACCTGTAGCGGCTACTTCGTCCACACGTCGATCGCTGTCGTAGGGATGATGATGTCCGTTCCCGCGTGATTGTACACAGCTCATTCGCACGTGTGATGAACTATACCCTTGGGACGAATTATCGCTCCTGAGCCTTCGCGGGAGTCAGGCCCATTAAACTGGTCCAGCCCATTATCACGAAAAAATTCAGCCTTCACCTCTAAATTAAACCCTGCTCGGAGCTTAATGTATTTCGTTTGGGTAGCTCACAAGGCCACGGGCCTGCACAGCCCATAAGCTCTGCCCCAATACCTCAATTTTGTGTTGGGCAAATGGGCCCATTAGCACGCATCTATTTCAGTACAGCAAACCCTTAATGATGATTTAGTTGGCTCCCCTCGCTTGATTTTTCTTTCCAATTTGAGTACTACTTTTTTCTATATTAAATTTAATTTGATATTGCATTAATGATGGTTAATCAACTTGGTTGACCTCTTAAAGTTTTAATATTTCATTGCCGAATTTGAGTATTTTTTATGGTTTAAATATGTTGGTAAGGCATTATATATCATGCATGATTCATTGTGTTTGTTCTTGAGGCTATGTTTACGAGTATGAACGAAATAAAAAAAATAAAGGGTATTCAATTTGAGGTCTGTAATAATGGATTAAAGCAAGTTCTTGGCTTATTTATAAGCAGAAGGAAGAACATTTAAATGACCATTTTCCATTAAAGTCTAATGATCGTAAATGGGCTGGCTAGACATACTAGGTTATGATTATATTACAAGTAAATATCGTCTAAATCTGTTTGAGATTAGGATATTATGATTTAGATCTCCCACTACTAAATTTATCAGTCTCCTCGCCACTGTGTGAGGGGCAATCTATGGGAAGCCGGTTGAGATCTCCATCTCCATTAAACCTTTGTTGGTGAGAAACTTTAATAATTTCAGAACAACATTTTACCATGGTTTATTTTGATAAATGTGGATTTATTTAGTTTGTCCAAGGAAGACATGCGTTGACAATTTACATGGACTACTCATACCATGCATTATTCTGGATCCGTATAATTTATAACTACTAAATTTTTTCAATCGAAAGAGAATCCCATTTCAGTTCTGGGTTTGAATCTGCCACGTTGCTCAGTTATAGGTTTTTAATTAAAATAATGAGTTAAATGTTGGAACTGAAGTCAATCGTGACTGAAAGTAAAATTCTCGCCATGTTGTTCTATGTACAGACCTGATTAGTAGACAAACAGAGAGATAGAGAGAAGGGGGTAAAGAAAGGGGGAGTGTAGATGGTGGATAAATATCTAGAAATCGAAGCCACCCCCATCGTCAAATCCTGCGTCGTACCCTGCATCGTAGTCCGCAGCGTCCGAGATCATGTCACCGATCAGGAGGCCGCCGAGGGCCCCGCCGAGCAAGCCAGCACCGAGCCCCATTCCCAACCTGTTTTTCTTCGGCTTCTGAGGTTGCACGACCGGCGGTGCACCGTAACCGTACCCCGGGGGAGGTGGGTAGCCGTTCCCTGGGGGAGGAGGCCCATAGCCGTGCGGCTGGTATTGAGGAGGGTACGGCGGATATCCCTGTGGAGGATACGCACCAGCGGTGCCCGGAGGTGGATACGCCGCGCTGGGGCCAGCAGGGTAGGCCGTCACAGGATAGTCTCCCTTAGAATCCGTGCCTGGCGCAGGGTAGGCGACTCCTGGCGCAGGGTAGGCGACTCCTGGCGCGGGGTAGGCGGTCCCCGGTGCCGCGTAAGGCGCTGGATTGGGAGGAGGCGGAGGTGGGGCGGCTACCGGCTCCCCGATCTTGAAGGAGAAGTTGAGGGTGCCCTTGGCCTTCCCGGAGGGCCGGCGCACCTCGTAGGTGACGACCTGACCTGATTTCCCCGCGCTCGACTCGAGCTCATTGATCGGGACATGCACCTCGCCGATGTCGCGGTCGCCGAGGGCGCGTTCGCAGCGGAGGAGGACACTGAGGACCAGGCCGCGCGTGTCGGCGCCCTCGGGGATGAAGAATCGTAGGGTGACGTTCTTCCATGACGGATTCTTACCGCCTTCCCGGTCGGTAGGGGTGCGCTGCCTGGAGTTGGGATCTCTGGAGAGCCAGGCGACGGCGTAGATTTCCATCTTCGAGAAAAAGTTGACATTCTTGAGGTCCTTGGCGGAGAGGATACTCAGATCCAGAGGCCTGTGGGTGGCCATGCCCGATTGTCGTCTAGAAGAGCAAATCAAAACCTGTAACCTTAGGAACCGTAGAGACGAATAGACGGATCTGGAGGCTTGCTAAGCCGATGAAGCGAGAATCGAACGAAGGGTCAAATTTATAGGAGCCAAGGTCACGAACCAGCGGCGAAGTTTCTTTCGTTCTGTACGCGGCGAAGCAACTTACCGCAGGGGACGAGATGCAGCACCGCTTGAGGTCGTTGACGCGTGAAACCCCCTGCGTCAGACACGCGTCGTGTCCGCCTCCAATAGGAAGAGGGTAAACGCAGATTCGTTAGTAAAAGGTTTTCTAGAATCGTCCTTCGAAAATATCCGCATCAAAACCGACGTTTAGTGCTTCTGGATGGGATTGATTCCGTGTTGTTATAAAATGGGAATCGAATCGGATTCCCTACACCGTGCGTTGCTGGACGGTTTCCATGGGCCGATATTGGGCCGCGCACGACCCAACATGATTCTTAGTTTGGACCCATTAATGCACAACAGTCTCTCTCGCGCGGGAGGTGGGCTCGGAATCCGAGTCATATTCAGATTCCAACTCGTCCAAAACCGATTCACCGGGGGTTATTGCGGTAATTTCGGTTTCCACCAGGGAAAGCCGTTGGGCCTCCTCTCCCTGCCATCCGGGGGGAGAACAGCCGCGCTGTTACAGAGGGGAACTCTACTGCGATGCCCCCGACTTCCCCTCCCCCCCCCCCCTCCCCACTACTCCGCACACGAGCAGAAGCACCAGGGGGAGGGGGAAAGAAACGGAGGGAAGGCTGCGGCGTGGGGACTGGTAGATGGGAAGGAAGATTGTGAGGAATTCTCACGGTGCTTGCCAAAATTGCCAAGAAGCTTCTCATGAGTCTTGCCTCGTCTTCGGCGGAGTCGGGCTAGGGCTAGGGTTGAGGTGGTAGATCTCAGGGAAGACAATGGAAGATGGGGCGGGGATACCAGAGGAGTTTCGGTGCAAGAGGTCGGACGGGAAGCAGTGGAGGTGCAGCGCCCGTTCGATGCCCGACAAGACGGTCTGCGAGAAGCACTACGTGCAGGCGAAGAGGAGGGCGGCTAACTCCGCGATGCGGGCGAACGAGAAGAAGGCCAGGCGGAAGTCGCTCCCCGTCGGTGCCGCGGCGGACGACGCCTACCTGGACGCCACCGGCCGGGAGGATGACCTTGATGAGGGATCTGGTTCGCCAATCGCCGCCGTCTGCAGTAGCGGCGGTGGAGGGGACTATTCCGGGGGGCCCTCCCCGGCGAAGAGGTATAAGGAGAGAACGTACAAGGGTCAGGGCACCTACTATTCTGGCCGGAGAAGGGTGAAGGGCGGTTCTTCTGCGCGGTCGAGGCATGGGGAAGACGCGGAAAGAGATCTCCTGCAGGATAGTCGTCTCCGAGAGACTTTTGCCACGCCAAGGACGCGTAAATTTACGAAGGGTTTTGTCGGGGGCGGTCTAGAGGTGAGGAAAATCCTGTCATACTCAATCTTCCGAGCGTCTACGAAGCTTGATCCGCTAAAATCCTTTCGCGTTGCCATTGAAGGATTATTCTGGTAGAAGCACGGATTCTTCAGGTGAGGCCGAAGGCTTAACCTGCCACCAATGCCAGAGGAATGATGGGGCCAGAATAGTATGGTGCTCAAGCTGCGATAAAAGGGGTTATTGCGACACCTGTGCTCTTAGACGGTGAGCTAGATGGTTTCGATTTGCAGTTTCTCCGTTGAAGTTTCCAATTGTATTAGTTTCCTTGTTTTCTTTACGGTGTCTTTACCCAGTAAAAACGAAAATTTCGTGGTTTTTAACACAAGATAGAAAACCATTAATGGATTGTTTAATTCGAAACCTTAGGTACCCAAATATCCCGATAGAGGATATCCAACAGGTCTGCCCAGCATGCCGCGGGATATGTAATTGCAGAACATGCTTGCGTGGAGATAACCTAATTAAGGTAAATTCAGGTTTAAGGTGCCATTTTCTCTGTCACGGTTCATATTTTCCTGATATATGTTCGTGCTGTTGATAAGCAAACACTTGATGATTTTTTCTGTGGACCCGTTTCACAGGCTAGAATACAGGAGATGTCCAGCATAGACAAGTTGCGACATCTTCACAGAATTCTCTCCCTTCTGCTCCCTGTGCTTAAGCAGATACACGCTGAGCAGTGTTATGAGCTGGATTTGGAGATTAGAGTTTATGGTTTGAATCAAAGATGCCTATTTCTATTCACGCTGTTTTGGCATCTGTGACATAATATTGTCCTTCAACTGACTTAAATCCTTCAAAGCAGGTATGAAGAATGACATTCCAAGGGCGAAGTTACAGCCAGATGAGCAGATGTGCTGGTATTGCTTTAAAATTTAGGTCATTCATAATTTTGTTTCAGTGACATTTTTTTAACACTTTGTTTATGGGCAGTGATTCCTGCAAAATGCCCATCTTAGATTATCATCGGCACTGTACAAATTGTCAGTTCGATTTGTGTCTTATGTGCTGTCAAGATCTTCGACGAGCATCACATGTGGGCATCAGAGGAGAACTTGGTGAACGTCCAGCTGTTGACAGAATTGAAGAAAATTATGATGGAGAAATGCCCTTGGAATCGTCTGAGGAGAAAAATTCCATCAATTCCCTTAAGAATCATATAGAGGACTATGCAGTAGATTTTTCACATTTGTTTCCCAAGTGGAAGGCAAACAGTGATGACAGTATTCCGTGTCCCCGATCTCAGACTGTTACCTGTTGCAACTCGTCATTAGTTCTGAGACGCATTCTCAAGATAAACTGGGTGGCAAGACTAGTCAAGCATGCTGAAGAGATGGTTAATGGGTGTAAAATTTCGACAACCAGCATGACCTTTGAATCAAGTCATTCCGTCAGCACAAACCTCTACAAGTGTTCCAAGAGAGAGAATAGTTTTGACAACTTCCTGTATTGTCCAGCATTGCAGGACATTGAACATGAAAGCATCAGCCAGTTTCATACACACTGGGAAAAGGGTGAACCAGTTGTCATTAGGCGTGCATTTGAGCCTTCGCTAAGTGCTTGTTGGGACCCAATGAGCATTTGGAGGGGCATTCAGGAAATGACTGATGACAGAATAAAAGAGGATGATGTCGTTGTGAAGGCGATAGATTGCTCAAACCAGTCTGAGGTATGCCTTTTTGACCTTTATTCTGTTAAAATTCTCCATGCCCAAGTAAAGTTAGAAAGTTCTGCCTCTGCTAATCCTCGTGAAGATGAGGATTGCATTCTAGTTTGTCTGAGTTCTAATTTAACCGGGATGAAGAAACATCCTCTCTAATTCTGCATTTGATGCCACGGACCTTTGTAAAATCTAAGCAATGCCCTCGTGGTAGCCTGAAAGTGTGATGATGTCAAGGTGAAGGCTGCTTCTTTAGTAACGTCTTTCCGTATCTGTAAAAAAGTGTTGACAGTCACACGATTGATCTGCACTTTCTACGTCCTTGGAGTATTATCTTCTATTTATTTGCAAGTATCATCTGTCTGCATCCTGAGCCACTGAAAATGTAGCGTTTTTTTCAGAAGTCTCTAGCTACTTCACTCGTATATTTCCATACTCTGACTCAGTTTAAAACATGATTAACTTTACCTTATCTTACTCCTAGTTGCTACCGAAATTGGTTTTCTATTATTAACCGGCCAGTAGCGCTGTATCATACATTTAAAAGTGGGAGCAGAATCAATAGTGGAAGTGATGAGGGAAAAAATTGTAAAAAATGAAGGAACTTGTAGAAGAGAATTAATTGCCAAATTATAAAATTCCATTAAAGAGAAATAAGTTCCTTGACGACAGTTTCAAATCTACATATTTATGTGCTTTGTAATCAATAACCTTGGTTTTATAGAGATGATTGTGAAATCAAATGACTAAATAAATTGATCCAAACCCCAAACTTACTCAGAAGAAAACGCAGGCTCGATCAAAATTACCAGGTAAGAATTCGACAGTAAATGTACAATTGTTTTAATAAAGATTGAAGGACTATAAACCATTTTAATGAGGATCTTATACAAAGACTTGTTCTTTCCCCCGTCTTATCTATCTCCCTCGATCTCCAATTCACTGTGTATCGAAGTGGCCTGCGACTGAAGGGTTACACTTTATCCTTCTTCATCTTTTTCACATATTGTTTCTTCCTCTTTCTCTTTTTTTTTCCCCCTATGTTTCCTTCTTTTGTTTCACTTTTATATACCTTCTCCAAGTCAGTAACAGGAAGCTGTGGGGCATGGATCACACCAATGAAGCATGCCAAATGGTTCAGCGTTAATGTTTCTTCCTTGTGAAACATCTGACTATGTAAAAGATTAACGGACATATTGTTATTCTGGACACTGCGAATATGACATAAATCTAACGTTACATCAGCGTCTAAGTAATGTTTTAATTTATGAAAAATGAGATTGATTTCCACTGTAAGTGATAGGCAGATGCGATTGAAGATGAACTAGAATATCATGGAAACTTTTTGTTGGTTATATTTCCTCCTGTCTTAGTCCGTTTTCTGCTTGGTATCAGCTACATTTTATTTTGTACTATTTCATTTCTTTGAGTGGACATTTTTCACAATGTTTCAGGTTGATATTGAGCTGAGAAAATTCATCAAAGGATATATGGATGGATGCGTAGATAAATATGGCTTTCCAGAAATATTAAAATTGAAGGATTGGCCTTCAGAAAATGATGTAGAAGAGTTTTTATTGTGCCAGAGACCTGAATTTCTCAGTAAACTGCCATTGCTTGAATATTTTCATCCTAAATGGGGTCTTTTAAATCTCACTGCCAAACTGCCCCATGATTCTGCGCCAAGTGATGCTGGACCTAAATTTCTCATTGCTTGTGGAGGGATCGAAGAAAATAACTATGTTTCTGTATTAAATTTACGGATAAACATAGGCGATATGGTACGTATCATTATTCCTTGACTTGTTTTTTCATGGTATTAATCCAAAAGAAATATCCTTCTTTTGTTAATTTAGAGCAGTGCGAGTAAGGATGATGAGAAGTCAAGTCAGAGGGAAACATATATTTATACTAGAAAATGGAATAAGGATAATATTTATGGTGAACTTATCGTACATTGGTCATTGTAACAACTAAAGACTAACTTAAAACATATTTCATCATTGTGCATACTCTAAAAGAGAGTAACTGAGTTGATATTTGGTGCTAGTTTTCATGATGCATCCAAGCATCATATTGAAACACACGCAATGGTGCTTAATGTTTAATGTGTGGATATTCGTATAGTCATGGGTTTGGCTTTATGATGAATGATCGAGTTGTTTAAGTTGTCTTCCCATTGTCTTATGTCGTGGTAAAGTGGAGCATATAGATAAAAAGCTGTACTCACACAGAAAGAAGAACAAATGAAGCTGAAGGCAGGCACTTAATTGTACCTTAATTGTGGTTATTTACCTGTTCATTGCTTTAAATTAGTACATGATGTCAATGCAACCTTGAAAAATGTAATGATTTAGAGGTTTGATTTAATTGTTGATTTGCTTTTCTCTGACGTAAAGCTAAATTGTCTGGCCACTATGTAATACCAGAATGACCTATTATACAGCTGAACATCTAAGTGCTGGGCAGGTGTTTGGAGATGCTGCTCATGGGATCTGATTGTATCCAGAAACCTTCTGTTCTTTTGGGTCTTTCAGATTTACCTGGACACCTATGTTTTTCAGAGAAAGACTTGAGATGGACTTGAGACGTGAGACACCTATCATTTAAACTTTAGGCCTAAACAAATCCACTGTAGGTACCTTTATTATCTCTCTATGAGAAAAATATGATCATTGCTCTTGCACGATCAAACTCATTTATCAGAGGATTAAAAAAAAGAGAGTGGAAATCAAACTCCTATTTCCTCCAAAAATTGATTTTTTAACCAGAAAACAATGCCCTCCACAACATTGCTATACTATCACCTACCTTTTCGAATTAATCACTGCTCTACATAAGTCTATCGAAAACATTTTTTAATCCGAAAAGTTTGGCGTAAAGGTTAAACTCGAACGAAATTTGGAAATATGTATGATTCACATAGAAAAGTCATTTGCAAGACTTGGAAAATGTCAGATTGAATGTCTTTCCGTCTTTGCTAGACAGTTAGTCTCCCTTCCCCCAACGCCACTCCAGCTCTTGAACTGTGTCCAATTGGGTGCAGTAACATTGACGTACTTTCATTGATACTTTTAGCATAGATAAAGCAACAGTTAAATGGAATGACTTTAGAAGCAATGCCCTTTTTCTTCTTTCCTCATAACCTTAAAAATTCCAGAACGCTTTGATTCGTTTCAGATGGTTAGCGTCTTGGTCAGAGAAACGGGTGCTGCATATTTGTGAATCCCATAAATTGCTACTTTCTTTGACTCGGTGATTCTTTGATCTCTCCTTTCTTAGAATACTTTCTCATTATTTATAGAAAAATTAAGATGAAGGAAAGCTAAAGTAATCCTCATTTGATGCCCTGAATGAATATCTGTTTACTACTGAGACTTGTTCTCCATAGAAGATATGCAATTTCAATGTGCGCATTCCCTGTTCTGTTCCCCTACAATCTTCTTGGCTATTGCATAGTTTCACCTTTTGTGCATTGCCTCCTACAAACTATTGGCTCCTCCATATTTCCCTATTTTCGTCCTTAGCTGGAAATCTTTATTAATCATCTCTTGTTTATACGTCTACAAGTATAATTTGTCATTAAAACAACTAATATTGCATTACATACAAATGAATTTGGACTTGATGACTTATGGTCTCTTTTTAGGTTTACCTATTGATGCACACATCTGAAGGCAAGTATGAAGGCCGGGAACTTAATAAATTTGGAACTATCCCAAATAATTATGATGAGTCTGAATTATATGTGAAGAGTGAGACCACGGATGCATCTAATTCTACAGCCAGTGAGCATTGCACGAATAATCAAGCATGTGGCTTATCTCCGAATGAAAAGGAGGAGGATGCAACAGAGGTCGATGCATGCAATGGAAATGATATTTCTCCCAAGGAGAAGAAAGAATTAGACCATTGTCACACAGAAAACGGTCTTGCTGTCAGTGCTAATGCAGGAACAGTTTGGGATGTTTTCCGTCGACAGGATGTTCCAAAGCTCACTGAATATTTGAAAGATCATTGGGAAGATCTGAGGAATCCTGTCATGTCCCCAAATGACACGGTAATATACGTTTAGCATCCGATGTTTTCCGTTTATTTTTAGGGTTCCTGTCATTGCATATATATGCTAATTTGGTGGTGGCGGAGATTTTCTGTGAGGATGACTTTGAATATATATGCTACTTCTTCTTAATGAGAACATATTTCTGTTCAGGTTACCCTTCCGCTTTATGAGCGAGGTGTTGTCCTCGATGGAGATCACAAAAAAAGGTTAAAGGACGAACTTGGTAAGTGAAATTTATTTATCCCCTTTTTTATCGATTTTTTTTTCTTATGTGAAGTACGAAAGAAAGATGAGATTCTCTGTCAATCTTTTGTTGATTATTTTTTTCATATATTCACAATGACAGGGATAGAGCCGTGGACATTTGAACAGCACGTTGGTGAGGCTGTTTTTGTCCCAGCTGGATGCCCTTTCCAGGTTAGAAATCGCCAGGTGGGTAATTTCTTGCTGAAAAAAAACATGTTTTTCTCATAGAAAATAGTTTCTGGAGAAAAACTCTTCGAATCATTGGCTTGGGATCATTCCAGAAGGAAATAAGTTTTTTGGATGAATTCCTCTACTTGGAAGCTTTGACTATTCTTATTTGCGGCATCTTTCTCAGACCCAATTACTGATTTCTCCCCTCGGTGCCAAAAAAATTTCAGTCTACGGTCCAGCTTTGCCTTGACTTCCTGTCTCCTGAAAGCCTGTTGGAGTCTGCTCGCATCGCCCAGGAGATCCGATCCCTCCCAAGCTACCATGATGCCAAGCTCCATATGCTGGAGGTCAGCAGAGTGAAGTTTGAAGCTGCTGCTGCGTCTCTCTCTCTCTCTCTCTCTGTCCTCCGACTTTTGACAGCTTCTTCTAAGCTTCCTGCAGGTGGGAAAGGTGTGCCTCTACGCCGCCAGCTCGTCCATCAGAGACATCCAAAAGATTATACTCGATCCCAAGTAAGCTTTCATGAAGAAATGTTCTTTTTTTTTTTTTTTTTTGGGCTTTCTGGGTCTGATAAATCCGCCTTTTTTTTCAGGCTTCTCTCAGACATGGTGTTTGAGGACAGAAATCTGACTGCGGGGGTGTCGGAGAACCTGGAGAGGATCACGAAGAGGAAGCAAATTGCTTGCCTTTGAGCCACGTGGAGCCCTCCTGATGCGTATGTACACAGGACGCCGCCCCTCCTGATACATGTGAATGATTAATCTCGCATCTGATCATGTAATGCGGACTCCCTATCATGCTGTATATGTCGATTTATTTGCCAGGAAATGATAAGATCGGTTCTCGATTCTTCGTTGCTAATTCGGGGAAAACGCAGTAATATCCAGAATTTGAGTGGGCAATTTATTCATCTCGAAGATAATCCGAAGAAATCATCAAAGGGGTTCTAATGTTACGCACAGAACATTCGAGGTGTTAAATAAAAATATTGTAATTTAAAATTGTTTACTGTGCTTATTAATCATTGTAATATGGGATAAATCTGAGAATTAATCTGGGCCGTCCTTCCTGTGGATCTCCTGAGGTTTTAATGTTACGCGCAGAACATTCGAGGTTTTAAATGAAAAAAATGTAATTAAAATTATTTACTGTGCTTATTAATCATCATAATATGGGATAAATCTAGGAATTAATCTGGGCCGTCCTTCCTGTGGACCCACTGTGGTTTTAATATTACTCGCAGAATTTTAGAGGTGCTGAATGAAAAAAATGTAATTAAAATTATTTACTGTACTCATTAATCGTCAGAATCTGGGTTAAAACTGGGAATGAATCCGTGCCGTCCTTCCTGTGCACCTCATGAGGGACGCCGGTTCTCGTGCTCCTCACGCTGCGTTTGTCGTTGGGGGGGGAGGAGGGGGGCGGATCGCTGCTGTCACCCTTCTTTCCGTTGTTGTTGCTGTTGTTTTCTGCCTCTAGGCGTCCCTTCTTCCCCTTCCATGTCCGAGGCTGGAGAGGAGACCCCTAACCCTAGCTCCGTCTGTGATCGGTGATGGATACCCCTCTCCCTCGCATCTAGGGTTTAGGTGCTGGGTTATTCCTTTGGCGCCCTAATGCCCGGTCACCTGACCCCGTGTCGTCGATTATCGACCTTGGATAACGGCGACCTTCGGATTGGCGATGGAGCTTGTGCCGAGAAATTTGGAGGATGGCCTTGAGGAGCTGCAGACATTTAAGTCCAAGGAATGTCTGGACAGGTTCTTGGATGCGCAGAGGGATCTTTTCCGCTGCCAGGTCGACCAGCTGCAAAAGATCGTCATCTACCAATGCAAGGTCACCGGCGTGAACCCCCTCTCCCAGGAAATGGTAGGCGTTTTTCTGCGGCTAAAAGTTTAATTATAAATGCTCATCTTCTGGTGCGCGTTTTAACGTATTTGTCCGTCTGGTATGTTTTCTGGGACGAGAGGGGTTGTGTTTGTGTCTCGCTCGTGCTTCTGGGGTCGAGTTCTTTGATTCTTGAGCTTTCGTTATGAGCGCAGGAAGGACTAGGACAGGAAAAGCCGAGTTATACTCCCATTTAATTGCTTCTTTTCTTGCCTCAGAACTCGTCGAAGTGGAAATATCTGTGCGCTCTAGCTTGTCAGATGGTCTTTGATATTCATTTTGATGAAGCTAGATTTGTCAATATTACGGGAGTCAGTATGTGGATAGTCATTTTTATTTGTCATCCCTCTCGTGGCCTGGCAGTGAGAATTTGTTCGTTTGTTGTCTTGCTATTTTAAACAAAACACCGTGCATGTGTATTCCTTTAGTTTATTATAAAATGTAACTGTAGTTGGCATCAAATTGAGAACAGAATGCTATGAGGGGTTATGAATCCACTAAAGCTTAGGTTGTCTCTAGTTCGGAAATATCAGCAGGTCAGCAGAGAGTGGGTGCTCTCCACTGAAGTGGTTATTTTCGTCAAATTGAAGAGGAATTTTTATGTATGCTCGATGAAGCTTAAATGTATTTTTACTTATGTGGACAATACAGACTGACATCACGTGCTGAATTTCATGTTTGCATCTTGAATCAGAATAAGAGAACAGAATGAATTCCGAAAGTATCTTCAGATTAAGAACCACTTTTTTGTGATATGAGGCCATCTTAAATATTGTTGCGTTCTCATTTAGCTAGGTCTAATAATGCATCATAAGAAACAAGAACTACACTTAAGATTGACAATTATTCTTGTGTTTTGAATGCTCGAAGCTTGAGACGACGTGGATGCATTTAGTAGAATTGCAATGACAATTGTTGTGTGCGGAAGAGCCACATACCACAGCTTTCATTGTTTATAATCTGAATGGACCAAGTGTGTGCCCAGTAGGGTAGAGACTTTCATGATTCTTCATGTCACAAAGTAAACGCAGCCTGTTTTATTTTTATTTTTTCTTCTGACTCTCGCCCCCAGTCGATTTAATACTCTCTAAAGTGAAATACTCTCTAACCTATCCTGATCTGAAAGCAAATTACCGTGGTAGCCTTCGTAGGCACTCAAATAGTGAGCTTCTGTTGAAAATGATCATGTGTTGAAATGGATATTAAGTGCTGGTCACCAGCTTAACTTTGTGGTGTCTGAACATGTTTCCTTCCTTCTGTACCAATCACCAGTTGACAAGTCTCGTAGGCTTGTTCAGAGTTTGGATACTTTTTCTATAAAACCTCCAACTATTTGCTTCATCTACCTTAGAAGACCGCTAGGCCACTGCATTTTCTGGGCTCACAGTTGTTACTGATGATTTTACTTAGTATATTGCGGGCGACAGCGTCTGGTCTACAATGTGATTCGGATGATTCTTGCATCATCTGTACAATCTATTGTCTCTTCTCTGATGCTCCGGCAGACTTTGATCCCTAAACTAGTGAAAGAACAATACGTGGTGTTCCATTTAGGCGATAGGAAATCGTTGATACTTTATCTTCACTGCTATTATCACATTTTTTGCAAGCTATTTGCAATTGTAGTTCTGCAGCTCAGAACGTAAATTTTGCCCTCTTTAATTGCCGGTGGCCAGTGTTGGTTCTGGCGTAATTTTACCTTGCCTTCATCTCCGATATTGATATTTTTCGCATTTAGTATGCATATCCGAAAGTGATCTTTTAGTTTTACTTAAGAAATATCATGCCGATTACTGTTTTCAACAAAAAGAATGGAAATACTGGATTAACTCGGAATAGTAACTTTGACATTTTGTTACACTTGCTTACTGTTCAGTCTGAGGTTCAAAGATCAAACATATTTATGTCTGGATCTTCAAAGAGAAGCATAATCTGCCACGTTTTCTTGTTACACATACAGAACTAAATTACATGGCTTTCTTCCCTTTCTGTACACGAGGCTCAAAATAGCACGTGGTAAATACAGAGCAGATGATGCTTGTACTAAAGAATGCCGTGTACTCACTATTCAGACCGGCAGACATCTTTATGTGTGGGTGGTTGGTGCTCCAAACTGTAGGTGCGGCCATGTTCACTATCAATTAAAAAATTATTTCAAAAGTTTCGTTGCTATGCTGCTTCTGTGTGCAGTCTGTTTTTATTCGTGTTGACTATATTTATTTGGTAGCACTAAGAGTAAATAGTTTTTTGGAGCTTGTTGACGGTATGTTCCCTACTCTCACAGACAGAACCTCCAGTGCCCGGAAGTCATGTGTATCAGCTACCATTGCTTCTATGTGCATGTTGTTTGATATTGGTGGATGACATCTCTCCAGTGCAGTTAGTGTCAAAGGACGATGAGGATGAAAATACATTTTCCAAATTTCCATGCTTCACTGATATATACTATTTTGCCATCATATTCTCATCTCAATGTTTTTAACATTTTATTGATGGCGATTTTTTTTTATTTCAGGCTGCTGGAGCGCTGTCTATAAATATTGGTAAGTCGTACTTCTTTGGTTTTGCTTAATTTACTTAGATGAATTGTGACGTATCTAGAAATTTTCCCTCCAATTGGGTAGAATTAAAGTTCATATTTGTATTTTAGATTAATGTTATGTAGTATCTCAGGAAAAAAAAAGTTCCTCTTGAAGTTATGTATAGCATTGCGATGAAATTCTTTCACTGTATTCTCATTAGTGTATCATAAACACCGCCATTTTATAGCCTCAAATCATAATTTAGATTGGGAGGGAGGGAGGGAGTGCCTTGTAATGGCGTTCTTTGTCAGATAATGTATTCATGGTCTTTTTTTGATTTCTGTAAGTTCCTTTTCTTTTTGGATTGTATATCTTCATTTCTCTTGCAGCTCATATACGTCCCCTCATTTTTTTCCCCGTCTTCAGGAAAAAAGCCTAGGGATTTGCTGAATCCAAAAGCAATCAAATATATGCAATCAATTTTTTCAATCAAGGATTCAGTCAGTAAAAAAGAAACTCGTGAAATCAGTGCTTTATGTGGGGTCACGATCACGCAGGTTATAGTTTCTCCTCTTATTGACGTGCTTTTTTTCTGATTTTGATGCTTTTCAAATTGTTGGGAAATCAAGCTGCTAGGAAAAAGTAATTTGGCTATTGTTGAGTCCTGTGAGAAAACTTAGAGATTAATTTTACACCTTGATTATGCGAATGCTTACTCATAAGCAATTCATAATTCAATTATAATTTATATTGCTAATGAACAGGTTAGAGAGTTTTTTGCCAGCCAGCGGTCACGAGTTAGAAAGCTTGTCCGTTTGTCACGTGAGAAGGTTACAAAGTCTAGCGCAAGTGATGAAATAAGCATCGGCTGTCCCTTGAATTCTGGTCTTGCTGCTCCTGTCACCGAACAGGCATGTGAGCCATCTGTGGTTCCTATAAGCGTCGAGGGATGCGCACAGGTCCCTATGAATGGCATACAGCAGCTTGATGCGACTCAACTATTGAATCACGTTTCTGTGGAAGCTGGTGATACTCGCACTACAAAAGAGGGTTTGTCGTGTGCCCCACAAGAAGAAACCATACCTGGCCTTGATGCCGATGATAAAAACTTTTTGGAGCACATTTTCAGTTTAATGAAAAAAGAAGAAACTTTTTCTGGGCAGGTGAAGCTTATAGAATGGATTATGCAAATACATACTTCTGCAGTTTTACATCGGTACTTACCTGCCTCATTTCTCGGCTTGATCAGCATTCAGACAACTTTTTGGTTGATCACATGCATTTGGTATGCTTTCAGGTTTTTGACCAAAGGGGGTGTATTGATTTTAGCCACATGGTTGAGTCAGGCAGCTCTTGAAGAGCAAACAACTGTAATTTTGGCCATTTTTAGGGTATATACTTCATCAATTTGTCATAATGTTATGTTTTTTTTCCGGCATCAAGCTGAAATTGAGTATTTTCAGGTTCTTTGCCATCTACCCTTACATAAAGCTTTGCCAACACAGATGTCAGCCATTCTACAAACCGTTAACAAGTTACGATTTTACCGGACATCAGGTTTACCTTTTGCATCCTTCCATTATGGACCCCTTCTTGCTTAAATCAGTTCATTATTTTTTTTCCTTTATTTTCTCAATCTCCCATGACTCTTTGACGTGATGAATGTCTGTGTATCAATTTCATCTGTTTTTTTTGGTTCTGGGTTGTTAAAGGAATTTTTTGTCTGGAGACAAACCTTATTCATCAAAAGTTGACAGTTACGGTTGATCAATGCCAATTGTACCTTTCTATGCACTTATTGATCTCTTTGATCGATTATAAGAAATGATGAGTCACTCTGTTTCATTGTATGTCTACCTGTAAGAAGAAGGGAGAATCTGATTCCTTCAGGTTGATTGATTACTTCCTTGAGTTCTGTTTCCACATTTTTCTTCTGATAAGTTGTATTTTTTTCTCATTGTGCTCTGATGGGAATTGCATATTCTGAAGTTCAGACATATCAAATAAAGCAAGAGTTTTGCTGTCGAGATGGAGTAAACTTTTCATCAGAAGTCAGGCTATGAAGAGGCCACTTTCTGTGAAATATTCCTCTGACTCCCAGAAAGAAATGATTCGGAAGCAAAGGTATGCTGGAGATTGTTGTCTGCAGCATTTTTTGTTCCATCCATAGTTTTTTTCACTTCATGAAGGCTTAACCTTTCCTTGGCTATAGGATTAGTGAAATTCTCAGTGACGGGTCATGGCTCTCTAAAGTTGATCTCCCTGTAAGTTTGTTGAGAAATCTGAAAATGAACAAGCAATTCTTCACTCTACTGATCTCATACTTACGATGTTTATATTTTAGGAAGATATTCTTGCTCTAAGTTATGAAGGTTCAGCTAAGAACAGGTATTGATATTTATCTTTTGTAAATAATTTTATTGTATTTGATTTCACTCAAGTACGATGTGTAAACATTTAAAATTCATCAATTGCTCCATCTTGTTCAGGAAATTGGATTCGAAACAAGCACTTAAGCTGCTTCCTGCAACCTCCAACGAGTCAAGTAAAAAACAGGCACGAAGTGTTTCATGTCCCAGTATCCTTTGTAGCTTTCAAGCTGCCACTTACTTTCTTGTCACGTCTGGATTTTTTCCTTCGCTTCTTTTTTCCTCCTTGGTGGTTGTGGTTGTGTGGTGGGCACTGTTGGGAATTGACCAAAAATGGTCTTCTCCGTTGCATGAGACTTATTAAATATGTGGGGACCAATCGCTGAAGTTTGAGGCTGGTTTTGATCTTAAGGCGTATGTACGTGAGGTCCATGGTTGTTAATCGAATGAATAGTCACTTCAACTGTGTATTCACAATTGCAAGTTTCTCTCCCAAGTTTAATGCATACTACCAAGTAAAATTTAGATCGCTTCCTTCTTCCTAGTTCACTATGACACACTTAGTTAATTTATAGTGCTCAGTCATAGTATAAATTTACCTTCTCTTGCCTGCAAATACATGTTACAACTCAGTCTTTCAAAAGTTTCATCATCCCTGTTGGTAACAGAAATCATATAAAGGGAACACAAGAAGCTTTCAACGTGGAGGTGTCATCATAATAACTATTGGATTATTTCTCATTGTTAAGTTTGAAGGTCGTCTGTTTGAAACCGAATTCTTCCTGTTTTGCTCAGAAAAACATTTCCTAGTGATTTTTTTCTGCAGTCATCTCTTGGATCCGGAATTGCGATTCAAAGCTCTTGTTTTTTAAGGAAACATGCATTTGGATTAGATTTTAAGAATTAATATTTGATCCATTTTTTGCAAAATCCATACAGTTGGCGTATTCGATGACATGATACTATTGTGGGTTGTTTCTGTTATTTTAGTTATTCAATACATTTGAAAAGTGGTGTTTTATTTGTAGTGATGTGATATGTTAGCATAATACTGCTGTGCATACTGTTATCTCCTTAATGAACAGTAGAAATGAAAGAACGCAGGAAAGTATTGCTGGTGGAGCAACCTGACCATAGAAATCCAGGTCGGAGTGTCCCAGTCGCCAGAGCAGTGCCCACGAAGAGTAGCCGCCCAATGTCCTCTGATGATATCCAGAAAGCAAAGATGCATGCAATCTTCATGCAGAGAAAGTATGGGAATACAGATACGTCTTCTGATGGACAGAATACCATTAATCAGAAAGTATCTAATGCGTCTTCTGCAGACAAGATCCCTAAATTATCCGAATCAGAAAAAGATGAGGACAAGACAGAATTTCCCCACTCTAAGTTGGAAGAGTTGGTCGATTCAAAGCCATTGACTTCTGCTGGCTTAACAAGCTTCGTCGATTCGAAGCCACCACGTTCTATTAGCTTACCTAGTATAGCGGATTCAAACCTATCGAAGTCTTTTGGCTTAGCAAACTTAGTTGATGCAAAGCCTTCAAATTCTGTTAGCTCACCCAGCTTAGTGGATTCAAAGCCCTTGAATTTCATTATCTTACCCAGCTTAGTGGATTCCAAGCCGTTGACTTCTATTAGCTTGCCAACCGTAGCTGACTCAAAGCCATCAACTTCTGGTGGCTTGCCGAGCTTAGTCAGTTCTGAGCCAAGCACAGTTACTGGAGAACCTTCATTGGAGAAGCTGAGAAGAGAGTGCATTACATGGCAGACGCCACCAGGTACATTTCTTTTGGATTCTTTTGTGTTCCCTTCATTTTTTCTCTGCCAAATATTTTGAAATGAGGATAGGAAGTTGAGAAATAAACTCAGATGGGACATGCTGTGTAATGCTCACATAGTACGACCCTTAATGGGCTTAATGGTCAGCTGTATCTTTACTTATCTTGGCAATTTTGACAGAACGCAAACGCTTGCCACGAATAAATTGGATTATCTCGACTATCTGCTTAGGCCTTCTCCCTCATCAGATGGCGGTGTTTCAAAAGTTTCTATTATTCCTTTTTGTTTTGAACACGTCTTCTGTTTTAATCACGTGTCAGGCAACGGGATCTATATTGGCGCTTCGTGTAGCCAATTCAATTCAATATGCCATGCACGACAGGCTTAAGAGTGATGTTCGCCTTTCAATTCAACAATGATCGTGTTTATTACTGTGATTTTGCTCATTGCCCCACTATGATTCTGGCCTAGCCGGGGCAGCGCTCTTCAGAGAAATGTGGATTGAGATTATCTAGTTGGCATCAACAGAAATGTTTGAGTTTTCTTCTTAATGGGTGGCAGTTTGAAAAATGGTCTAGCCGATGCATGCAGTTGCAGTTATGTGCTTCTGATCATTTCTTGCTTAACTAAAAGGGCTAGTTCTTGATCAAGGTGGGATTAGGCTGTGTTCTTTAGACATGATCAAACCCGGATATGGCGAGAGCAGCAATCGTTGATATGGAAGTGAAAGATTTGATTGGGAGGGAGGTCCTCGAGGCTTCAATCGTTTCTCCTTTTTTTTACTAAAAAAATATAGAATAAGAATCATCAGGCATTCTGAGAAAAGTCGTCTCCTGGTTTCTCGCAGACCGGCATCGTCGGGCTTTCCAGCGTTTTTACGTTTCTCCTGTGCAGTGATTAGGATCAGCGAGCTGTGGAGCATCGGCAATGGCGAGAGCAGCAAGGAGATGGACGTGCAGACGGCGAGAATCCGGCGGGAGCAGGAGGCGCGATATCCCAGTGCCGACGCCATCCCGGCCAATGCCAAGGACCCGTGGGACGTGGAGATGGATTTCGACGACAGCTTAACCCCTGAGATCCCCACGGAGCCGCCGCCCGAAGCCGACGCCGGCGTGGACGCGGCGGACGCCGCCGCTGAGCCGGCTGCCCCCGCTGCTTCAGCTCCTCCTGCTGAAGCCGCTACCGCTGCCCCTGTCGCTGGGCCCGATCTCGAGCTGCTGGCCGTGCTCCTGAAGAACCCCGAGTTGGTCTTCGCCCTGACGGCCGGGCAGGGGAGTAACTTGTCCAATGCCGAGACGGTCGCCCTGCTGGACGTTCTAAAGCAGAGCAACGGCGGGTTGGCGGGAATTTTGAGTGCGGCGGCGGGAGCTCCGCCGACGCACGCGGCTGAGCCGGCGACGTCTCTTCCGTCCCCCACGCCGCCGTCGGAGAGAGCGAGGGTAAGTCGAGCGCTGTACTAGTGGTAGTTCTCTTGGTGGGTTTTCTTCACGGCGGTTCTGGTTTTACACCTGTCGCCTCCTTTTTTTTGCTGCAGATGGGGTGGCAGCCGGAGCCTGCGCCGCTGGTGACGAAGAACCCGCCGTTCCCGCATCTCCTTCCTGGCGTCGGCGCGGCGGCGGCCGCCGCCACCACCGCTGCTGCTCCGATCCCCTCCCCTCCGGCAATCTCTATGGTTCCTACGAGCGTCCTGTCTGCCGACCCTCTCCACCCTCATCAGCATCATCATCTTCCGGCCCACCTCCACCCCACCGACTCTCTACCGCCGCAGCACAGCGCCGCCCCACAAGCCGCCCCGTTCATGCTGCAGCGTGCCGCTAAACCCGAGCCCGTCGTGCCGCCGCCGCCAACGACGACGACGACGAGGCATTATCACCCGGCGAACGGCGGCGACAGCAGCCCCCTCTTCCCTTCCTTGCTGCAACAACACAACCACCACCAGGAAGCCCTGAGCTTGGAGCAGCAGATGCAGAGCCGGAAGGCCCCGCCTCTGCTTCCGACCCCGCCGCGGGCTCAGTCTCCTCTCCTCCCCGAGCCCCCGGCCCTGCGCAGCCGGTGGCCCACCGGTGCCACCAGCGGGGCCAGGGAAGCTCCGCCGCCGCCGGGCGCCTGGCACGCCCGTCAGAGCGGGCTGCTCGAGACTCCGCCCCAAGACCACCATCACCATCACCAGTATCAACAGCAGCAGCAGCTCGTGAGTGTCTTCGCTGCAGGGCCAGCGCAGGCGCGGGCGATGCTGCAGGGCCGGATGGGGGACCCCAACGTCCTTGTAGACAGGTCGGAGCTGGAGGCGTGGAGCCCGGAGAGGAGTTCCGGCGGGGGATTCCGGCCGGCCGGCGGCTTCCCGGACGCCAGAAGGGCGGCGGAGTACGCGTGGGGCGGCGACGTGTTGCCGGTGCGCCGGCCGAGGCTGCACCAGCTCCCGGGGCCGCGGGATCATCGGCACAGGTCTGGGAGGAGGTGGCGCGACAGGGAACGCAGGCCTTGAGAGCTTACTTACAGAGATCCTCAACCGTATATAGATTCTCGAGATCAAGAGAGAGTGTTCCTGCTTATTTTTCTTCTGGGTTTTTCTCTACCAGAGATGGAAGAGGAGAGGACGGGTTTTTCGGTACCTAATTGTATTAATGCCGTCCGGATTCAGGACCCCAAGATTATTATTTCTTTTATATACGTGCTCGAGGAGATGAGTACCGATTTATCAAAGTATGATCTTGCCGGCGGAGGTCAGCGTGATGATTGGGGGGAGTCTGTGCCGCAAGAGAGCGAGAGAGCGGCATCCTATCCGCAAGGACAGCGGTCGGCAGAGACTGGACTTGCGAGGTGGTCATGGCGATGCGGGGGGCGGCGGCGGCGGGGAGAATACGGTGGGTCGCCCGGGGGACGGTCCTGGCGTCTGGTGAGGGCAAGTCGCCGGCGGAAGAGTTTTCTCCGATGGCGGCGGTCTTCCGGCGGCGGCTTCTGGCGGGGACCGCGACGGCGTCGGTAGTGGCGCTGGGGGCTAACTTCGCTGGAGTCACCAGCTCCCTGCTCGGCCTCTACCCGGATTTCGGCCGGCGACTGAAACTGGACGCCCTCTACCCAGTGGGGGGCTACAGCCGCTGCCTTGACACGGGGGAAGGCTTTGGTGAGCCTTCATTCTTCCCCCCCCCCCCCCCCGGCGGCGGAATGATCCTCTCTGCCAATCATCCTTGACGCTGTTCTCTATTTGTTACCCTCAATCGGATTATTTTTTGCAGAGTTCACGTATCCCGCCGACTGGGTCGGAGACCAGACGCTGCTGTACAGAGCAGCGGAGAGGGCGGAGTTGCAGAGGCAGCTGGACCCATCCTCGCCTCTGATGGACGCCGGCCCGCGCCGCCGCCGCCGCAGCAGCGGCGCGAGCGAGCCCGCCGTGGCTTTCGGGCCGCCAGGTTCTAACGGCGAGCTCAACGTCAGCGTCATCGTCTCCTCCGTCCCCGCCGATTTCTCGTAAGTTCCCCTTAAAGAGCTCAACTTCAGCATGCCCGCGCCGACACTGAACCGTGGTGTGCTTCCTCGAACAGGATAGAGGCCTTCGGGAGCCCCAAAGAGGTCGGGGAGGCAGTGCTGAGGACGATCACCGGCGCCAGAGGTGGCACTGCCGCTGTCACGGCAGAGCTGGTAGACTCCGCCGTGAGGCGGGACCCCGCGAGGAACGTGAACTACTACAGACTTGAGTTCCGGGTAGAGTCGCCGTCGTTCCGCCGGCACAACGTCGCCGTCTGCTGCGCGTACGGCGGTAAACTGTTCACTCTGAACGCTCAGGCGCCGGAGTCCGCCTGGCCGACCGTCAGAGACGAGTTCAACTTCGTAGCGGACTCCTTCAACCTCACCTTCCCCTGAAAAAATGGCGATCCTCGGAAGAGGCCACCTCCGCCGCTGCCAAACCCGCCGCCGGAGCATGCATACACCGGTCAAAGGGGTTGTTCGTACGTGCTGTCCCAGTGGACAGCCACGGATTTCCTTCCTCGCTCGCAGAACAGGGAGGATGGGTGGAGAATTCATGTTCCAACGGCACCGTTGCGCCTCTTTCTCTACCACCATTAAGAACTCAACGCTTGAATAAATGTCGACCATTTTTTGCAAGTTTTTTACACCGAAATCCGGCGAGATCGTATTCATCCCAAGGTCAAAGACCTGATTCTCCACCCAGATTTCAATATTGCCAGAAATGGCAGGGTCGAGCAGAAATGGGGAGGAGGGAGACTCGGTCAAAACATTGCAGACTCAGGATGTCGGCTCTGACTTCTTGGCGCCGTCCTCTGGAGGCAGCGAGACGAACCGCAGGATGTTCTGCACCGTCGCCACATCTATTCTGAACTTCTCTGCAATGGCTTCGATGCTCATCGGCCCTCGGTGGTCCTCGGATTTGCCCTCGTGCAAGAGGATGATCTGTCGCAGCTGGGCAGCTTCAAGAGTTCCGGAAGGCAGGGGCTTCTCCTCGCTGCCGCCCGCCGCTGCCGCCGCCGCCGCCTTTGAGCTTCGCAGTTTTGGCATCGGTCTGTTGTACTTCTCCACGATGAATGCCTGCACAAGGAGCCCGATATGGAATTAAATATAAGCTTATAAATAGATCATGATTAAAAACCAAAGATTGAGAATTAAATCTAGACAGCTCAAGCTTGATGAAGATACTAATTATACTTGGATTCATCTGCCCCAGACACAGCCTGGTAAAGCATGATCCACTGGTATGCTGAGTAGATTCAAAACACAGACTAAACGAGCAGCTTCATCTCTCTAAATGTCAACAGAGAGGGGATAATTTGCGAGGTTATAGAAGTGTTCTTCCCAAAAAAATCTCCCAAAACATGTCTCGTACTTTGGCTACTCTACCCAGAAAAGGTCAAATCACATGATGGAATCATCAATCCAAAAAAATGAAAGAGAAGAGGCAGTCCCGCAAGAGAAGCACTTGGATGGCTGATAGATGTCCCCAAGTAATTGATACTGCATCCCGTTGCATACAGAGTTATCAGACAGCCCTCCCATTGGATTTGGAATGAATGGAAAATTTTGAAAGCTGCAGCATTAACCTAGGAGGTCAATTCTCCATCAGAGCAATCTAAGTTAAGAAACTTCAATGCCCATTAATGGAAAATTTCCTCACATGTTTGTTCAAAGGAAAAGAGTTATTATAGTAAAATATATCATAAATATATGCTCTGTTCCGAAACAGGAAAAAAAAAAGTCAGCATCGGTGCATCCACAAGCACGGAATCAAGAGACAGCCCAGGGAGACGGTATATTTCTTAGAACTGTGAAGAAGCCTAGACAGAAACCGGACAAGAACCAGCAGGAATCAGCATGTTTTATCTGTTTCATTCCCAAATAGCAAGAGCAAGTCAATTCCTAGGCCAAGCAACTGAACTAGATCAAGAAGAGTTTATTTGCAACAGACAGCTTTCAATTTTTTCATCAAAATAAGTATCATTTTCAAGATCTTTGATACTGAGAGATATGAGCATTGAATAAAGAAATAACATAGTCGGAAGCTTTTAGACTCACCTCACCCATTTCGAGTTTCCCTCCCGGCTTTGTTGTGATTCTTCCTACCATTTTACCAAGCATGGCATCATATGTAGGATCTCGTTCCTCCAGGACGCCGGGAATAGTTTTGTCCCCAGATGAATCATCTGGACAAGAAAAAATGAAGGCATTGACAAAGTCATAATCTAACTCTATTCTATAAGTAACAAAACTCGCATGCATATAGCACGGTCCATGGGAGAGTAAGATGATTCTCTCTCTCTCTCTCTCTCTCTCTCTCTCTCTCTCACACACACACACACGCACCACGTGAACGCTGCTGATTGATGTGCCTGCTGACTGCTTATATCAGAAAAACTGAAAATAGTAGAAAAATGAAGAAAAGAATCACAGAAGAAGAGAAACCCTGCATTCACCACGTAAAATATTCTAGCTTGTACATCCAATAAATGATGAGTGCACGCATACTTGTCTAACTCAAAAAAAATTTGGAATGGGCTCCCAGACATATCACACAGATTTCGTTGTCCAGCTTTATTCCCACCTCATCCCCACATCCGCTTCCATATTTTCCAAAAATTATGTTCCAAAATATTTCTTTCTTGCACTCGAATGGAATATTTAGAATAATCATAATTTTTGAGATTTTTTTCCGTAAATCAAACTTTGATCCCAAAATAAGAGTTGAGAAAAGATAAAAATATTAAGTCGCAGTTATAATCTGCAGGAATCACCTAAATTATGATTCTCAATTAACAGAAAAATTCTCCGCCAAAAATTTATGCACATTCTTATTATACCACGGGCGTTCCATAGCCTCTTTCACAACACACGTCTATAGATAGTATGATCATATCTTATACCAAAGCCGATTTGGCATAAAATATCTCTTGCACATTCAACGAAAAGGAATTAATAGTTGTGCTAGAATAGTTGCGCATTCAATGGATAACCATTTTCAGTATACTCATGTAAGAATTTTGATAAAAAGGGAAATACCAATCCCAATTTCATGGGAAAATGTCTCCTGCGCATTCAACGAAAGGGCTGACTAGTTGCACATTCTAGCTAGTAGCAGCAAAGAAACGGAAGAGAAAAGATGGAACGTGAACATTCACTGAATCCGTCGGCTCTGTGCTCCTAAAATGAAAAAAAATACTATAAATCTGGCTACTTATATATCATAAAAAGTATAGGATAATAAATCAATTCCAAGGACGATTAGAAAACTTTTGCTCTGAAAAAGGATTCGATTCACAATAACCAAGCTCCACGAGTGTCCTAAATTTTTCTGCTACAACAACGTGTTCAAGTGATTAAATCATTGCTTTCCCTCTATGTCTAATCCACTGGAATAAATATCTATAAAATCCGATTCCTGATAAAACTATTGAGGACCGTGTGATAGGACTACCAAATAAGTCGGACTAATATTTCTTTAATTGATCGGAAAAATCATTTTTTTATTGACCATTTGTAAATTTTGAAACAGTTGCCATGCGGCATTACGTTGACATCAATAACCTACTTTAAGTTGCCTCAGATCTTGGCAGTCTTTGAAGCTGCTAACTGAATATCAAGAATCTATAAGATGCTGATATAGATTCTCACCTCCAGATCTCATTAGAAATAGAAATTTTCTTCCGACCCAACAAAAGTGTCGTCTTCCAGGTCACATGACCGTATTTGTCTCAGGGAAGTAGACAAAACCTTGACGCGTTAAGAAAAAGAGGTCACATAGCGTAACCTTGAACCCAGGAATGCTCCTGGATTCCATCCAATGCGTCTGGTTTTAGTTGATTAATTCCATATTCATGTTTTTTTTCTCAAAGTATCCATTTTCTATTGGTGGCCACGGTTCAACGATCATATGAAAAGAAATGGGCATCCTGAGTGAAACGCAAAAAGAAGCAAAACCCTGGCCGATTCCTTGATATACTTGGAAAATTTTGAAATCACACGATCGAAGTTCCTCCAAACTATAATTCAAATACTGGGCAAAAGCAACTGTCGAGAGAGGGCGGCCGGCGCCTAACATGTTCTTCCACCAGTTGATCTCTTATCCCCGATCAATTCCATAAAAACAATCAATGATCCAGTATACCTGAATCAAACCATGAGGAACCAATGAAAGTTTTGTTTGCAAATCCCGCTTCTGCAAACCTCCCGAGAGGAAGAGGATCAACCTACTGTAGCCCTCGAACCGATAAGGGCCACACCAGAGAAATGCGACATTCACCGACTACAAGATGAAGGATCTCGATGGGGGGAGAGGGGGCACGGATGAAAGGGACTCACCGGTGCCAAGGACACCGCCGAGACCGTTCTGACCAGCCTTCGGAGCGTAAGGCGCCTCAGCGGGGGGGCCTGGGGGCCGCCGCCCGGTATTCTTGAGGTGCTGACCCTGCTGCTGAACTTTGGAGGCCCGCACCTTCCCCGCGGCTCCCCTAAGCACCTGCCCCATTCCCTTTCCCCCCCACCCTCGACCTTATTCTAAGGCAAACCATTTCACAACCAGAGCTCTTAGACCTTTGAGTTATTCGCATAGATCCTCCTCGTTAATTCTGATCCGCCTTAAAATCCATTGGTATCGGAGCTGAACACGTCGCAGCCCGAAGCTAGCGAGTAAGAGAGAGAGAGAGAGAGAGAGAGAGAGAGAGAGAGAGAAGGGAGTTCTCGGGCTCATGCAGTCAGATGTCGGAAGCGTAGTCCTTCACAAAGACGCTGACTTTGCCCGGAATAACCTCCTGAAAGCACTGCTGGTTGGCCGGAACGAGCTGTGAAAGATGGCTCCGCTGTTCTTGTGACTTCTTCACCGGCGACCTCGCCTCGCCGACTCCCAAGAAATCTACCGTCGAAGGGTCGCGGCCGGCACCTGGGGCGGACCCAGCAGTCGCCGACGATGAAAACAGAGACGAAGGAATACCTGCAACTGCGGTCATCCCTAAGAACATCTCTGCATCATTCAATACCGAGCCGCCGCCGCCGCCTACCGAGGTGTTGAAGAACTGGCTACCGAGCCCTGCACAGGCATCCCCCGTGAAGTGTGACCGGAAATCGTACGGCTGCTGCATCCAGGAGCCGAGAACCGCCGTCGCCAAGGAGGGGTTCGTGTTGGCACTCGCTCTGGCGCCAACCTGGGCTGCCCTCTGCAGCAGCGCCGTCGCGGACATGTGCGCCGGCGCCTTCATCAGCGAGCTCGACTTGTCTTCAGCCATGATGCCGGAGAATACACCTGAAGTCGTGCTTATGGGTCCCGACGACGAGCAGATGAGATCGTCAGAGGGACCCATGAGAGAGTGATCCACGCCGGCGATGAACTCGGAGATTCCGGCGGAGGAGCCGGAGCCAAAATCGTTCTGCACTGGGACCTCACCGGTCCGCCCCTGGGAGGTTCCTGTCATGAATCCCGTCAATCTGTGGCTCGCTTTGCTGCTCTCTTCGGTCAGAACATTACAGAAAGCTGTGTGTGTGACGAAGCTGTCTCTTCTACACACAAAAAAAACTAAAAGTCAACGTAAAATTACAGAAGTTCTTCAGCTGATGAAGCTGTCTCGACCAAGAAACATTTCTCTGAGAAACTCTTTTCGATCATTACATAGATCACATATTTGGCATAGATTATTAGTTCCGTTCATCACTAAGATCTTCGCAGTTTTGAAGGCCATTTAGATATATCCGTGATATAATTTCCACTACAGATGTTGTATAGTTGAGGATTCAAGTGTTAATTGGTCATTTTGGAAAAAAAATAGTGAAGATTACAGGATTTCAGTGAAAAAAAAGGTCAACGTAAATGATCAAGACTTGAAAATTATACTAATTTAAAATTCAAGTTAAATCAATAACATGATTGAAATATACAAATTGCTGTTTACGACGACTAGCAATCTGTCAAACGCGTCTCGCCATTCCAAACATTTATCGATGTTGACCTTTTTCTCGCAGGTAATTTCTTTTCAAAATAGTATTAAACTGTTCAAACTTTGCTCCTTAATTATTGTTTCATATTCTTCATCCTATTTCGGCGGGTGGGTTTTTGGCGACAGGGAACGAACCTGGAGAAGACGGAGCCACAGTCGCACTTATACTCTCTGGAACTGCAGGTCTTGGAGTGCGCCTTAAGGTCCGACTGCACGGCGTACCTCTTGGAGCACCTGTCGCACTTCCAGTTCTTCTCACCGTGCTTCCGGCAGAAGTGCTTCTTGATGCCGGTGAGGTCACCGAGCGCCCTGCTGGGGTCATGGTGGACGCAGGTGCCCTCCGGGCAGACGTAGACCCGCTTCCGGGCCTCCGTGCTCGTCCGCTGCCGGAGTTTCCACGGCAGGTTGTGACCGCGCCGGTGAAGCTGAAGGTTCTGGTCTCTCTGAAATCCCTTGCGGCAGATCTCGCAGACGAATCGGTTCGCCGTCATCAGGCTCCTCGGCGACAGGGCGATCACCTCCGCAGTAGGGTCTGCGTGCATAGAGAGATAGAACCGAAGGTTATGAGAGAACCGGGGATGAGTGAGTGGAAACCTTCTTCGGAACTAGTTCAGACGACCCATATAGAGAGAGAAAGGAAGAGGGAACAGGTTTGGTTGACAATTATTGAACTCAGAGAGCAAGGGGTCTATCCAGAGTCATCGCTCCTTGCGAACAGAAATGAGCTTCCAAGTGGGTTCTAACTTTTCCGACGTGTGAGCCCAGTTTCCGATTTCTCCATGAGTTTCAGATCGAGCAAACAACGAGGTTGATGATGATCCGAGATTAGGTAGAGATCGTTTATCACCTGGAGTCCCCGGGAGATTCCGTTTCTTCTTCTCAACAGGTGGTGGTAGCGGCAACGTAGTTGGGCTAGGGCTGTTCCCTGTAGCCGAGGATCTGAGGAGAAGAGGGTTCAGCTGTTGCAGCTGCAGAAGCCGCCAGAGTTCCTGGACCTCTTCGGTCCCCAGGTTTGCAGAGGCGGTGCACTCACCCTCTCTGGTCATGCGTGACATACCCATGAGCCAGCTTCACTCCACCCCTCACCTCTCTCTCTCTCTACCTCCCTCCTCCCTCCCTGCCCCCCTCTCCTCCCCCCCTCTCTTCCCCCTCACACTCACTCACTCCATCTCTTCCCCCTTCTCGCCTCTCCCCCTCTCCCACACACTCTCACTCTCTTCCTCTCTCCCCTTCCCCCCTCTCCGACACACTCTCACTCTCTTCCTCTCTTCCCCTCTCCCCCTCTCTCACATACTCTCACTCTCTTCCCGTCTCCCCCTCTCTCCCACAGTCCCATTCTCTCCCTCTCTCTCTCTCTCTCTCTCTGTCTCATTCTCAGTGGCGGTTGAGCGAAGAAGAATGAAAGGGGTCTGACTGGTAGTTGTGTGAATTTATATAGCGGTTGATGCGGTGGGGGGACGTTGCAGACAGCCGCGGGAGAGCGGGGGGAGGGAGGGCGTGGTTCGTCTTTCCTTCCTCAGTTGACTCGTTGACAAGAACAGAGCTCATAAGTTTTCTCCTTTCCACTCGATAAATCTCGGAATCTTCTCTCTCTCCCTCTCTCTTTCTCTCCCCCTCCTCACCCCACGGTAGTGCATAATGTCGGCGCGTCGCGTTTCAATACGTAGCCGTGCGTGCGGTATGTAGTTGACGCAGACAGCATTACGTGTTTCTCCAATAATTCACGTATTTCTAAGACGAGGACAGAATATTTCTCCCGAGCTTCTGTTACTGTCCTCGACGCAAAGCTGATTAAGATAACCTCAAGCCTTAGCTCCACTGCAGGATCTCTTAGCGTCTAGAAAAACCCTAGAAGACGTCCATCTACCAACCTGTCTACGAGCACAATAAACAATCCGACGACCATCGTGCCTCCCTACCCTCCCAGAAGACCCATCAGACAGCTAAAAGATTGGACGCGGACCGCTTCTCTTCACGGTCGCGGCTGTGTTTATTAAGCTGTTGCTTAAGCGGCAAGCCGCGTATATTTTAAGCTGCGGACGTCGAGGTCCGGCGATGCGGGCTGATTTGAAAAGAGAAAGGAAGAGGAAAGAGACCAGTTCCCTGCAATGGATAGCATAGATAGCGCGGCGGAAGCTAGTATCCTCCCTCATCAAGCTCTACCCCCCCGTGCGCCCTCGTCTCCCATAAGAGAGAGAGAGAGAGAGAGAGAGAGGGAGGGAGGCAGAATTCGATTCGTCTTCTCAGTCTCTGCAAACCCAATGACCGGTAAGATAAGCACGACTGTGTCGTCGAACGGGAAGGAAGCAAATTCTTCATGAGTAAAAATATTCCATTTTGGGTTATAAAAACCAAAATCTTGCTGATTCCATAATCATGTATTTGAATTCCCCGGTGGAGAGCCTACCCTTCCTCCCCTTCCTGCGTGAAGGAGTCGTGTCTTGGACCTCGGAGGAAGACTATAGGGAAATAATGGTCATTAATCAACACACCATAAGTCATTAATGGTCGCGAAACCTAGGGATTAAGCGCTACTCCCATCCTAGTTCTACTTACATTTCCCAGCCGCAACCGTAGCTCGTGCCGAAGTCTTAAACGAATACATCGAGCCCCTCTCGCCAACTACTGAGTCACTACGCCATTGATCTTCTCGGTGTTCGCAAGGTGGCTAATGGCTAATCAGTAGCGGCGGCGGGTGGGCGGGGAAGGTTGATTCCGGGTATTCATGCATCCCAAGATCCGCGCGGGATGGCGCAAAGCCAACCCCGGATCTCCGCGTCATGTTCTCTCTCGGCAGTTGCTGTCGCTAATTGCTCTGGCTGAGGGCGTCGGCGGTGCACTTGCGAGCCCCTCTCGTTTCCGATAGACGGAGGCACTCACTGGCCGGCCCCCGCGGTGGCGGAAGGTCTCTGCTTTCACCTTCTTGCACCAGTTGACTCGCTTAGGGTAGAGGTAGAGCCCTCTGGGTAGCTAGGGAAGCAGAGGAACGAGTGGACTCCCTGCACCGCTGGAGCATTTACGCTGTCTCGATTCACGGACGGGATCGTCATTTCAAACGCCCCCCGATCCAAAGCTCTGGGCTGGGTTGACTTTTTGTCGACGGATCGGGTGAGCCGAACTCGAATCGCCTTAGATTTGATGATAAAAGTACGCCTGAAAGATTGCGATGTCCAATTTAGACTGTTGGTGTGGAAGAAGACACTCTGAAAGGCTCGCTTCTGGTCAAATAATTCATTTAAACGTATGACCATGATTTTCCCATGCAAAAGCAGACCTTTTGGAGGAGACCCATTATAAATGACAGCATTTTAAAAATGGGTCAACCATCCAGTAATAATGGGGAAGTAAGCATCATCAGCTTGCTCTTGGAATCAAAACTACTGAGTTTGAATGAGGCCTTCTGGGTATGCAAGATCTCCACAGTATACAAGAGATCGGAGTGAGAAATTTCCCGTTATATTATGGATAATCCATAGAAAAGGCAATAGATGAAGGTCTGACCCTTGGTTGAATGATCCTATAAACCTGTTTTGATACAGAGATGAGCCTCACGAAACCGGGTCCGTTCCGTTCCAATTTAGACTGCAATTAGGGTCAGAGAGGAAAGCCTTCACGGACCCGGGTTGTATCGTCTCGGATCTACCAATTTCTCTTGGACTTGGGTAAAGTCTATGGGTCCAGCTATCTATCTATCACTGACGTGGGTGTCTTAGATTGCTGACTCATGCTATCTAAATGGTAGCTATTGACTCCATTTCCCTGAAAGTAGAAAAGCCATGTTAAGGCAATAAATCAGCCCAAAGCTTTTTCACTAGAGGCCTCCAAACTTCAGATTGCTGGCCTTTTAGATTTACGTGACTAGAAGAAACTGGCGACCGACAGGTAAGCTTACGAGTATCCTGCGGTACAGCATACCTCCCTCTTTGCTTCTACTGTGTATGCGCGTGTGTAAAAATGGCCGCAGGTGCATGAATTTTTTTTCTTGATCGAGACTGCAAAAACAACAGCTGCAGTCAACGTTCAGTGGCAGCAGAGTTAGGCGGTCAACTTATTGACTTTTGAGCACGACAGAGGATGGGCAGTGAGCTCGGCCGAATCCGCCGAAGTTTCTTTCGGTAGGAACTCGATTTGATCGTCTTGCCCACCTGGACTTCCGCTACTGATCAGATGCTCGTAACGTGGCGCCTTATTTCGGTCGTTCACCTCAATATTTAATCATGTGACGCCTGGGGCAACGAGCAAAGGGGTTGACCTTTTTTGCTTTCGGTGGGCTTCTTTCGCATATTTTTATCATTTTATGAAATAAATGTTGTTAAAATACAGTGAGCAGACGTACGTAGTCAACTTGTGCGTTCACCTAGTTATACCAGAAAATACGCCATATGCACATCGACTCACGACATATCAGCCATCACAGCCCCCTTCGGTGCGCTCTCCACTGACTCCAATAACTCATCTCTCTCTCTCTCTCTCTGACTTCGTGGTGAGCTTGGATGTTTCTGGAAAGCGGAAAGCCGGAGAAATGTGCCGCAAGTTTAGGGGAAAAGAATCGCAGACGATAACGCATGCCCAACTTTTCCCCCCGGTCAACTCCTGACAATGCCGCAGGCACCCACCGAGCTCCACGCCGCCAACCTCTCTCTCTCTCTCTCTCTCTCTCTTTTCTCTCTCTCTCTTTTCTCTCTCTTTCTTTTTCTCTCTCTTCGCTGAACATTTCCTGTTCCAAGAGTTCGAGCTTCGAACCCGTCGGGACTCGAGAAACACAAGGGCTCCGGCTCTCGAGATCTGCGTGATAGCACCGCCCCTCTGCATCCCCTTCCTTTCGCCGGCCCTCCCCCCGGCGGACGGAAGAACTGGCGGAAGCATGAAGGAGAACAACGAACCAGCTTTTGATCCACCGCTTTCGGAGTAATTCTGAGAGTTCCCTTCCTCTAGGGGGGTTCGATTTCCGTCGTTGATGAGGAGGGCACGCCGGAGCAGTAGCCATCCACGATGCATCTCCGGCGAGAGCTGTGAATCTCTTCTCCTGCCCTCCGGCGATACACAGAACAGGTGGCTCCGCCTGTGAATCCGGCGGAGAATGGACCGGCCGGGGGCCACGAAGATGAGGTTCTCGCGGGTGATCCTCCTGCTCCAGATTGCCTTCGGTTTTTCTGTACTGCTCGCCGGCGTCGGCAGCTTTCGCCAGTTCCACTCTCTGAATCTCTCCGCCCACATCAAGGAGAGAGCTTTCCGCCGGCCGGAGACCGTCGAGCAAGAAGCCTGCGCCGGCTTCGACCTGCGGGCTCTCGCCGACCGCGTCGAGGAGGCGCTGACCGAGCTGGCGGCGCTCCAGGAGAAGCTCGAGGGCACCATCCGCAGCATCGACAAGAACAAGGAGCTCCGCGCTCAAAATATGTCCCGAGCGGAGTTTCGCCACTTCCTGGACGAGCAGGTGGTGCAGCCGCTGTACAGCGCCCACGTTGGCCTCCGGCTGATCCGGCTTCCCCTTATGGAGGAGCCCTCAAAGGGAGGAGGAGACCCCCTCGTCAACTTCTTTACAGTGGAGGAGACCCGAAAGTACCTCACCGGGAAGGAGAACCGCCATGGGAAGGTCAACATCCATGGCGCCAACCGGACCTACAACACCATCGGCCACGCCTGCGTGCTGATGAAGAAGGAGCTGGAGGAGTACATGAACTACGAGATCGGCTCCTACTGCAAGGACGACTGGTTGCAGGGCCAGGCGCTGATGGTGCGCGGCTGCGACCCGCTGCCGCGCCGTCGCTGCCTGGCCCGCGCGCCGCGCCTCTACTTGCAGCCGTTCCCCATCAACGAGTCCCTGTGGCGGCTCCCTGACGACCGCAACGTGCGGTGGAACAGCTACCGGTGCCGAAGTTTCGCCTGCCTCTCCAGCAAGAACCCCCGAAGGGGCTTCTCCAAGTGCACCGGCTGCTTCGAGATGGAGAAGGAGGCGGCCAAATGGGTGACCAACAGCTCCCTCCGTGCGGATTTCCTCATCGCCGACGTGCTGTCGGTGAAGCCAGGGGAGATCAGGATCGGCTTGGACGTCAGCGTGGGAACGGGATCCTTCGCTGCGCGAATGCGGGAGTGGAATGTGACCATCGTCTCCACGGCGCTCAACGTAGGGGCCCCCTTCAGCGAGACCATCGCCCTGAGGGGGCTCGTCCCCCTATACATAACCCTAAACCAGAGGCTCCCCTTCTTCGACAACACCTTGGATATCATCCACACCGCCGTCTTCCTCGACGGGTGGATTGATCTGCAACTCCTGGACTTCGTCCTCTTCGACTGGGATCGCGTCCTCCGTCCGGGGGGGCTCCTCTGGATCGACAAGTTCTTCTGCAACAAGAAGGACCTCAACGATTACATGTACATGTTCCTGCAGCTCCGGTACCGCAAGCACAGGTGGGTAGTCGCCTCCAAGTCCGAGGAGGAGGTCTACCTCTCCGCGCTCCTCGAGAAGCCACCTCGAACGCTCTGATCACCCGTATTTCCTCCCGAGATTCTCCGACCCGCCTTATATCCATCGCCCGCAAGCTTAGAACACCCGTCCGTGGGGGTGATATCTTCGTTAAATCCTGTTAACCTCCGTGAGCTATGAATGCTCTGCCAGATTCTATATATAAATACCACAACCTGTGTCTGTAATCATGGGGGAGTAGGAAAGATGGAATTTTTTTGACAATTCGAAGCCCGCATTATCAGTGCCCGGCGATTTTCATAATCGATCAATTACTTGCAGACGGCTCTTTTCAGATATTCTCTCCTTTCCATATTTCTATATATATGTGTTTATTAAGTAGTAAAGATGTAGGGTGCGATTTTCTGAATATATCTATTCGAATCTACTACATATTTACTCACATGAATGACATTTTAATGATAATTTACGACCTAAATAATAAATTAAAAAATACATTTAATTTTTTTACACATTTTTTATAAGTACAGCTCCTTGAAAGTCTCTTGAGTTGAGGGCTGTAATTTGCTTTTTCCCTACTTACATAGATATCTTCGGGTTTCTAGGAGACAATAATACCCATTTATTTGTAAGCAAAGATGGCTATTTTACCGAATAAATTGTAACAAGAAGGTGTGCTGATTATTTGCTGCATTATTGGTAGTGTATAGGTGTGGTAACATGTAATATTAAAGATAATTGATTTCTCAAAACGATAGTTAGTGTGTGAATTATGTGAAATAAAATAATTATTTACACGAATAATTTGAATTAAAAATTAAAACAAAGAGATATAAAGGGAGGCTTAGCTACTCGAGTACCATGCATTTGGACAAGTGTGAAATTGACGGAGCGGGTACAGAGAGAGAGAGAGAGAGAGAGAGAGAGAGCGAGAGAGAGAGATTTATTTAAATTGGGCAAGGTATGGTCATGATCAACCTACTTAATAGTTAACAAAGCCTAATAGAAGGATTAAATCTTGGCAAGTGTTTGCCAATTTTAGTGATTTAAGTTAAGTTAAAACAAAATACCATTTCTAATATAAAATATTCGTGGGGAATATTTTGCTAATTTGAAAGGTTTAAAATGATTTATAACTAAATAACGCTTTTGGATTTGCCATGTGACAGCAACCCTTAAGGTAATGGTTGACATGGACATTAATTACAGCAGAAATTACTATTTTCGGACAGAACCTAGCTAAGTGGATCCAATCTGCTAGGACGTTGTCAACCTCTTTCGGACCTGTCTTACCGGTCGATGCGTGTCAGAAATCTGTTAACGCATTGCGGATGTACACCGGGTCGGGCTTTCATTGCCCGTTGCCCTCTTATTATCGTACGGTCGTGGTTGGGGCAAGGGGTGGGGGGACGGCCACCTCGAAGGGTATTGTGGAGTAGAACGGCAGAAACGGAAGGGTAGAGGATAAACCGAATCAGTCTTCTTCCCTCTCTCGTTATTGCCTCCTCTTGAGGCCGAGCGCAGTTCGTCCCATCCGTCGCGGTTGCCACGGTCGCTTCGGTTGGTCGATAAGGTTGGCGTGGAGTAAACCAGGGCGTTGTGTCATTTTTTTAACTTTTTTTATTGGATTCCTACTCCTTGATGTGGCGATGTAACTGTTGGATCCGGTTTTGCGCCAGACTAGACTGAAGAATGTCGTCAATCGGCTTGTTTTTCCTGATTGGCGTTGATTTCTTCCCCTTTCTCTGCTCTTTGAGTCGTTTTGTTTTATTCTCTGTGTTTCACCAGTCATTCAATGGTGGATTCCTGTTTTCCTTTTTCAGATGTGTTACATTTTCCTCTTAGATGAGCATCTTGCTCGAACATGTAGGCCACGACAATATCTATGAACATGAACCATCGTAGATAAGTGGTTTTTTCTTTACGTGATGCAGGAAAGCAGAACTTTTGATGGAGATTACTCGTGAAGAAGATCCCCAATCTTCTGAAATCCCTCTTGATGTTAAGGATCAACTCTTAGAAAATGCAGTCCCAGTTCATCAAAATGACGAGTAGGTTTTAATTTTGCGTAGGTTATCCATTTTCGGTTAATTTAATTATTTTCACTTGATCCCATTAGTAATACTATGTAATGTTTTTCCTTCGGCTTGTGCATACGTAGTATTTGTTATGGAAGCGACTATTCACTCTACGTGTGTCCACATCTTTCCGTTTACTTGACGATTTTGGATGGTACTTGAGGAGCAGAGTAGGCATGTCTTAAACTCACGCATTTGAAAAATGATATGAAAAGTTGTACATGTGAAGCAAAAAAAATGTGCGTCTTATCCATTTGAAAAATGATATGAAAAGTTGTACATGTCTTAAACTCACGCATTTCTTTAGTACTTAATGCGGTAATGGTACACATCATCCAATTACATTGGCTTGTATATGCATGGCTACGAGGTGATGTTAAGCATCTCTCTTAACCACTGCCTTCTTACTTCCATTTTGGCTGTTGGCTCCTGCCCTTGGTTTGATCTAAAGGTCAAGGAGTCCAACAGCTATTGATGCTGAGCTGATTTGATTTCCCTCTTGCTGGCAACGTGGTCTATTGCCTTTATTTTATGGAAATAATGGATTCCTTAGTGCCACTAGGATGCTGAAAGTCTCAGATTTGGCTATTTATATTTTAAAATAAATATAGAATATATTTGAGGATATGGAGTTTTCAGCAAGCAATTAGGCCATAGTATTTGAGTAGACATTTTTCATTAATATGAGAGATAATTGTCTAGTGGTTGCCGTTAATAGTCAACTATTGATACTACTGCCACTGCAGCCTGACTCTTGCGTGCATCTTGTCTCTGTTGGTTTCAACTAACAAGATTCATGAGCTGATGTTTATCCCAATTGATACGTGATGAGATACATCCGGTTAAGTTCACTGATTTCCCTTTATTTTATTTTTAGTTGTCGTCTCCAATAAAGTCCAGGTTTATGTTAGACAAGGAATATGGTTATGCCCGGGGGGGATCACTGCCAGCCCCGATCTGAATCTGTTGGTTATTTTGATTGTTTCTGGACATGGATTCTCTATTTGGTTCATTATTCCAATCTGTCTTATGTCTCTTTGGACGCATTCTATTGTTTCTTCATGTTGTTTAAAGTTCATATCTTTGCTAAAAGGTCGTATTTTATCTTTAAAGCATTTGTGAAGTAAGAATTGCATTTGCAGTTTTAAAGAAGTGGAGACAAAGTTCAATATGAGCGATGAAGAGATCAAAGAAATAATGGAGCCCATTGCTGCTACAGGAAAGTTCTGGTATGGCAGTGTTTAATGGTTTTGCAAAATGAAGACAATGGCTATTTCTCTTGCGAACTGTAGACTAATCTACTTCTTAGGATTTTTCCAATTGACATCTATGCACCTTCTTTCTGCCTAGATATTAAAAGCTTAATCGGCCTGCAAATGTCTGAATCTGGGATTTACAATCTCATGATTCTATGTGGCTAACCTTTTTTGTCAAAATTTCAACAACATAGTTCTGGGCGTGTTTTCTCATCGAATACGTTGTTAATCAGTTTCAACGTCTATTCTCTCTTTCTGTTATTTTCTATCTTCTTTTCTCTGTGTATCATCACTTATTAGAGTGCGCATGTCATTTTGAAATTATTTGTAACGTATTTATTTGGCTGTCAGTAAATCTATGTTATTGTCCATTCAAATTATGTTTTGTATTTAGTAAAAACTCTTTCTGACTTTGCATTGCTGATCTTGGTTTTTCTTTGGAGATTTTTCCTTAGATCACCAGTATCTTGCTGTAAAATGCCATGGGAGGTAGATGCAATATTTCATTTTTTTGCTAGACTATATTCAATGGGTCTTTGTTGTCGTCCTTGTTTCCTGAATCCGTAATAAATTTTCAACTGAAATATCAGAACAATAATTTTTAGAGTTGAATTGTGCGTGGTGTTGATTTCTCATTCTCTGTAGGCATGAGTGGGACGAGTTGAAGAGTATACTATCATTTCGGCTGAAGCAGGTATGGGCAGGTATACCAATTCTCTCCAGTTCTTTATTGATGCCATTTTGACGGTTCTATCATCTGAACTAAATTTGCTCATTCACGTTCAGTGTATTTTAGCCATTTTTTTCATCAATAGTTAGAGCAAACCATCCCAATATAACCTGGTGGTTCAAAAAAATGAAGGTCTTGGCAGAATACCCCGAATCACAGGTCGACAATGACGTTGGTTCACAAGATGAATCCTTAACTGGCGAGACATATTCAGAGCTAGTAAGAAGATTAGACGAAGGTAATCTTTTTTCGTAAATTAATTTATTTCTTCCTAGAAAATTTAATAACACATTAACTGTAGAGTTTCCTTATTATTTCATTTTGTCGTAATTACTTTATTTGAAAATGAATAGTACCTCATGTTTATTAAACGATCCAGAAGGAGGGTTCCATAGCTGCAACAAAAGCAACAGATGGTCTCAAGTCATTCTTTGTTCATGTTTTGATGGTGTCTGCAGTAATTCTGTTTTTGGCTGTTTGCCTATTTTAGTACCATGATGTTGTTCTTTCCAAAACGTCACTTCTATCTTGTATACATATGATACTCTTTTGGAATTTCTATTTGTTCAAGCAGAGGCTTCTGAATTCCTGCGTTGAGTGCTTTAGCCTGGATTGCCCTATTATTTTTATTGCTTTTCATACCTTTGGCGCATGGACTTCCTTATTTTGCAGCCCTGTTGAGCTTCATAGAGGGTCCACCCTTCACACTGCAGAGACTCTGCGAGGTACCCTTCATTGGAGTCTCTGATGCCGTCAAGATTTGAGTTTTATGTTTCCTTTAATGGATTAAAATGAACAGGAAAGTGATCATTTTTAAGAGATTAAAAAAAAAGAAATGCCCGTTTTGGAAGATTTTCTTCTCTATCTTGAAGTGATATTCTGTTGTGGTGTTCAACAGATCCTCTTGGCTCCAAGAAGCCTGTACCCGAAACTCTCCAAGCTCGCTCTGGCTCTTGACAAGGTTTGTGACCGTGAAATCTCTGATCTTGTCTTCAACCTCTCATCGCGCTGTCATCTCCCTCCTCTCCTGCAGAACCTGCTGGTCACATCGACTCTCACAAGATCCACCGGCCCACCTGCCATGCCCGAGCCCGAGGTCGAGCCCGAGGCCGAGCCCGGGATAGCAAACGGGCCGCCAGAAGAGGAATCTGATCCCGCCCCTGGTGGAGAATTGCCCGCTACGAGCAATGAAGACAGAGAGATGGTTGAAGCAGAGGCCGATGAGGATGTCGCTGCCAAGGATGAGGAGATTCAGGAAGAAATGGCCGGCAAGCAAGAAGATGGAAGCGGCTCCGGCCAAAACCATGGCTGACCCTGCAGGGGAAGAACCCTTTCGGACTGCTTTCGGGCTGCGATGAGTTTCTGTGATGGGTTTTTCCGGCCCAAGAACCCTTCTCCCTCCAATCAAGCACTGGCGCATGCCTGCTCCTTTCTCTCTCTATCTCTTTCTCTTACTTCTTGCATCCTGAGAGTTGCTGGAGTTTGACTGGTGGCTGGGTCGGCCACTGCTGATGCCAGTCTCCATCGGAATTGGAGCCACTGATCTGTGCCTCTAAGGCTTTCAGGACGTTGACCATGTGCATTTTCGGGCCGGCGTTTGACTTTCCGGGCCCAATCACTCGGTTGTCTAGTCTTGCGGAACGAGGACAGGTGACCTTGGGCCGATAGAGCTTTATGGGCCTGTCAAGGGACGGCCCATTTGCGGTCCGCTCAGAACCCCTCGAGAACCCTACTTTCGTTGGGTTCCTTTCTTCTTGAAACTACGAGGCCCCGAAGTTTCCATCTTTCTTCGGGAGAAAGACGCTCGCTTCATTCTTAGATTTTGGAAATTTCCCTCCCTTTCCGTTGCCCGCCGCTGCTCTCGACGCCTCTCTGCCATCGTCTTCCTCCGGTGCTTGCCATGATTGATAGGGGCGATAGAGCACCCAACGGCCTCAGCAGCTGGCGGATGCTGCTGCTCCGCATTGGCGACAAGTGCCCGGAGTACGGCGGCCTCTCCGAAGCCAAGGAGCACATAGTTAATTTCTAGCCCTTGTTTCTGAGTAATTTCCTTTTTTTCAATGCCCGGCCTTTTCCTCCTCAAGCATTTTCTGTCTGCTGGTTTTGAGAATCAATCCTAGAGGACGGCTTACTCTCGATGGTTCATCCTTCGTAGTTCACCATCGCATTGCCTAGTGGATCCGGGAAAGCCTGTCTGTCACGTTGGTACTGTGTCATTCGATATGCCCCCCTCTGGTTGCCAGAAACGCGGGTTCTCTGTTCTTCTCTTCTGCCCGTTCGTTAAGATAGATATATTTGATTTTCAAAGTAAATGGCGTTGCTTTTTCCACTTCAGGTTGAAGTAGCACGTAGGTAGATGTGCTTTATGCGAATTTTGACGAAATCTCTTAGACGTTAACTGTGGTTAGCGAAGCCTTAAACGTAGATCGTGCCATTAGAATTCACTTTTACTTGGTTGCTTTGTACCTATGATTACTGGAAAGGGGTTTGCGGAAGTTTCTCTTCTTGGTTGCTTTGCGGAAGATTAAAGAATTATTCTAGATTGTATCAACGAAGCATCGTCAGGACATTTTATGGTAGCTGGATTCTTCTGATGGCTAAGGATAGTAAAAACGGTTTTCAGTTTTGCTTCAGAACTCTTAGTTGCGAAAGTAATATTTGGGCTATTATTAATCTTTCATTTTTCCTTGTCTAGTTAGTGAGAGTTTCTTATCTGAAGAGACATGGTGATTACTGCCGATTTGGACAGAATTTTGCTAGGGTGATGATAACTTCCAAAAAAAAACACAATCAGGGGAGTATTAGGTTTAGAAAACCAGGGAAACTAAAAGCAGCGAGGTCAAGGATCAGGAAGGTGGCAAACTTGCGATATATATTATCTAGAAATACTAAATATTTTTCAAAATCATTCTTTGGCAGTAATATATATATATATATATATTATTGGCTATGAGTTGAATGATTGTGTTTGGCATTGCTACCTTTCCTGAAGTGGATTTTTACAATCTTAAAACATCGCAATTCTACAGCTGTCATAGTAGAAGTTTGTCCAACTTTGGAGGCCACGTCTCCATATCTGCGATGTTTCATGGAAGGATTATATTCTATACCGTGAGATAATCACATAGTTTCTCATGAGCCCATCCTCAAATTGAGGGTGTCAAGTTACTTCAATTTCTGCAAGTCCACCTTTTGTAGAAGGCCATTCCTTTTGCGGACTAAGGACTGCAAGTGCGAACTCTGAAGTTTATGATGGTTGCTTATGTGTAAATCTCTCCAGTGCTATGCTGGTTTTTCATCACGGAGGACGCACTTACAAGGGATTAGGACCTATGCCTAGATCAGGGGGAAAGGAAAATAGGTGATTGGAAACCAGAATTCCAGGTTGATTAGTTGCTGACTTGAGGTTACTGTTATGACGGCAATTCTATATAGGTCTTGCTCACAAATATCGATGTAGAACAGATTCAAATGAAAGGGAAGTGGCCCAAAAAGCACAACCCATAAGACCTGAACGAGTGAAACGAGGTAGAGTTGTAATAGTTTTTTCTAAGTGGGCTTGTAATGCCCAGATGCATTCTGTTTTCATTGGCTAGTAACTGCTTTTTGTTATTTATGAAATATATCCTATTGCTTTTGGCCTATTTAAGGAGGCACGCCCTGTAGTTTTTTTTTTCTCCAAAAGATAAAGTAATTATATATATATATATATCTCTCTCTTTGTGAATTCAAGGATCAACCCTGTTGAATTCAGGGGCCTTGCATTTCGATTTTTGTGGACTCAAAAATCAATTGTATTAATTCTTGTCTATCCAGGGGTTATTAATTTGATCCATTGTGGGTTCAAGGTACAATTTCCTCCCCATCTTCTGCTACATCAGTAGGCGATAAGAAATCATTGTTGACCCCCAAAAGTGGGAACTCATGATGTCGCTAGTTTTCTGAATGAACACTATGGCAGATTGTTCCATTATTTGACTATCTAGGTGTGAGTGTGCAAGGAGGCATAATTGAATGTGTGAGAGGCTTATGGTTGGGATCAGTAGTTGAGATGATGTAGAATTATTTGATGAAGAGGGTGAGGGAGATGATGAGATGGGAATCTGAATGCACAAACTCTACCTTAGGTATTCTGTTGTGGAGAGAAGTTTTTTCAATAGCCACCTATGCCAAGTTGAGGGTCTTTGTTGACTCTTGAGGATATGAAGGGTTATAGTACGGTGGTCCAGAGCATGGGATCATGAGTTGGGTACAAGTGGAAAATACGGTCCTGGCCTTCTGTGTGAGTTATCTGTATAAGGTGGCGATAAAAGAATCACAGTAAGGTTGAAATAGCTCTCGACAGATGAGGAATGAGTATTTATTCATTTTAATTTTATGCGAATATTGATCTCCTACCAGTATCATTGATGCCTATAATACTTGTATATTATGGTGAAGTAAAATTTCAGTAATAATCTCCTATCAGATGAACCGATCTGCAGTACCGATTTCTATTTTTAAGACAAAAAACTTTTACAAGAAACAGGTTTCCTGATCATGGTTTTCAAGCTTCAAATCGATTGAAAGTTATGTTCTTGTTGTAAATATTATAAGATACATTGTATGTAAATTCTTAAAGGGAAATGTTGACAAGTTTGACATTGTTGATTCACGGTTTGAAAATCACCTTTAATCGCCATGATTGTTGATTTACGGTTTGAAAGTTGTCTCCTGTGTCATGGCCTTGCTTATTCCCTGATTTGCTTACTCGATTGAAGGATTAGATGGTTTAACTGATTAAATGCAAGAGAGAGGGTGAAATGACATGCAGCCTTGGAAAGGCTAGAAAACGCTTTTACTTGGCCCTGTGGCTGACACAGTGCGATGAAAAATCTCATAGACTTAAGCCCAGTTGTTGCTATAATAATAGAAATGGCCGTTCCTTTTTTTGTTTAATCTAGCATCATTTAAAATGAATTCTTCATGGTGCAGGATGTATGTTATGGAGTTCTTTCAAGAGAATGGGATTATTCTAAAGATGAAATATTGACGGTAAATTTTATGTTACTTGCATTTGTTTTTCATTTTTCAATGGGGATGCCTTCCCAATGTCTTGTTGGTATGTTATAAAGAAAACTTATTTTGTAGCGTATTCTATCTGTTATGGTTTTTACTGGTTATTATGTTGGGTGCCTAAATTATTAAGTTTAATGATCTACAGGCAGATAATATGTAAAATTTCTCTTACGTTATATGTCTGTAACTCTTTCTCAAATATTTTCAAAGTGCATGACCAGTATATGTTCTGAGGGTTTTCTGTGTATACATATGCGTTAATCATTCTCCCTGTGTTTTAGCATCAACTCCTGTCAAATCATTAGATCATGCAAACATATGATTTTAGATTTTCACTTTTTTGGATTTTTTTTTTCCATAACTCTCGGTGATTCAGACTCTTTAGTGTAAAAGGGCACCTTTTATTACTTTAGAAGGTAGTTGGCTTGCTACCGTTCATGAAAAATATAAACATAAGAGGACGCAAATCAGGCTCCTACCGCTGTATGTTGTGTTTACCCACTAGAAAGGCATAATATGCACCCTCAATTCAAGATTTTATTTTAGATTAGCATTGCACCCACAGTTGAAAGCTCCCTTGTGAACCATTTTGGGATTGGAAAGTAACTGATCTGATCCGTTACTGGCTGTTCTCTTCGCTGCGATTTGTCTGACATTGGAAACGGAAAGATATGTGGTTACCATGATGTGGTCATATTAGGGTTTTTCTGATCTGAATGTGTGTAGATTACATTTCGAATCCATCTCAATGTGGGCTGTTCGCTTTTTTTTTTTTCAGTATATTTTTTCATAAAACAGTAAAAAGAAAGAAAAACCTGAGGTTATTGTATTGACAACTATGAATTTATAATAATGTCTTCTTTTTGTTGTTGAAATTCATTTTGTTCATTTTCTTGTTTTTACACAGTTCCTTATTCAGTGTGCTGAAGAGATGCCTCACAAGATCCCCTTTTATGGAGTATTGGTGGGTAAATCTGCAGACATTTACCATTTTTTTAGTGGATATTATCAGTGGTTAGTAATGTTGTTTTGTTGTACAGATTTTTTATCTTATTGTGTTATTTTTTATCTTAAAAAAGATGCATTTTGTGGAGACTTGAGTATTTTTATTTCTTGTGCGTTGAGCTAACTTTAATCTCATGCAGTTGCTTTTGGTGTGTAGGCACAAATGTTTTTGTTTGAAGTGTGTAAATGAATTAGATACTCGTCGTTTATTGACACAGATTTTCTGAAGTAGCTCAATTGGTCCTTTTCCTTACTGCTCTTTTATGGGTAAAGTTTCAGTTGGGCTTAAGATCTTTTTTGTACTGAAAATTTATGCTGCAGGTCGGCTTAATAAATTTAGAAGATGAAAACTTGGCAGGAAAAGTTGTAGATGGTACCCAAAGAAATCTGCAGGTAAGTCAACAAAGATTTTTAACATTAGTAATTTTCTTTGCTGTTCATAGTAAATTAAATTATGCTTAGCTGATAGTTTATTCAATCAAAATTTTAGAGTTTTTCTCGTCAATCATAAGCCTTAGAGGATTACGGGCCAGTAAATTGAAACCCGTGTAACTTATTGGGAACTTGATTGCATTCTATTCACGAAGCATTTGAAGAAGTTTTTATTGTTCTTTTTGTTTATATTCCCTTCATAAAGTGCTCTATATGTTTTGGGAAAGTCAGATGATTTCTACCAATTCCATTTATCTGCTTTAGAAATGACCTTTAGAAGATTTCCAAGATTTTTACTTCGCACAATCATGTTTTTGTGGATATTATTGATTCGTTATCTTTTGCTCTATTGTTTCCGTCAGAAGATTCTGTCCTTCTCTGTTCCCAGCATTTAGACAACCTATTTCTTTCTCTTGCATTTTTTTTGTACACTCAGGTTATTGGTAGATTTTTTGGTCTTAGATCTCACAATGTGGATATGCCCTTCCTTTCCAGGATGCATTAAATTCAGGCGACTGCAACAGAATTCGTGTTTTAATGCGGTTTGTGTCAGTTCTGGTAGGCGCTTTCATTATTAATTGAAAATTTTATCTGTGGCAGTCTTTTTTGTAATTCCTTTTGCATGTTGAATGTTAGCCTTGCTTTTTTTTATAATAACCTCTCAGACCCGCTTGAAAATAATGAATCATAATCTCTACCTCTACATCATTATATGGTTTGAAATTCTTGTGCCGAATGAAATTGTCTTGTAAAGTTCAGTTTTCTGTTAACCATGTAGTTCTCTGGAAACCTCACAATTGAAAGTAATTCTTGTTCTGGTTTCTCTGACTTGCGTTTAGAACATGCCTCAGTTATCCGGATATGTTGTTGCTTTAGATGCCAGTTGAATGTGAAAATTGGATGCTGGAGTTACATAATTGAAACTTTTCGAATGAAACAGGCGAATTGTGAACGGTGAGCCTCCTTAGTTCTGGATTTCTTGCTGTAAGTTACTTTCACCGTGTGGTCCCTGGCAGAATTTTATCGCTATGTTATAAAGGTCGCATTCATATTAAGTCTTGAGTTGGCGCAAACTAAGATGAATGAATATTTTATGCTGTGCTTGTACAGTGACGATAAATTAAAAGTCTGCTCTATTAATGTAGTTCCTCACGAAATTGGGAGCATAATATCCCTCCATGGCTCGAGTACTATTGGTAGATGGATCATGATACCTGTAAAGTATAGAGTGCATGCATGGATGTAAGAATATAATAAACTCATCCCATTCTTCTTATAGCTGATGCTCGGATACTTGGGGGTTGAAAAATCTTGGGATAGTATGGAAATTTTTTGAGATGATAGGCTAGCTGGATCGTGCTGGCTCAACTTCCAGTCACGTACAGCCCCATCCGGCGAAATCTAATGATGTGGGAGTGGCCAGCTGTTTCAGCACCAAGCCCAGCAAACTCCTTGGTGCAATATAGGTTATTTCTACATACTTGTACCTGAGGGGTGTGGACGAGATATTTTTTTGTCTAAATGTCAGCTGGCCAAGTCATGAGCGCTCACAAACTTCCCCAGAAGAAAGGAGATGCAGGATTCGGGTGATGATAGTCTCACCACTGCCAGCCAACACCAAAAGTTCCTTCTGCTTTACTCCGTAGAATTAGTCATCCACTGCTAATGGAGGAAGAAGAATTGAACTAGTCTTCATCTGGATGATTGAAGTTGGGACAATTTCGCGCATTAATTTCACTTCCTGGTTCTTGATATAAGACCAAGACAAACACTGTTTCCTAGAAATGAATCGGAACTATATTCCCTTTGTGCATATCTGCACAGTTAAATTAATCCGGGTATTGTCTAGTCTGTTCCGCTCAAATCCACTTCTGAAAGTAAGCAATGTAGACATTTCCCTATTATTCCCTGATGGGAATATTCACGGTTTGCATGCTTTTCTTTTAACTGAAATTAGGCAAACTGCCACTCAAGCATTCATCCTAGTTGATGAAGATGTGGTTTTTTAGAGGACCCCTAAATAGATTTTTTGGAGGACGTGTAAAGTTTAGCCATTCGTATACTTTAAACTTCGTTTAGATATCCCTGAGGAACGGATCGTGCAGTGATCATCGTAAATGGTCACAAGAGTCTGGCTAAATGTAATTTCCAAAACTTTCAATTTTAATTTTTACAATCAGTTCCTTAATGGTATACTTTGAACAACATATTTTATAATTTATATATCTTGGACTATATATGGTGGCCATAATTTGCCATTGAGACTATCAGTGAAGAATCGAGGCCTTGCTATTTCATGATCACATACCATTGTCAATAATATCTCGTTTGGCTGAAAGGAGGATTTTTCCAAAACCATTGTCAATAATTTGCCATTGATCTTTTTTTCTACAATGTCATGTCATAATCTTTCAGTTTTATTTTTTGAAACTGTTGTAATTTTTGTTACTTTTTTGTAGATGTGCAGCAAAGTTATCCTTGCAGGATCTATAGTGGAGGTGTTTGAGACACTGTTGTCATCTGCTGCCACGACTGTAGATGAGGAGGCTGGGAATCCAGCTTGGCAGTCACGTGCTGACTTTTACATTACTTGTATTTTGTCCTGCCTACCATGGTGTGGTGCAGAGTTAACTGAGGTATAACATCTGTGTTTACTGTTTGTTAAAACTTTCTGTCTCCTTGGATTTTTTATCACGTTTGTTCAGGTTTCTGACACAGTTATATTTTTTTAGAATATAGATTCCTTTCTGTTATCTTGTGCATGTGATGATGCGTGCATAAGAGCTATGCCAGATGGAGAGTGCATTTATTTATTACTCAACTGCCAAAATTGAATATGAACTCAGTCAAGTCCATCACTCTTATGAAGTTTTTTTTCGGGCTTCTTTTTGAAGTACAGCAGTAATTGCTGCCTAGTCTCTAGTCTGCTCACAATCACATTTTTAAAGCGCTGTAAAACATGAATGAGATAATGGAGAGGATGAACATTGGTTAAAGAATAGTGTTTTACAATCCACAATGAATGTGGTACATCCATATTTATGGAATTATATTTAGTTGAGGGATGCCTTACTATTAATTTTTTGTCAGTGTGCCTGATTTTTTCAGCTTCTTAGGAATCATGAACTATAAAAATACCTGTTAATTGTTTTTCTTTTTGCTTGTTCGTACATTTTTCTCAATATATATATATATATATTGAAATGTAGTACGTAATTTTCTCTGCCCTTAGGCAACAAAGTGCGGTTTGCTTTGCAATTTTTGAGATTACAGTGTTTTTATCTTTTTTACTCTAATTGGAATGCAGCAAGTTCCTGATGAGATTGACAGAGTCATGGCTGCTATCCAATCTTATTTAAGTATCAGAAAACGGACTCCTGATATTGGACTGCAAGTGTTCGAATCAGATGAAGATAAAATTATCAACGAGAAGGTATAATGGTTACAATTGGTGCCGACTTTTCTTCTGTGTGGAGAAAATAAGTTGTTATGTTCTGATATTAAACTCTGAATCTACTGTTGTTTGAATTACAAACTCCTTTTTTTTTTTATTACATTAGAGATCCTCATTTATGTATTACAGGGTGTTTCAATATCAAAACCACATTTATGTTAGGAGTGAAAGAAAAAATTAATGCCAGTATTGTTGTTACGGTACCAGGTTGATATTATCACTTGTAGAAAGGTCACCTATTTATTCCAAGCATTATTAAATTCGATCCTCTTGTCCGTCAATTACGTAGGATTAGCTTTGTCTCTGGGGTACGAGATCACATTCTTAGATAATTTGAGAGGTGGAGGACTAAGTTACCTCTTGCTATGAGTGGTTACATCAAAACTGAAAGTTGACTGCTGAAGCAGGTCAGATACCTGGATTGGCGAAGGCTTATCCATCCTGTATTAGATCAGATTAGCTCTTAGCTGATTGGAAGGGCGACAGGTTGATACTAGCTTTGCCTAACTTCGTAGGTACCTCCATGTCTCTTTATCTCGACAACAAATTGGTTGCATAGAATTGAAAAGCCTGTCTTCATCTTAGCCACCCGTGAATTTAGGTTATTTGTTGAGACTAGCTTGATTATCTTTGGAGATGAAATACCCTATAAAGTGATAAAATTGCTTTTCTGGCCATACGAATGTGCTGGTGAAGCTACTTTTCTTTCTACAAGGATGACAGATAGTAAAAAGTTACTGTGTTATGGTGGATGTACACTGATTTTCCACGTCTCTCAACATAAAATGTAAAGGCACTAAGTTTGAGATTACATCCTAAGAAAATATCCTTGGATTCCACCTCAATGATATGGTGTTAAGTTAGTGTATGATTTCTCTCAAAAATACGCTGTACTGCCACTGCTGAATACTTTAATTGGTGTTGATCCAGTGGCAATGGTTTTTCAATAGATATTTGGCTCTCCTCAATGAAGTGTGATATTCAAGAAATCATTCTGAGACTTGAAAGAACCAAGGCTAAGATGAGAGTGCACTTGTACATTCTTTGAGATGCTATGCAGCGGGTAGAAAAAAAGGTGACGAAATTTGAATGTTTTCAAGACCCTTCAATCTGATACCTCCTTTCATTGCCTTAAATGGAGGGTTTTCCTAATTTTGGGTTACCTTCATTTATTGTGTTTTCCTTCGTTGAATCTCGGTTACATTGAATGATAGTTTCAAAGCGCACAAGTGATCCACAGTTCATTCATTAGATAGCCTATTGGGTCTGGGAATGCACCAAAGAGAATAATTACCGTTTAATACTGTTAAACTTTTGAATCTATCCTGTGGGGTCACCTGTCTAAATCGTTTTCCAAAGTGCATTATTAGATTTTCACGGTACTATTGATGGGCAATCTATTTTTTTCAATCATAGCTTGCGACGGTCTCTCTCATGTTGAAAATGTTGTTTAGCTCTCCATTTTATCTTCTCTATATCTTATTTCTCCGGGCTGGATCAAGTGTATTGCAAACATTTTTTTTTTTTGGGTCTCAGTTTTAGGTGACTTTTCTTTGTATAAAATACATCTTCACACTGGCATAGCCTTTCTTAATGTCACACTCTTGTAGCCTACCCTTATACCCATTTTTTCATGGTGCAGAAATACTCTTCCCAGATTCCTTGTGTTTTGTCACTGCCTACTTGATGGGATGCCGATGCAGCCACAAATCATGTTATTTTGCATTAGATGGAAATGATGACTGATTGTGTTTTATTGTGCACCAATTTGTTTGTAGAGTTTCCTCATCCTCATCTAAAACTATTTGGTTTAAGGATCTGTGTTGGTAGTTCTAATCTCGTCATACCCCAAGTACCTTTTGACATCCTCCCTTTGGTTTCCAGCAGGAATAATTTATAATTGATCCAATTCTTCTGTTAACTGTTATGTGCTTCATGGGCAGAGAGAAAGTAGAGGTTCAATGGGCTAGGTCAGGAATAATGCCACTCAGTTCAGCCTGTCCTATGGCATTGAAAAATATCAAACATTTCTTCTTATAAGAGTTTACTGACTTGGAATTCGGTTCTAACTTTGTGAGTTTAGGAAAAAGCCAGACTGAAGAGCATCAATGTTACGTTTTCTGTATGCACAAGTCAAACTTTCATACTCCGAAACTGCTTTGCTAATGAATAAAATATACTATTTTGCTCTAAATTCATACAAAAACAACTAATCGTAACTTTAATATATACATGATCACAGTAGACTGGATGGTCTACTCCATATTGTTAAATCACGTTCGCATCTTCCCCAATCAGGTTGCGGGAAAGAGGAGGTAAAGAGGCTAGTGCTGGCAGGTGGTGGGAAGTTATCACTGGCAATAAGTAGTGGTAACAGGATCACATCAGTATAGATTCTTCATGTTCTATAGTGGGAAGTGGGCATTGATTGATGGTAGGGTAAGATGGACGAAATACATAGGTGATAGGTGAGCAGATCTGTCAATGCACTGTTTCACCAACATGGAGTGTAGATAATCTTCTTCTTCAGTTGAAGGTATGAGCAATTGCCAAGCGAAGGTAGGTGGTGGCATATGGCAGTGATCTTTTTCTTCTTGATTTTCTATAGTCAACAATGGAAGATGACATGAGCTGACTTGCGCAGGTCAAAGTGTTGAGAATATTTTAAAATACCCTGTTGAATGTAGTTTCATCTTAGATATAACCCTGCGATTATAGAAATAAACCCGCGATTATAATGGTGGGCTTACACCGCTTATTGGCAGTTTGTTTTGGAGTTAGTGGCCCATTAACTCTTAAATTCCCTTTGCTTGTTCCTCCTCCCTTTCTATCTCTCTCAAAATAAAGTAGAACTAACTTTGTGCATCATGCATAGAACTTTGGATTTGTCTTTCCAATCAATGCAGTGCGTCTACCTCAGGAAAGAAACTTAATCTGACTGTTTGATGCACTTTCAGGACTTCCTAGAAGATCTGTGGGATCGTGTCCAGGACTTACTAAATAATGGGTGGAAAGCTGATAGCGGTATGCTTTCATGCTATTTTAATGCATTATAACTCTTCTCTCACTTACGCAGTCTAGTTATGTTTTTTTTTCTTTTCGGTAATTTTCATATGCCAGTTGGATGTAAACTAATATGCTTTCTTGATGAGTGGCAGAACACTCGTCTAGGACAACATTTCACTTCTTTTAGGATTTTTGTTGTTGTTGCATGCCATTTGGAAAATATTTTTTTGATGACAATCCATCTTTCTGTTTTTGGCCTTTCAATTGGGGAAATTTTGTGTTGGTGGAGATATCTTTGCCATGAGCATTAAATGGCAGACCTTTCAAACTATGACAAATAAACAGGCTTATCTTGTGCTTCTGAATGACTATACTAAGGCTAATTTTCACGAAAGATTGTTTTATATATTTCATCTCTTGATATCTGTTGAGAATTGATCTTGGTTGAGATCCTTGCAACTTGGAGAATAAAAGGAGTTGATCTTCACGATCCTCCTCTTCCAGGAAGATGAATCAGTCATCACTTCTTGGAGCAGAGTTTCTACAATCCCAAAATCTCACATCAGTTATCTTGGTTTCCCTCTTAAGTGCAGGTTACATGAGTTAATGGGTCAGGCCCATTACATGTCTTTAAGTGGATCCCTTAACAGTCTAATGGATCCACTTAACATAGGGAATGACAGAGAAGGACGAAAATACAGTGAAAAAAAACAGATAGAAAGGAAAAACAATCCTAGAGAGTTCAACAATATCAAATGTCTAGAGGAACATTTTCAAGGAATCCAGCCTCATCTAGATCTCTGTGCTTAGATTTCAAGTACATGCTGAGGTTTTTGGAAGATGAGTTGTGTCTGGGTCGATTCTTGGTTTCATGACACCCTTAAATCATTTTCATGCAGTCATTGGCAATGCTATTAGTTTGGGACTGTTCAAGGACGATTTCGTATTTTTCTAGGAAAGAATGCTTTTGTTTGTGCTATATTTGTTTCTCCTTGAAGATTTGTTTCAATAACAGAAAAGAAAACTTATGCTTGTCTGGAACTATATTATAGTTGAAATAGAATGGATAACCTGCATTCCATTTCATCAGCATCTAAACCCAAATGAAATGATAGATGAGGTAAGAATGATTAAAGTATAAGCTCTTCAATTTTTTGAACTAGTAACAATGATAGTTCATCTTCTCAAAGATATTGGTCAAATGTTGCAATGTATCATCCATGGTTATAAGTACTCTTCCATAAGACCGAAAGGGAAGGCTTACGGGTGAAATTTTAGGCTATGATTTTTCATGCCGTTCAAGAAGAGTTCGATCAAAAGCCCAACACGAGTATTTAGCGAACTGGTTTAAATGAATTCTTCAAGAGATAAGAAGCATGTATCATGATTTTAGTAAAGGAGGAAAGGAGCTCATAAACTTCTTAAGAGTCTACTTTGCAGGTTACAATTTTGTTCTTCTATTGATACCAGATTCAAAGTTGGTGGGCCTCCTTGTATTTCCAAGCCCAATGAGTAGCTGATAACTTGTTATGTGGCTTCAGACCGGAGATCGCCTTTTGGTGAAAGGGAAATGAATCCATTATCACTTTTCGAGAAAACAAAATATACACTATGCAATTGGTCAAAGTCAGCTCGGTTTTTTTGTGGCATTGGTCCATTTGCATCCGTTGGCCAGTCCATGTTTTATTAGTCTCATCTTTGAGTCCTGGAAGAATTGCTGTAAATCTGTCTAATTATTCAATGGTCAGCTGTCCAGAGCCAATGAAACCGTAAAGAATGCAGCTTAACCATTTTATAATGACTCTCCTTCTGGTGCTTTGAAGAGGTCAGTGAGAACGAATTTTGAAAATTTGTGATCACCTGTAAACTGGTTCTCAAACCATATAGTAGGCAGTTGGTAGATAGGTTTTCTTAACTTGCCCCCGGAAGGATTTTAAGGAACAATTAACTCTCCATGCTAGTGGTCAAATTGAGATTTCTAAGATAAGTGAGGCGACAATGCCAATGCCAATCCTTGTACAGGTGAAAAAAAAGGATCTGTGGCAAGCCGTTGATGGATGATCTTCAGTTTTTAGCTTTTGGTAGACTGTTATCTACTAATCCCTCTTTTGTTCGTCTCCTGAAGACTCTTTCATTTTGTTCACTGTTCACTCCATCCTGTTTTTAATTTATACTACATTTTGTATGCTTGCACATGCTTGGTGCCGGCCATCGATATGCCATAAAGGTTTTTGGGAGCACGTTGAACCCATACTAGGACACTATTTTGAATGTGCCACTATCTACTTTCTAAACTATATTCCTGATCTTTTAATTTGTGGGTAAACTAGGATTCTGTTTTCGTCTAGTTTTTTTGGGTATTTCCTCATGAATTTGTATCCTTTCTAAAATGTTTTTTGCAATACAGTTCCCAGACCCTATCTGCAATTCGAATCACAGCTAGTAGTTGGGCAGTCCCATGATTTTGCTCCAGTCAGCTGCCCTGATCAACCTTCATCCCTTTCTTCACTCTCTAGTGTCTCTTTTGGAAGGGAAAAACATGTTGCTGACTTGAAGTACCCCCGACGACTTCGAAGACTTAATATATTTCCAGCCAACAAAGTTGAGGTAAACTTAAGACGGATACCATTTCTCAGCAAGCAATTTTGTTTACTTTTCTTCAAGATTATTTCTTTCAAGTAATAAAGCTCACCTGTAAAAAATGCTTTTGTGGATTTGAAATTTGTGTATCAGTGGATGTCAAACGTGAGAAAGTTCCTCTATGGAAGCTGTCAAGATGAGTGGACGCAGGGAAAAGAGAACATGAATGGGTTGCAATGTCCTATCCAATCATGGAATCTTATAGACTCTTTACAGACTTTGAATATAAAAATGGAAAGTACGTTTATACAAAGTGGGACGATTAAAGATTAAAGTTGGCCGAAATTATATAATACAACTCTACCCGAATAGCTGCTAAGATTGATGACAATATTCTTTTTTCTACCCCGTATTTCATGGGGTACGCTGTTAGAAACGAATACTAATATTTGAATTGCACGTTTTTTAACTTCTAAGAGTGGAAGAAATTCGCATGTGATGTCTGATATGCTAAATTGAAACTATGAAATTGCTAATTTTGGTATTTTATATCATAGAGCTCAGACCTTGTCTCTCGTTGAGGGAATCCTGATGAATGCCAGATGCAAAGCTTTGTACATCTCTCACTTTCATTCTGGTTTGTGGTACAATGTTAGTTACGTAGTGTTAAGGTTTCATGCATCTTCCCTGGTCCTTTTTGTTGAATCTTTCATTGGTTGATAAAAATTTGTTGGAGCTAATCACACAGTAAAACCTCTGAATAGATTTCTTACTATATTTTTTATTTTTTAAAAGAAAATGTTGACAGGTTCTAACTTTTATGGCAAGTAAAATACAGATACATAATTATGGATTGGAACTAGTCAGTACTGGTATCATTGATTATGAGTCTTTGTGTGGAAGAGTAGACATTGGTGATACATAATACAAAGAAAAGCCTTGCGGGTTGGAATCATTCATGAAGTCAATTTTTCCCATTGCTAAGTACCAAATTACTTGTATTTTGGTGTATGATGATTACTTTTAATCTTTATATATATATCTTATTGTGACTTGGATTCTGTGAATTCAATGAAGAGTGGGTTATTCCGTCTCCCAAAAAGTGATTTTAACGTATTAGGTTGCTTAGTCTTTGTTGCTATTTGGATATGAGTTACTTACTGTGGTACATCTGAATGACAGAGTATACAACCTATTGACCGTTTTATCCTGGAAGAATATCTACTGGATGTGCTGTTTTTCTTCAGTGGCTGGTTCGTATCAGTTTATTAAATTTCTCTTGATCCTTTTGTGGTCGTTTAATTCTCACATAGCTTTACAGTAGTTTACTTTGTTTGCTCTGAACAACGATATTCACCTTTTTTTACATTGTGCTTTCGTTATATCCACTTCATTATCCACTTATCTCTAATCTCAAACACTAGAATCGAGTGTCTCTTCATTAGCGTCGGATGCGTCGTGGATTATTTTTTGAGATCATGTTTAGGCTATTTATTTCTTAGTTCAGTACATAAAAACCTTTTGCTGATCATTTTCTCCTCCTTTTTTTTTTTGAACATTTGTTTCATGGAAAGATAGCCGGAAAGAATGTGCTACATATATGGCTGGACTTCCCGTACCCTTTAGATATGAGTACTTGATGGCAGAGACAATATTTTCACAGGTGAGAATTAATTCTTGCATAATGTTTTGACATACTTTCAAATCTCAATCCATGTTCCCTCTTTGTGCTTCGTGGGAGTGTATTTGGTATCGCCAGCCATCTTGCTGATTTTTATATACATACTGTCAGTGACTTGGGTCGTCCCCAGTTATTGAATGGCCATGTGGACATTGTGACGATCTGTAGACAGTTTGGCTATGGGTTTCGGTATCCGTTTGGGTTGTTGAGTCTTATAAGCGTTTAATTCATGGAGAAAGCCTTTCACATGACGTGAAGACCGCTAGGTGTGGAGATGGTGGGCTCAAGAGTGCCCTTCTTGGTAATGGGGGTTTATTTATTCATTGCTGATGGAAGTGTGGCGTCTTTCATTATGTGTGTGCCTTTTTCCGAGGTAGAAGTTGCTGTTTTCTTGTTTTACGGATTAGTTTCTTATCATATGTTTTTGGGCTTCCAAATTAAAACTGCTTAATTCTCACAACATTTGTTTCTTCCCACTCTTAGATCTCCACTTTCTACTTTGGCAGGTTTTTGAGGTTAATGGAGCGGCTGCTCTTTCTGTGTGGTTATCTGATTTTGGGTGGGGTTAGGTTGTGCTGCAATGACAAGTTTTGTAGAGACACTCATAGGAGACTGAGAGGATGTAGGTGGGTTCTTCTTTGTGCTATCGCACATGGATGTTCGTAATCTGCCTCGTGAGTGGCTTAAACATGGCTACTCTTGAGGGAAATCAACTCATCCTTATGAGTTTCAGTCAAAATTTGTATGAATATGACGGCATTCACCGTCTGTTATGGGATTCATCAGTATTTAAACACAGTCATCATTCGCTTTTTGAACATCATTCTAAATGTCTAGTCAACATCAATGTATCAATGGTCGTCCAGTGCCTGGCTTATGCAGGATTGGATAGATGTAGCCGAACTTGAGCTGTTGCTTTGTATTGGTGCAGTTCCTTCATGCATATAACTAGATCCTTTTGGGGATGGTGCATTCCCATCAATTAGGTATTTACTTTGCTCACTGTCAGGATTAGTCGAAATTCTTTGTTTTCTAGGGAATCCTGCCTAATCGTTTGCAGTAATTCTTATCCAAGTGACGTCTCTATTTTTTTTCCCATGCAAGAGATAAAGATAAGAGTATCTCATACTTTTTTCTCTGGAATGATCCAGTGGTCTGTTGCCAAGAAAATTTATCAGCAAACAAGGATGAAAAAAACTAGATAATTTTCATTATTGACATGTCATACGCTGAGATTTTATTGCTATATAGGTTGGATTATATGTATTCCCTTGCGTAATTGCTTTATCAGAAGTTAAACAGTGACGAAGTGGATTAATTTTTATGATCCCCATCGTTAACCCTATTTCATTACGGAAGTAGAAGTAACTATGCCACGCCTGTGTAATGTCTGAAAATTAGGCTGAAATGAATACATCCTATCAGAGAGACACCTGTGCTCAATTCAGTCCATTGAACATGTACTACGCACGGATCAGACAAGTTGGGTGGTGAGCGCCCAGTTCTGGCTTATTCACAACGATGAGTCGTACCCCATTGACAATTTGATCGAAGACCTAATTGATCCAGGATTCTTCCCTACTATCCATATTCTATTTGTTTCTTTACATAGAATATTATTTACTTGTAGGTCCTAGTAATTTTGAAATTGTTAACTAAGTTTATTGTTGTAACCATATCTTTTTTTTGTTTCATGTGTGCAGCTTCTGTTGCTACCTCATGCTCCATTCAAACCCCTGTATTACACATTGGTTATTATTGACCTTTGCAAGGTAAGCATGATATAGTCTCGGTTTCGTGTTTCAACTGTTTGTTGATATGTAAAGTTTTGTGAAGGACGTGTGACATTTGTTTCCTTTTTAAAAACAAACTGGTTTCTGATCTGTAGTCAATATATGCTGCTATAATGTTTAATATATACATTTGTTGATAATCATACAAGTACTTCTTGTTGTCACTCTATAATTTAAATGACCTAAACTCTTATGTTTTCGAGTACAATGAGGTTTTGAGGGGTAGACGACGAATGAGGAATTATCTCCTTCCATTGTGAATGTGTTTTAGCATACCGATGAGTCTTGGTTTCGTTTTTTTTATAAGAATACCAAGAATACCTCTCTTCCATGACCTCGAAAGCTATTTTTTATGTAAAACCTGATTATGTACTTCATGCTAATTTTTTTTCTGAAGTAAACTATAATCTATCGAGAGTAATCGATATGATTATGACGGTCACTAGCGGACATTTGCATTTGGAAATTTTCTCTTAATTAATTTGTTTGCGGTACAATATTTATCTTTCATCTCTCCTATTTAGACATAACGCAATAAAGCTTTTGTTTTTTGACGGATATAATTTATAAAAAACTGAGGCGCTGCACAGTAGTATGCTCTGAACAGATCGATTTTCTCCTTAAAACTTTCTTTTGGCTCTACTGCCTGTTGGATCTTCTTCATCAGTGTTCTTATCTAATGCATCTTTTACTGGCTGGTATATGGACATACCTTACGATTAATAAATTGCCTAAAGTATTTTTTTGTCATGATAAGACTGGAAAGTTTGAAATTATCTGTTTTACAAGCTTTTATTTTGAATATACTAAGCTATTATATCCCGCATTTTGTTGTTGTACCCGATTAATTTTTCTGTGGAGAGTAGAAAGTCTGTTGGATCCTTTGCTTGTTTACAACTTCTGCACCTTACCTGGTGATTTTTCTTTAAATGATTATTCTAGGCTCTTCCAGGAGCGTTCCCGTCAGTTGTAGCTGGTGCAGTCCGCGCATTGTTTGACAGAATTGCCGACTTGGATATGGAGTGTCGCTCCAGACTAATTTGCTGGTTTTCTCATCACTTGTAAGTTTTGCCTTGTGGAGTTGTTTGTGGTCGGGTCGATATGCCCTAGGAACTGAATGAATGCCTGTAATCTACATGTCTATAACAGAAATAACTTTTTTCAAAATAATCTAACTCACAAATATCTCATTGTCTGTCTTCATGTGCATTTTTTTTTTACAGTTTCTTGCTCTTACCCTGTTTGACATGTCTTCAAGTTTCATGACCTCTTGCCATTACCTAATCTGATCCATTTATATTGTCTCAGACTTCTGATAAGTTTATTTTTGAGAACTCTTATAGTATAGTATTGGATAAATCTTGATGGATGTTTCCACGTGTTTCTAAGGCCATCGTTGCCAATAATTGTTGGGGTCCATGATCATAGAATATGAAATGTTTTTTTATTCATTTAGTGGTGGTATTTATAACTAGGAAAAAATATGCATTCATGTTGAAAAATAAAAAGTAAAGGACAAATAAAATAAAAACTAGACAGAAATTGGGGCTACTGGGCATCATGTCTTGGCAGCGCATATCAGTGCTTGCTTTGTTTCGACTTGGACACTGAAATACTGTTTGCATCGTAAGGTGCTTTTATTTTTTCTCTTAAATTTGTGGCAAGAATGACTTGTATTGTTTTCTCTTTAATAGAGTGTGTTGCTTATGTTTTACTATGTTTATACCTTCAGCTAAAGTCTCTGCTAAGTAACAATTGCCTTCATATTCTTTCTATCTCAGATCAAATTTTCGATTTGTTTGGCCTTGGGAAGATTGGGCATATGTCATAGACTTCCCAAGGTGGGCACCTCAACGCATCTTCGTTCAAGAAGTTCTGGAGAAGGAAGTTCGTTTATCATATTGGGATAAGATCAAACAGGTATTTTTTTTGGTTAATCCTGTTATGTTTACTGGATAGACTAAAGGCATGGGGAATAAGTATCACATTCCGGTAGAAACCTGATCCTGGTGTAGTCAATTTGAATGTTGCTTCTGAATTCTTTTATTTCAATATAGCAGCTTTTACCATCCTAACTGACATGGCTTCAGGGATGTTTCTTATTCTTCGACCTCATATACTCATTTTGCTGTCTTCTAGACTTTGGGTTAGAAAATAGCATTGCAATTACTGGACGAAACTTTTAAATTTTTAATCATAGTTTAATTCGATATAATTACGTGCATATCTTTGGTTTTGTGCAAAGTTTGCTGTTGAATGTAGAATAGTTGGCTTTGAAATTTCTAAAACTGTGGAAACCGTTGGAGAGGATTCTTCAGTCTTAAACAAACTTGTAAAGATTTTTCCATTCTTCCATTTCAGTTTTCCAAGTTTTAAGTAAACTGGATCCGATTTTTTTTGCGTTGGTGTGGTTTCATGAACAGAAAAAGAAATTATACAAAAAGATGGGACGAGAATATCGCTTTGGTTAAGTGAAACTCATTTCGTTAGAACTGTTTGGAGTCTGTAGTGCTGCTAAAATGAAAGCTTTGTCCTTTGACGGTTATGTTTGTGATAGAAAACCCTTCATTGATCTGTGCCCTGAATTTTAATCATATTTTATCTTTTATTGTCTTTTTCGCGGAGGGGTATGCAGACAACTGCACCCTTACTGTGGCACAAAATGAATCCTATCATAAGAGTCCAATCACATCAGTTTTCCATCTAGTTCATGGAAGTTATACAGAATACTATCCCTCAAGTTGCCGAACTATAGTTTGTGAATGCATCTTCATTGATTTTCTGACAGACATCAGATTCTAATTATTCAGTAATCCTTCTCATTCTAGAGAACTTTGCTAAAATAATCCTCTGCCAATGATTGTGGAAGTCACCACGGCTTCTTTCTTTCCATTCCCCATAAATTTGTAATATTTCCATTTGCTTATTATTAGCTTTTATGCTTCCTTATCATTGAGTTGTTGCCTGTAGTTTAAAATTTTCAAATACTAGACTCCCATTGAATAATTTCTCCAGTTTTATGTCATCTTAAATTTATATAGCAAAAGTTACTTTTAATTTTTTGAAGCAACATCATATGTTTAATTCACATTTTATTTAAAAATAATCGTCAATGGTTTTTCTTGTTGATTCACTTTAGATCTGATATAAATTCTATATTTGCTTGTTATTCAATTATTTTGTTCTAATTATTATTTTTTTCTGCTTGTCTTTCACGTTTCCTCATTAAAGAGCATTGATAATGCTAGTTCACTTGAGCAATTGCTCCCACCAAGAGGTGGACCTTGTTTCAAATTTAGCACAGAGGACGGAAAGGAAATAACAGAAAGACATACTCTCTCTTCTGAACTCAGCAGCATGGTGAAGGGAAGGAAAACCGCCCGTGAACTCTCTTCATGGGCTGAAGAGAAAATAATTTCAGTACATGGTTCTAAAGATGCTCTTGAAGTGGTTGTCCAGACTCTTCTTGATATTGGTTCAAAAAGTTTCACTCATCTTACGACTGTTTTAGAGAGATACGGTCAAGTCATTTCTGGTTTATGCTCGGACGAGGAGAAACAGGTTTGGCTAATCAATGAAGTTAGTTCATTCTGGAAGAATAGTACTCAGATGACTGCTCTGACTATAGATAGGATGATGGCATATCGCCTTGTATCGAATGTAGCCATTGTTGCTTGGGTCTTCTCTCCAGTGAATGTCGAGCAGTTCCACCTATCAGATCGAGCATGGGAGGTGAGTTCTTATGATAAAGCTTGTCTGTTTGGTTTTACATAGTTGGAATGTTTATTTGGAATACTTAATGCTGTAGTCATATCAATAATATGGTTAAAAATATCACTTTTGTTTTGATTCCGTGAAATGTAGAGAAATGTTAACTGTTGGACAGTAATTACAACTCAGATATCATTTCTTTCGAGTAAAATACCTTGTCACTTCTTCACGGCTTTAGAGTTTATTTTGAGAAAATTGAGATAGTGGAAAGAAAAAAAGTAAAAAATGTTGAAATGATGAGTGATGGCATGTGATCTCCTGGGCAGTGGCTCCTTTAGCTGGTAACCACAAGGGATTTAATGTCCTACCGAATTATCACAATGGATTCATTGGTTGAAGTTTCGTGGATGCAAACAGCATTGCAGAGATAGCATCAGGCGAAATGTGAACCATTTTACCAAATCGTCGCTGTGATGATCCGTCATGCTGACGTTGACCATGTATAAATCAGTTGTCTTTAATTCATGTATGAAATTGATTTTACCTTGCGACATCATTTGTGCAACTGCTTGGATGTAAGACTGTTTTTGATGGATATTAATGGTTTTTTCTGGACTAGTGCGTAAAATGAGACGCGAGAGAAGACTTGAGAGAAAAATCTCAGAAGCCATCACTAGAAAAAATGAACGAGAAGTATGCCATTCTAGTGAAGAAAGAATATGGATGGAGAATTTCAAGGGTTTTGGTACCCAGATAAAAAAAATAAAATTCTTAATGATATGTGCAAGGTAATAAAATGCTACTCGGCTCATTATTTGGCCCACTTACCCAACCTTCTTTGACATCATAACGATTACCAGCTTTCTGCTAATGAGAGGAGGTTAGGAAAACAGAGTTTCGACTGAGCTTGCCGGTTTTGTGCTCGTGGCTGTGTTGCATGATGGGAAACTTTGTGGCTTGGTAAAGCCATACTTAAGTGGTTTGCCTCATGAAAAATTCAACGCCGCCGGCAGCATTTTTTCAAAAGTCATAAAGCTGGAGAAGTATATTCTGTTCAATATATAATGATGTGTCATTTGTTGGGAAGTTGCACCTGGGGATAACTGATGGTTTTAAAAAGGCCTCAGGATTTGCCAATTTTTAGTATATATTTGTTAAACACCTGCTATTTAAAATATTTTACAGATTTTTTCCTTGCGGGCAAGTTCCATTTGGGCTCTTTTAAAATTTTTCTCGCATTGAGTATCGTATTTCCTTCTTTATTACAGATCTTAAGGAATGCAGTTAACAAGACTTACAACCGGATATCCGATCTTAGGAAGGAGATTTCGTCAATTGAAAAGAGTGTTATATCTGCTGATGAATCTGCTCTCGCTGCCAAAAATGAGCTTGATGTCGCTGAATCCAAGTTGGAGGTTGTTAACGGTGAGCCTGTACAGGCTGAAAAGCCAGGTAGACTAAAACGTCTTAAAGCATACGCTGAAAAAGCTAGGGAGCAGTCAGTATCTGCTCGTGAATCCTTGGAAGCTAAAGAAGCACTTCTTGCTCGAGCACTTGAAGAAAATAAGGTACTCTGGTGGGGCAGGGTTTCTTTAAATGCTTAAAGATTTACTCTTATTATCAGATTAATTCATTCCTCTTTAGAACCTGGAATCACACGATTATTTTGAAAATTATAAAACATGATAGTACTCTGGCCTCTGGAGAGATGTAGCATTCTTTGTATGTGCAATAATCTTGCCAACCATTGCTTTCTACATGTTTACTAGGTACACGCATATTTCTAGATCTTACTTCATAAATAGTTCGTAGTCTTATCGTCACAGTTTTAGGATCATGTGGGCACTGTGGGGCTCTTATTTATCTCAATATAACACAAACATAATAGACAAAGAAAACATTTTATTTTATAAATATATTGGATATGATGCCACAATGTTTGAGATCTACCAATTGCTCTCACAATGTTCTTGCTAACCGTGATCTGAATCTTTTTCATAAATATCCTAATTGATGCTACTTTGAATTTTTCTGGCGCTGCTGTTGTGTTCTATATGAAACTACGAGTACTGTGGGCGAGGCTTATTATGTTGGAAAACGTTGACACAGAGTACCACAAATATAAGATAAATCTGACTCCTTTTGCATACGTAACCTTGAGGTTGGACTTTCGGGTCATCTTGGAGCGTGCAATTCTTCTATTTCTGTGGGGATTTTCCTCTCGTGAAATGATTTGGGTTCGAACCAATTCTTGGTTACATTGGGAAGCTCACCTCGGGTGATTTCTTTTTTTCCTGGGGGATTTTGTCCTTTGAAAACTCGTGCCATTTCTGTGGTGGAGGATCATTCACGTTAACACTCATCAGAGCATAAAACCTGCCCTCAATGCCTCTAACGCGCAGTCCCACCTTCACAGGTCCTGTTCTATTCCTTGTACAAGAACTTTGCAAGTGTGCTTGGGGAGCGCTTGCAGCAAGTGTGCGTCAACGGTAAATTGCCGAGTTCAGAGCCTGTTGAGGTAGATGAAATGGGTGTTGATTCTGAGGAACCATCAAAGATGCAACTTGACTCCGAAAATGGAAAACCCGAGAACAGGTGAGCTCAGTTTTTGGGTCCGGGTTTTTCTTTTCTGGGTGGGTGTGGACCTCTTTCATGACAAACCCTTGGCTGTTGGAAGGGCGAGCAACAGCTACAACGTTGGAGAGCAGGAGCAATGGTGCCGATCGACACTGGGCTACGTCAAAGCTTTTTCAAGAGAATATGCTACTGAGGTTTGGCTGCCATCTGACCACTCCTCTTTTATCTGCATGGATTATTTCGTGTTGTATCTGTCTGGCATTAGCTATCTCTGCCTCTTAATCGATTCTTCACCTCGCAGATTTGGCCTCACGTTGAGAAGCTGAGCGCCGAGGTGTTTGAAGATGCCCATCCGATCTTCAAGAGAGTTGTTTATGCCGGGCTGGGCATGCCCTCTTGAGCGTCGCATAGCCTGCTGTATCTTCTTACTCAGGGATCTCTGTTCCCACTGAGATTCGTTAATCAGTGCTTTCTACCAATGTTAGGAGCCCCATATAAATCCTATATCCGCAATCTTTATGCATTGAAAAGAAGTTATTGAAATCTAATCCGGATGCTTTGGAAGGCTGAAATCTGATCCTCAGAACTGAAACCCACTCTACCCTGCAGTCTGGAGGTCTGTCTAGTTAAATCTTCTCATGTTTCTCTCTCAAGGATTCATCGTCCAAGAGGCGGCGAGAAGAGAGATTAAATGGGTGAATGCAGGACAGAGATGTCCATTAAGGCTAGAACATAGTCCCTTTAGTACGCTTATAAGACTGCAAATGGGTAATTAATTGCTTCTTCTCATCTTTTTTTTTTAATGATGTCTTGTTGGCGTTTAGAAGCAGATACCTTGCTTATAAGCAAGGTACCTTGTGAAAGAGCAGATACACTGAAGGAGCAGATACCTTGTTAATCCACCATCATGTTCCTAAGATGATGCTATGGCGTTGACCCTACGATGTAATCTGCGCTCTATCTGAGGTTTGTCTGCGATCTTTAGAATAACTGCGTTATTAAGATCAGTGAGCACCCTTGTGATGAGTTTGACCTCACTCTAAGAGCTCTTTCAGTGGGGCCATTCATTGACTCTGGGTTCAGAGACGTGATATGTGGCGATTGCGATTTCACCTGGAAGTCGTACCTCAGCTACAGAGAGGGAGAGAGAGAGAGAGAGAGAGAGAGAGAGAGAGAGAGAGAGAGAGAGTCCCCATTGTGCTGGTCTTCGTACGATTGGTGGGGGTAAAGCTGGCCATCCACCGCGGCGGGGCGGCGGCGGGGAACGCCGGGAGACCTTGGCGGCGTGACGGAGGCTGATGGGCTTTCGTTCAGCTTTCTTCTGTAGGCTTTTAAGGTCGTTTACTGGGAGAGGAACTTGAGAACGGAAGGGGCCCGAGAAACTTTGACTGTGGGGGAGAAACTATTCCCTACCTCGCAAGGGCGACGCCTTAAAGTAAGTGACAGATGGCCGCAGCAGTCAGGAGGGGCCTCAGAGCCGGCGGCGGGGAAGGGTTATTCCACCACCCGGGGAGCTGGGTGAGTTCAACGCCTCCGGCGTACAAGTCCGCTCTTCATGGGGCAGAGGAATCTTTGGGAAGTGGGCGTCTAAAGAAATCGCAGTGGCGCTGAAAAGGGCCTTCGCCAAAATCTAGGAATCCTCTTATTGGTCTAGCTTTCGCGAGCTTGCCGCCCCAGCCCACATGACCAAGCCCAGAGTGGTGGCCAGGTCGACGACCACGTTTCTGCAAACCAGATTCCCCATCACGGAGACCTGACCTCACCTCTCTTCAAGAACATATCACTCTCTTCTGAGACGGGCCCAAGTGTCCCCTTTTTCTCTCTCTCCCTTCCCGGCGTGGGCCCGGGAGCATCATTTATTTGTTTGGAAACATGGAACAGCATCGGCAACCGCGGACGACGGAAAGGATCTGTGAGCCGCGTGTGCTGGTCTCCCAAGACGGAGGCTTTGACGAGCTTGAGGACGATGATGCAGGCAGCACCGAAAACCTATCTGGGATGAGCCATGGGCGTTCCCTCGGAGCTACCCATTTCGGGAAGAATATATTACGCGTACGGGGAGGAGAGGAACAAGCTCAACCAATTCTTCTGCGCCCGAACATGCACCCTCCAGAGTTTTGAGGTAAGAGCCCCGGCCCCCATTAATGACTGTTTAATAACGGCCTTCTTAGGCAGGCAATGGAGCTCAGGATACGAAAGATAGAAGAGCCCACATCTCTGAGGAAGAACCCCGGAGCTTCTGACGTTCATCAACGGCGGGTGAGACGGAGGGCGTGGAAATCAACCCTCTCCGTTGATCTTCGCCTCGTCGTGTGCATAGAAAGTCCCTGGCGTCCACAACCAAAACGTAGCGTGAGGATTGAATCCTCCATTTTCTCAGTGTGAGGAGTGATCTCTCCCTTCAAGGGGAGAAAGGAGAAGCCAAGGATCAACAGTTACAGCGCAGTCTGGAGTCTAGTCTGTTCTGGTGTCAACGACCTGGGATTCAGATCAAATTAGGGTTGTAATCTAGTGCTAAGCAGCTCATACAACTCGCACATGGCGACTCTCGGCTCAGATCCTGGCGAGCACTGCTGGCCCGGCCCCCCTCCGTCAGAGAACAGGCGCACCTTCAGATCCCTCCCTCGTTTTAACGCTGGGGAGAGGAGCTCGCACTGCGGTAGAGGGAGGGAGAGTCGACTAGTTGGATCCACAATGGGGGTCACATGGAGCAAATAGCAAGGGAGACTCATCGCTCCTCCGCCAATGAGGGCGGGGGAGCAATAAAGGAGGAGTTGGGGGACCATCTCAGGTTTCACGTGGCGAAGGTCGGCTCTCTTCTTTGAAGCTTGGTCTCCCGAACCCGTGGAATTCTTCGCTCACGTCACGTCGGCAACCAGGTGGACGGCATTATGACACCACCTCAAGAGGAGGAGGAAGAAGACAGAAGCGGGAGAAACATATTGGCAGCAGCGGAGAAGACTTTTCGTCGAGGAGATAGGAAGCCAGGCCAGTGCAGAGGGAATCCTAAGGTCTCGGGCGCCAACGGGGCGGGGGGAGGAGAGATGCTGCCAAGCCACCGGCAAACCCTAGCTCCTCCGAATCATTACTCATATCGATTCGCTCCAAGGAAGACGGTCCTTTTCGAAGCCCAAGTATTCGCAGAAGTTGAAAGCCTACTTGAGGGAGAAGGGTTGTTTGCATGTAAGAGACGAATTGACAGAAATACACGGACGTATACCCAGTATATATGGGATTTTTTGAAAGTCAATCAGTCTGTCTGGCCCTTTATAAATGAGGTATATAAGAGAGGGTACAACGTAGTAACGTGTCTCCGATTCACAGGCAGTCGACCTCTCTCTCTCTATCTCTCTCTGACTCGCTTTCTCTCTCTGACCAGAGATGGGTGATAGCCGAGGAAGTAGTCCGGAAGCCGACACAAGAAACAACAATGGAGAGGGAGCCTCCGGCGGGGTGACCGCCTCAGAGAGCGATGACTGCATCAAGGAGCAGGACCGGCTGCTCCCCATCGCGAACGTGGGGAGGATAATGAAGAAGATCCTGCCGCCGAACGCCAAGATCTCCAAGGAGGCCAAGGAGACCATGCAGGAGTGCGTCTCCGAGTTCATCAGCTTTGTCACCGGCGAGGCCTCTGATAAGTGCCTCAAGGAGAAGCGAAAGACGGTCAACGGCGATGACATCTGCTGGGCCCTCGGCACCCTTGGCTTCGATGACTACTCCGACGCCACAAGGAGGTACCTCCAAAAATATAGGGGTTCCGAAGGTGAGAGAGCGGCGGCCTCCAAAGGCGGCCCCGCCGACGGCAGGGATCAAGAGCTGCATCTCTTCGGAGGAGACCAGGTCAGAGATAACCAAGCTTCAACTTCTAACCCATTTAAATTTAATGTCATAGACTGGAACAGCGGTGACTCCACACCGAAGCCGTACTAGAGAACTGGATCCTCAGACTGGGTTGATTCCTCAAGTATTTGTTCGAACATGGATATATTAATGTGATCACGATAAGTATCTCCGGGCCCTTGTGTCGCAGTTAGGGTTTCAGATCATCTTAGATCCGTTCGGTCAATGATAATCTGACGATATCTGTCTTCACTTTTTCCACGTGGTACCACATCTGGGGAAATATGTTCTAGCATTAGGTTGAGACATGAAGACCATCAGATCAAGTGTGAGGATCCATAGTTTCCCATGGTTTTGATTTCATTTTTATAGACATTTACTTCCCAACCCATCCAAATATTCAAGCCTATGAATCCATATCAAGCTTGAACAAAAGGCAGTTTCTTTATTGTGTAGCTTGCGTTCTTTCATTGTTGAGATAATACTTGCATGTTCCGCACAGAGAGATGAATCCATGAATCTGCAGCATATATAAATGATAAATATACCCAAGTTAAAAAGAATGAAAACCAACAGACAGGCTCTTAAGCCGATTCAGAACCCGTTAGAGCCTATCGAGAACTGGTTTTCTTTGGTATGTCTAAACCCTTCATTAAGCTTAGGGAAATATCCATGTATCATCCAAGTAACAGTCCTCTTTTTTCTTCAAGTTCTAATAGTAACTAACCCCATAGCTGGTGTTCCTCCATGGGATAGCAAACTTAAAGATGGCTAGTTGTTTATTAAACACCGTACGTACTTCCTCTTCTTAAGCATAGAAGCATTTGGCCTATTGGATGTCAGCACTTCCGGTGTAAAACAATGACATGTTATTTAATCTAATGTTGACATTCTATCCACTTCGCCAGATTTAGTTATTCGAAGATAAGGCAACTACCGGTTGGTATTTATCTTTGTTAAGTAGCCATGTTGAGAAATAAACTTAATTTAGTATTTTAATAATGACCATCAAGAGCCATGGAATTTGAAGAGTAATATAACTACATATAACTCAGATATGAATAGTCCTACCTTTTAGGAAGTACAAAGTAGGATTTTTTTCGTCCTCTTAAATTCAGAAAAGGAGTTGAAAAATCGTCACTGCAGGAGTTATAAGTTTAGAGTTTTCTTCCACATTTGTTTACCCTTTTGGTTCTTCCACTCAATACGTGAATTATTATTAGCCTCCCAACAAGCCATTCCCAATAACTAGTAAAACAGGAAATCAGCTGAGAGAGAGATCGAATGAGACAGTGGGTTTGTTTCATCATCAATGAAGCATTATGAGGAAGCAAGCATGCCAAATCTTGCACCAGTCTTTACTTAATAATCTAGAAAATATTTCAAATATTTTTTTAATTTAATCCTAGCCATCAATACTTTGTGATTCTTGGTCACTATATCATAGCTGAAGTGATCCTCAAGAATGAGAGTTTTTTAGTAGGAACTTGTGAATAAGAGGTGATGAAGTCAATCTTCTTATGATTTATGCAAAGCTCTTAAAGCCCAGAGATATAATTGCACTATTATTGTATCTACTTAGCTTTATGATGTGGTATCTGTTTTCATGAATGCAACAGGAAGAATAGCAGTAGAGGAGTACATGCTATGGAAATCTGGTAGAGAATGAGGCAAGTATCAGATAGCCATCATGGGCTTTGAGATCTTTCACGTTCCAACACTTTAACCTCAGCACTTCACTAAGAATCACACTTCTTTGTTTGGAGGGTGAGCCTTGATGTAGTTATCGTCACTCAAGATTGTGACTTTTTATCTATACTTTGCCTTCCTCACAAAAATTTAAAATAACCAGAAATCATGAAAAGGAAGTTGGTAAAACGAAGATGATACCAACTGTGAAATAAGAAACCCAGCCTTGCTCATGTGTGTAATTTAGTGGTGGCTTGTTGACTTTAAAATAATAAGTTTCCAGGAGTAGCATGATACATTATATAATATGATTTAAAGCATTTTGAGATAAATTATGATGTCCATGTGTAATGTTTGATGATGTAACTTTCACATATAATCTAAGTGGTTCTATGTTACTAAGTTTATCACAAATCAGTTATGAAATGATGTCTGAAAACAATTTGAGCAACGTGAAATAAATGGACGATCAGGTTTCTCTTCATTTTTCATAAGACTGTTAACCTATTTATAGATTAAACTGGTATTGACATCTATATGTTGATAAGAGTAAGTGGAGAATGCTCCTATATATCACAAACTTTTGTTTGTCCAAATAATGGTCACCACCTAAATAGATCATCAACCATTATATAATGCAGTAAAGTGAATTATGATTCATAAGTAATGCAAAAGTTAAGAGGCAAAAGAATGTGTTAATAAGTTAAATATTAATATCTAGTTTTCAGTTTAATTGACCCATATGAATCTATTTTGATCACATAAATTTATTTATTTCTTTATGTTGAGTTAGGCTGATACACAAATAGTATTCGTTTGCCTTAGTGTCAATATCTTCTCAAATTTATACACAAAAAGAAGGAAACATATAATGAAACTTTACACAAACCATTACCATTTATTTAAATAATTTTCCTCTAATGAGGGCACTGAAAAATGCACCTTAAAGGACTTCCAAGATAATATTTCACTATTGGATATATATATTGACTTATGGTATATCACTTCTTAAGCTAGTCTCATCAATTTGTTCACGATTAGGAGGATTATCTAGATAAAAGTAAATTTATTGCTGATTTTTAATCTTCTTTCATCTTAATTTCATCTCTTGGCTCCTTCACAAAGTATCATGATTTATTGACTATTCATATTTCTACAAGAACTTGATTCTACTCTTCTTTCAATCATTATCTCATGGTGTGTTAGTATTACTTTGTTTGCAGATGAAGCATACCTAATTGGTTTTCATGGTGCCAAGCAGCTAATTTATAAGCAAAGCCTCAGATGTTAACCATTGATTCCCACCAAATTCAGAGTTCAAAATTTTTCTTTTCATTTCATTCAAAGAGAACTGCTCAATAGACATGGAAATTCAACGATATGAAACTTGCTTGTAATCTCACCATGTTATATCTATCTTAATGATGGATATTTCAACAAGTTGCTACTATTTAAAAATTAAATCTCTTAGCCAAAAACTTTCTCAAACTTGATAATGAGTATCATTTAACTCATGAGTTTTTCTTAAAAAGGCATAATAATAAATATTTTCATTTTTTTTCACAATGCTAAGCATCTTTGGTTCATGAAACATCTTAAATGGCACACTATATATTTTGCACATTTTAATAGAATTGTCGTTATAATAATTTCTTTTAAATTTTTTATTATGAATGAATATTATTACACTAAAATGGGTGGGCATATTGGTCCCAAGGAGGGAGAAGATAGGTAGGGGATATCATGGACAAGTTTTGAGTAGATGAGAATGGTGTTAGACATTGTGGCATAATGTACAAATGTTTTCTCAAAAGAGTGTGTGGTATGACTCATTGGCATAGTCCTTGTACCAAACTCATTTCCTTTTAGACATCACTACCATAAGGATGGTAGCCAAGGCTGGGGCTGTAATGGAGCTTCAAGATGATGAGGATGATGGCCTCATCATTAAATGACCATGAGGAAGTTGCTGATTTCTATACCAACAGTAAAATCAATTCTAAAAATAACAATGTGAGTATCATGAGAAAATTACCACCAAAACGACATTCATGGGAAAAATAGAAGAGAGTCATTGTAGACAAGGAGTGAGTTATTTTTCTGGTGTTTTAACCTTTCTGCTATTTAAGGATGTTGTCAATGCTAATTAGTATTCACCAAAAATATGGTTGATATTTTTTGGTAAATTCTATTAAAATAATAGTAATTTTGTATTATAACTTAAGAAAATTTTCTTTAAATATTTTAAATTTAATATTTACACAATTTTTATTCTATTTTTTTTTTGTAGGAAGTGAGTAGACTTATGGAGTATAAATAATACTTATAACTAGTAAATACTATCATTACATGAAAAAACACAGAAAATAAATAATTAGTGCCTCTTACTTCTAAACTACACCTTGGGAAGTTCACATGTAGTAATTAAAAGTCATTGAGCACTCCTAAGTGAAATTTGGGGGATTCTTATTTGATAAGAGGATTAACCCCTCCAACATGTAAAGAAAATATTTTAGAGGTAAGAGGCACTTATTATATCATTCTCAAGCATTAACAGCTATTGCATAAAGATAAGTTTCTACATCCCTAGACTTATGTTTCAATATTAAAAAAAACTATATTTCAAATTTGTAAGTACGTGTTCTATTAAATGATACCTGGATTTGACCACTTTACAATGTTGAGTTAATTTGGATCCACTAGTATAGAAGAGACTAATGTACTAACTTGATGTGTCCCCATAGAATTGTGAATCTACATTAGGAGACATCGGCTGAGTAGATTCATAAGTATTTGACTCAATTAATTGACCTAACATGAATTCATGAAACCTAAAAGTGTCATCTTTAGATGGTAATGCATGCTCAGTGTAAAAACCATTATAAATCTTAATTTCCTATTTCTAACTATCTAAGCTAGGGTCAACTTAATTGGTTCGTGGTGAGAGAGTCAAAAGCAAGAAATTAGAGATTAAGAAACTCAATTAATCCCCTCTCAGCTCCTCTTTTATCTTCATTAAACTTACCTTACTCCATGTATTTTAAATTCATTTTGGGCCTTGAACCTTTGTGCACCACATTTTCAGAGTTCTAAGTTATCTATGCCATTGTAATCCTTATTTGCTGCAATTATGCTCCTTGATAAAAAAATTCATCATTGAGTTTTTTTGTTACTAGATAATACTCATCAAGATCAATGACATTGAATGTTGAGGATATAAATGTTTCTAATAAAAATTAATAGTTTCAGAATTTTTGTTAATTTTGTGTAAAAAAGTTGTATTTTCTTGGCTTCAGCTTGTTGAAATCACTAAATGGAATCCCTCCTTTCACATGCACACCATGACTAAATCACCTACTTTAAAAACTTCTTTGATTTTCTATTTTTTCTTGATGTTGCCAATAATTCATATAAGTTGAAGATGTTATTTTAATTTTTTTTTACATCAATTGTTATGATATGATCTACTTGTAATTTTTGGTAAAGTTAGTACTGTGATTACCTATATAACTTTATGAAAACTTTTCTTGAGCTTAGGAAAGATCTGATGATTTTTCTTTATCTCTTGAAATGCAATAAATCAAAATGTCACACAACATATTAATCACTTTCTTTTATCCATCAGCATGAGAATAACATTATTTTATAGATCAATCAACTTTTTTTTAAGAGAATCAAAAGGGAGATGATAATTTGGTATTGCAATCAAAGTTGATAGTCTAAAACTCCATGCAAATGAACTACTTGTAGAAATTAAGAAATACATAATTACTTTTCTCTTTTTTAATAAAAAGTGAGTCATTGTAAAAAAAATAATTCCATGACTATGAAGATAAACTACTTTTTCTAGTGTATGTGGTAACTTAAAAATAAATCTGTAGATATATACATCATCGGGATTATGTGTTATATTTATAGTCTTATATTTTAGAATTTTAACACTTATTGACTTGACATAATTATATTTTCTCATTTTATTTTCTACATCTTCCTTTTGCTGAGTTTAATAATGGAATTCATTCATCACCTATCAAGCTTTATCATGTGCCAAATATCTTTTTAGTCCTTTTCTTAGGACAATGGGCAGGTGGATTTCCTAGTTCTATTTATAATACATTATATGTTATAGTAGTTTGGCCCATTACTTATGTCCACTCTCTGAGAATAGAATCATTATTAGGTTCCACTATTTTTGATTTTTAAGTTAGATTTTTTTATTTTAATTAGTTATTTTATTTTATTTTTTAAACTTAAAAAATAAATATATGATATATTGTTAATTTTAGAGTCTAAATATAAGTATTTAACATAATTTTTTTTATTAAAAAATATAAATGAATAAAATATAAAAATATTTCACATGTTGGCAAGTCGACACTCAGCAGCTGCCTTGGAGGGGCATTGTAGTCAAGTGGGTAGACCTAGGCCGGGACGAGGGGATGGGGGGCACAAGTTGGGCCACAAGTTGGGCTTGAGTGGCAAAGGACTCACTCCGCACATGTGTGCGTCACTCCCCTGCCATGTCCCAATGGCCAATTGGTCATGGAGCAAGGAGCACTATACACGTGTGTTTGTAAGGCCAGACCGCCTTTTTACCTTATCTCAAGATGATCTGACTTAAGTTCCTAGTCAATAGTGGTTCATGGTAAGTTGATCTTGCGTCGCCAAGTGCACCATGTGACCAAACACATCTGATCCAGCGGCTCACGAAGCACCACAATACTGAGATCTTAAGTTGTTTCACATATCACCATTAGAGATATAAAGATAATAATTGATTATTATCACGTTAAATAGATATTATGATTATCTTTAAAATTCTGACAATAGTCACGAATACGATAACCCATTTCCTCCCTCCTTTTGCATGATCAATGTCTCTAGCAATCGACAAGTTCATTCCTTCCTCTCCCGACTGCAGTCAAAGCCTCTAGCGAGTAGTTAGGTCTTCCCTTCTCCCCTCAAATGATGGTGACAGTGTGGTCAACTCCTTTTTCAATGGATCTCTCCAACAAGAGGTACAATGCTTTCGGATGATACTTCTGTGACTTCTAATATGATGTGGCACGTCCACATGAAATTAAGCTGTCACATCAGTGTCTCTAATTACCCAAAAGACATCCTAAACTTAGGTAATAATTTATTTCTTACTTTTAATATTTACTTATCTGTTTATATATATATATATATATTTTATGGTAAGTTATTTTCATTTCATGCATGCTTCGATTGAAAGGAGTTGAACTAATTCAAAATTTGATGAATGATCTTTATTCTTCTTTTGAATCCTCAAAAACTCATATGAGATTAAGTTAAGATCATTTTCAACTTATTTTCTATTAATTTTCACAATCAAATCTCGATGTAGTCTTGTTCTCAATATTTCATAAAAAATGAGTATTTTTTATTTTCAAATGTGAAATCAACAAGATTAAAAGCTACTTAATGATCAATCAATGGTTAAAACAATTCAAAGATATTTATGACTGACCTCATATCATGTGTGTGAATTTTTTAGCACACATTTGTTTGAGAATAATGGTCAATGTGAAAACGAATTGACTGTATTTCTCTCTTTCTTTATTATCATCTTATTTCTCTCTCTCCTTCTCTTGTGAGACCTCTTCTTCTCTCTTCATTTCTCTCCCTCTCTTTCAATCAATCTCCTTCTCTTCTCTCTCTCTCTCTCTCTCTCTCTCTCTCTTTGGAGATATTTCTCTCTCCATCTCACATGAGATTTCTCTCCTCTTCTCTCTTTCTCTCTCTTTTATGAGTGACCCCTTCCCTCGTCTTTTGTGAGAGCTCTCTCTTCTCTCTCTCTCTTTCTTCCTTTCTTTCTTTACATCCCTTTCTTTATTCTTATCACCTCACCTTCTATTTATTATTTTCATTAAATATTAATAAAAATTAGAATCACTATATATATAAAAATTAAATTAGTTTTCACGACATATTAATCAATCTCTTTATGTTAGACTTGAGACTTACCTTTATACTAATATTTTATTAAGTCTTAGTTATAAATATTATTAGATAATGTGCATATAAGCCCAATGACAAGTGCACATCATCTTTTTGGCACTATTGTCAGGGACATTTATTTTTAATTAGTGTTAACTGATTTAGTTTTTCATATTTCAGTATTTTTTAAAATAAAATTATTATAACTTTCATTATTTTATTATTTTCATTTAAATAGTATTTCAAAAAAAGTTTATTAGACTCATTTATTTCTATTTACATTTCTTTCATAAGTTAGAATTTTAAGTCTTAAGTTTTTATTTATTCACTTGAGTATTTTAAATTTCATATTGATTCTATACTTCTCTTTGACATATTTATTATAATTATATATTCATGTCATTATCATTGCTATAATTAAAATTTGAAAACCTATTTTATGAACAGTAGATGTAGCTTGCAATCAATCTTAGAAAATCCAGCTACTAACCAGTCTAAGAACTTAGGGGTACAAGAAAAATAAAATTTAACACAAATATTAGAGACTCCAACAACAAAAAAGGGAAAAAAATCATCTTCTACAGAAGTAGAATCACCTAAGATGGATCATCCAGCCTAAGAGAGTGAAAATGTTGAAAATACTCAACCTTATAAATCTATGGGTGATTATTATATACCTGATTTATATAGACTTATTTTTTTTTACCAAATGTTCATTTTAATATTTTTCATAACACTACAAATTTTCCTGAATTTTGTGGATTAGCTAATAAGGAACCACATCAACATATTCCTGAAATTTTAGTTACATGTGAATTTATTCATATTCCTAATATTCCTCAAGATGAACTTAGGTTACATCTCTTCCCATATTTATTGCATGATAAAGCTAGAGATTGGCCCACATCATTACCACATGAGATCACCACATGATTGGAAGTAGAGAAAGTATTTTTGAGGAACTTTTATCCCCCATTGGCAAGACTCATGTCATATGGAAAGTCATTCTCTAATTTACTCAAAAATCAGGAAAAGTATTCCATGAATTTTAAGAAAGATTCAAGGAGCTTCAAAAGAGATGGACACATCATGGAATTACCAAGTGGCAATTAAATCGTGTATTCTATGATGGTGTATTGGAATAATATAAGAACACTATAGATATAACATGTGGAGGCACATTCATGAGTAGGGATGAGGATGAAATTTATAAGTTATATAAATTTTTTATTGAATGTGAATCTTTTGTTTTATATGATCGCAACAGTAATGAAAATAATAGAAGAATGTTTGAGGTTCAAAATCATGATGCATTAGACATTCGAAATGAAGTTAGTGAGGTTCATCAAAAGTTAAATATTTTATATGATCATTTATTGCATAAAAAAAACGTACAAAATCTGTACAACATTCATATTCTAGTTGTTTATCATGTGATATGACTGATCATTATGAATTTCAATGTCTAAATTTAAATCAAGAGCATGCACATGCACTTCATGATCACAAAAATTAGTCAAATCCTGTTTGAAAAAATCAAAATAATTTTTCAAATTCTCACAATCATGATATGAATTCTCAATCATTTCCTAGACTTAATCATGCACTTAAACCTTCTCATCAACCAAAATATAATGCTAAGCCCTTGTTTCAGAAAAATACTCATAATTTCCAATAAGGTACTCATCAGCCATCAACCAATAATTTTACCTCTTCTTCTTCAAGTTCAGTCACCAATTTCAGCCCACAATATCTTAATTCATATCAAAATCAATCTGATATGAATTCAAATTCAATGCAACAGTTTGTGGGGCAAATGATGTAACATTGTCCGGAAACAAGTATATGTATGATGAAGATGATGGGGCAAATTAGGGAAGAAAATCAGCAAACAACCCTTAGGCTAGAAAAGAAAATAGGTAAGCTAACCTTGGCCCATTCAAAATGTGAAATAGGTCATCTTTCTAGTCAACTCATCATGAACCCACGAAATCAGCCTTCTAGTAATCATGAACTATTTACATCTCAAGATTTTGAAAATATAGAAGTGGTGACCACTTTGAAGGGTTGAAAACAACTCAAAGATCCATTTGCACTAGATATTTTAGAAAAATAAGTTCATGATGATGAAGTATTAAATGATGAGATAATGATCATAACAGTTTATTTTTTTGATGATGAGAATTTAGAGGAAGAAAAACAAGAATCGAAAGAAGAAAAATCAGAATTAGAACGACCACCCATTCTTATTTTATCACAGCTAGATGAACTTAGAAAAATAATCTCCTTTCCTAAAACATTAGAACCAAAACTTAGGAAAAGAGCTGAACCTAATAAAGAGCTTATGGAAATATTTAAACAAGTTCATATCTCTATCCCTTTGATAGATGCAATCAAACATATAATTGTATCTGTAAAAAAATTAAAAGAATTATGCACAGCTCATAGATCACCTCAGAATATATCTTTATCCAAAGAGACTACTGTCATTATTTCTCATTCTTTGCCTAGGAAATGTAAGGATCTAGTAGCACTTCTCATCTCATGTAAAGTGGGTGAAACTACATTTAGAAAAGTGCTCTTAGATTTGGGAGCAAGTATTGATTTATTACCTTTAGTTGTTTTCTAAAATTATGAATTAGGAGAATTAAAACTATCTTTAGTAGAATGACGTGACTCAGTCGTTGTATGTTAAATCACGCAAATTTAAAATTTATAAAACTAGAAAATACGAATTTTCGGATATTTAGAAGTATTTCAAAATAAATATATCAATTATAATTCAATAAAAATCTCAAAAATAGTGGTAATTTTCCAGGTCGATCACAGGGATGTAATATAATATCTGGTAATTATTCAGAATTTTTCTCAATGAGTACGATTTTCTTACGAATTTTATACTAGGAAATAAAAAGGAAATATATTTAAAATTCACGAAAAAAAGGAAATAAGGGTGCGGACGTCAGGATGACGTCAGCGCCCGGCGAACGCGAATCAGGCGGAAACAGAGTTCCGCCCGGCGATTCTTACGTAGGCGATTACAGACGACTCAATTAATCAAATTAAGATCTGTAAAAGCCGGAAGAATCGTAATTGAACGAAGTATAGTTTGGTAAATTAAAATCAACAAAGTATCACTAAATGAAGCGTAAATTAAATTGAAAGCAGGAAAACAGAGTTCCGGCGTCGCGACGGCGATGCGTCGGCGATGCACCGGAATCCTGAGCGTTCGGGAGGATCGTCGTGCAGTGTCCACGGCCTCGAAGGCTCTCCTTGGACAAAGACGACGTGGGCAATCTCTAGATAAAGCAGGAAAACAGAGTTCCGGCGTCGCGACGGCGACGCGTCGGCGATGCACCGGAATCCTGAGCGTTCGGGAGGGTCGTCGTGCAGTGTCCACGGCCTCGAAGGCTCTCCTTGGACAAAGACGACGTGGGCAATCTCTAGATCTTCTCGCGAAGTCTAGAGACCAATGAAGTGGGTCGTCGAATCGTCTCCGGCGGCTGTCACCCGGCGGAGCGGAAAAACGGCGACTTTGCGGCTCTCCGGCGGCTGTCACCCGACGGAGAGGGGCTGGATGGAGGTGAGGCGCGTGTTAGGGAGCTTCATCCTCAGGTCCGCGCAGCAAGAGGAGGCTCTTCATCGCATCTGGTACGCTCTCAGGAGGTGGCGACTGGTCTCCCGGCGGATCGTCCTCTTCCCGACGACGGCTTGTTCGTCGATCAATCGGAGATGATTTACTCGATGGATTGCGATCCTTTTATCGCGAATCGTTCAGAAATTTTAGTAGCAATGCTCCGCGAATCGCGTTGACGAGATTTTCGCCGATGATCCAGCGATTCCGGTTGCTTAATCCTTCACCGGCGATCTGCAGGAAAGTCGCGATAATCAGTTAAAAATATATGAATTTTGACACTGGGAGGATTCGAACCCGCGGCGGTCGCCCGCCCGTTACAAGCTGGATTTAGTCCCACATCGGTTGTGGGCGGATTATTCGGGCGAATATAGAGTAAAGTTAGCTTTGTAGGCAAAGTCCTCTCGCGTGTACGACCACTCCTTGCCCCACAGCCGGCTGGCCACCGGTGACGTGAAAGGGGAGTGGCGCACACGTGCCCCTACCGATCCAACCAAGCCGCTCGAGCCCCTGCTCGCGGCTACTCCCCGACTGCGCTTCCGACCCGCTTGCGGGCCCGGCTGGCCGGCGGATCCCCCATTTTGCAATATTTTTATTTTTATTTCTTGTTCTTCATTTATCTCAAAACTAAGACTGTAAAAATCGTATAAAATCACATAATTACCCAAAAATTCACGTTAATCAACTGAAAACCACTTTTCATGCTTTAACACAAATATAAGTCTATTTATCATGAGTTAAGGCTAAAACTATATTATTTACTGATTATTAACTCATGATAATGAAGACTTATCATGGAACTTCAGCTAGATGATAGATCTATTAAAACACCTAGGGGTCTCCTAGAACATGTCATTATCCATGTTAAAGGATGTAGATTTTTAGTGGATTTTCTGATTTTAGATATTTCTATTTTAGATCATCTTACTCATGCACCAATCATATTAGGACACCCATTTCTTGATATAGAAAAGGCAAATATTGATTGAAAAGATGTGATTATAAATATGAAATATGAAGGTCAAAATATCTCTTTAAATATTTCTAGAAGTTTAAGATTTTTTAAAAATGAAGATGATATTTATGAAGATATTAATTAAATTGATTCTTACTTAGAGGAATTGAATTATGCTCATCAAGTTGATCAATTAATTTTTCTATACCATGTTCATGCATTAGGTCAAAAATATTCTAGGAAAGAGGTATTAGATGATGACATAACATTAATGAAATCACGATAGACTTGTGTCTGGCTGAAGATGTTAAACTTAGCACTAATTGGGAGGCAAGCCAATAATTTTATTTTCATAGATTTTTTATATTTAATAAATTTAGAATTTAGTTGCTCCTTATTTCATTTTAATTTTACATCATACATTTATGTTTTACATGTTATACTTGCTGATTTATGAGTATATATATTTTGTTTCACATTTTAATTTGATAATAGATTTCATATCATTGAGGACAATTTTGATTTTAATTGAGGAGAGTAAAGAAACTTTAGTTAGATTTTTTTCATGAGTAATTAGCATAGAAAGAAAATTTAAAACTAGTATTGAGGAATTTATGGATTTCTACGTTTTTTCTATAAGATGGTAAATTCATTTAAGTATGAAGGTTAAAGTGTGTTAGATTTAGTGACTTTAAGTGATAGAAAAAAATGTAGTATTTTTAGATTATATCTTGATGATCACGAGCCAGATGTTATAAATTTGCATTTTGAATTAGTATGAATCATGAAGTTGGATGTGATAAGATTGAAATTGTATAAAAATTATTAAAAGTTAGACATTCTTAGTATGAGGAATCCTAGGTAGTTGACCATTTGTCTTATATATATATAGAAGAAGAAAAATCATGATATGATAGAATGTAAGACCCAACTCACAAAATATATATATATATATATATATAGGGATTTTTCCCTTGTTCCATAGACACTTTTCTATATGTGAGACTAGGACAAGAATAATAAAAAAAAGTGAGTGCAAATGCTTCTATGGGGATTTCCCATTTATCAGGTGGAGGCTTTCCACATGTGAGATTTAGATATGAAAAAGAAGCTATATGGGGAAAACTGCCTATCTATGATGTTTATAATAATAATAAAAAAAGACAAATGGAATATGCTACTTGGGTGCGTGAATTTAGAAGAGAAGGCTGAAGATAGTTTGAAAACTTGAGTAAACTTTTGATCATTTAATTAGTGATTTTCTAAAATGAAAGATGTTGAATTTCATGCATTGAAGAGAATGAAAGTCAAGATGAATATTTTTTGAAATAGTTTAGTTGTATATGGAAATATTTTTTAATTTTGATCTTGTAGGAAACTATTTCGAATCACATGAATATTTGAATATTTATTTGAATGTCATCTCTAGTGGAAAAATGAGAAAATAAATGATTCATATAAAAGAATTAATAAATAGCTTTAACTTTGTGAGTCTTTTGCTTATTACTAGGGACTAGCAAAATTTGAAGTTGGGGGTATTTGTTAAAGTTAGATTTTTGTGTTTTAATTAGTTATTTTTATTTTTTAACTTATAGAATAAATATAGGATATATTGTTAATTTTAGAGGTTTGAAGTTAAAATAGTTTGCATAAGTATAAAAATATAAAATATAAAAATATACCTCCCATTAGCAAGTTGACACTTGACAGTTGCCCCAAAGGGGCACTATAGTGGAGTGAGTAGACCTAGACCAGGGAGCCACAAGCTAGGCTCAAGTGGCGAAAGACTCACTTTGTGCATGTGTGCGTCACTCTCCTACCATGTCTCGATGGCCAACCAGTTTTGGAGCAAGGAGCATCATACATGTGTGTGCACAAGGGTGGAGCACCTTTTTGTCTTCTACCAAGTTGATCTTGGGTATCATTTTATTTCGAGAGAAGAGATCTTTGATGAGAGAGGGTAACTTTGATTTATATTCAGCTTATATACTGAAATATTTCTAATGTGGGACTAAACCTTTTTGTGTGTCTTAGGGTAATCATCTAAAATGTGGTGTGATATAATAATATTCAGCGAGCCATGTCATTCGATAAGCCAAATTGTGCAGTAAGTAAGATGCCACAATGTCAGATGCGTAAAGCAATTCATCAATAGTTTGGAAATATAATATTACTTGATAAGTCTTCATTATCATAGGTTAATACTTAGTAAATAATATAGTTTTGGCCTTAAATCATGATAAATAGACTTATATTTGTGTTAAATTGTGAAAAGTAGTTTTCAATTGATTAATGTAAATGTTGACTAATTATGTGATTTTTTACAAATTTATATGATTTTTATAGTCTTATTTTTGAGATAAATAAAGAAAAAGAAATTAAAATAAAAATCTAGCAAAAGGGGGGGACTCACTAGCAAACCGGGCTTACAAGGGGGTCAGAAGCACAGTCAAGGAGAGCCGTGAGTAGTGGCTCGAGTAGCTAAAACCGATGAAACATATGTGTGCCACTCTCCTTCTACATCACTGGTGGTCAGCCGACTGTGGAGCAAGGAGTGATTGTACACATAGGAGAAAGAGACTCATTACTTGCAAATGTGATATTACTATATATTCATTCAAAACTTTGACGACAAGCGATCTAGGACTAAACCCAGGTCACACCTTCCCCCGAAAGGCTTCAAAGATTTTAATACTTAAACTATCCCTTCGTTATAATAGAGATATGTCATAATGATGTCACTTGATAAGGACATTAGAATACTTATTTCGATCTCTCTCATATAGGCAGACAATTGGTGAGGGTTCGAATTCTCTCAAAGCCAAAACTCATATTTTTATCTAATTATTACGACTTTCTTGCAAATCGCCGGTGAAGGATTAAGCCACTAGAATTGTTAGATCATTGGCGAAAATCTCGTCAATGTGATTTTTTAAGCATGGTTACTAAAATTGCTAAATAATTCATAATAAAAAGATCACAAATCCATCGAGTAAATCGTCTCCAATTGATCGACGAACAAGCCATCGTCGAGAAGAGGACGATCTGTCGAGAGACGAGTCACCACCTCTTGAGAGCATACTAGATGCGGTGAAAAGTCTCCTCTTATTGTGTGGACCTGAGGATGAAGCTCTTTGACACGTGCTCCACCTTCATCTAGCTCATCTCCGTTGGGTGACAGTTGTCGAAGAGTCGCAAAGTCATTGTTTCTCTATTCTATTGGGTGACAACTATTGGAAATGATTCTACAAGCTATTTCATTGATCTCTAGACTTTGCAAGGAGATCTAAAGATTTCTCACGTTGTTTTTGTCTAAGGAAAACCTTCAAAGCCATAGACACTACACGGCGATCCTCTTGAACGCTTAAGATTCCAGTGCATTGCCGATATATTACCGCCGCGACGGCAGAATTTTATTTTCCTACTTTCAACTTAATTTTTACTTCATTTAGTGATAATTTATATGATTGAAATTTAACAAGTTATACTTTATTCAATTACAATTCTTCTAGATTTTATAGATCTTGATTTGATCAATTAAATTGTATGTAATAACTTACATAAGATTTGCTAGGTGGAACTCTATTTTCCTTTAATTTGCATTCGTCATGCACAGACGTCATTTTGACATCCACAGTCTTATTTCTCTTTTTCGTGAATTTTAAATATATTTTATTTTCATTTCATATTATAAAATTTATAAAAACTTATATTTTTTGCTTCATTTAGTGATAATTTGTGTGATTTAAATCTACCAAATTATTTTTCATTCAATTAATATTCTTTCAAATTTTATAGATCTTAGTTTGATCAATTAAATCATTTGTAATCACTTATGATTTGTGCTCATTGGGTGCTGATGTCATCTTGAAATTCTCACCCTTATTTCTCTTTTTCATCAATTTTAAATATATTTTATTTTTATTTCTTAATCTAAAATTCATAAAAAAATTGTATTCTTTGAGAAAAATTTTAGAAAATTATCATATTTTTTGAAAGTTTTATTGAATTATAGTTGATATATTTGTTTAGAAATACTTCTAAATATCTGAAAATTAATATTTTTTAGTTTTATAAATTTAAAAATTTACATGATTTACTATACAACAACTAAGTCACATCATTACTCAACATGCACATGACCATAAATGATGATTCGACGGATAACAATGTGCCGTGGTACCAAGGACTTAAGTTCCTAGTTTGTAGTGATTCGTGGTTGGTTGATTCTACGTCACTCAATGTGCCACGTGACCAAGCACATCTGATCTAGTGGCTTATGAAGCACTACGATATTGAAAACTTAAGTTCTTGCATGTATCATCATTAGGGATATAAAAATAATAATCAATTATTATCTAGTAAACTAGATATTATTGATTATCTTTAAAATCTCGAGGGTAGTTGTGAATATAACAATCTGTTTCTCCCTCCTTTTGTGCGATCAATGCCTCTGACAATTGGCAAATTTGTTCCTTCTTCCCCCTAACTGCACTCAAGGCCTTTGGCGAGTGGTCAAGTCTTCCCTTCTTCCCCTTAGACAACATTGATAGTGTGGTCAACCTCTCTTTCGGCAGATCTCTCTGACAAGCGGCGCAACACTTTCGGGCTATACTTCTATGACTTCTAGTGTGGTGTGACACATCCAAACAAAATCAAGCTGCCACACCAGTGCTTCTAGTTTCCCAAGAAATAGACTAAATTTGGGTAACGATTTATTTCCTACTTTCAATATTTACATTACTAATTTTTGTCATTTATTTATATTTTATAATAAGTTATTTATATTTCATACATATTTCGATTGAAATGAGTAGAACTAATTCAAAACTTAATGAATGATTCTCATTCTTCTTTGAAATCCTCAGAAACTCATTTGAGATTAAGTTAAGATTATTTTCAACTTATTTTCTATTAATCTTCATAGTCGAATCTCAGCATATTCTTGTTCCTAGTGTTCTACGAATAACAAATATTTTCTATTTCTGAATGCAAAATCAGCGAGATTAAAGGCTACTTAATAATTGTTCAATTATTAAATCAATGTGGAATGATAAGTCTTCATTATCATGAGTTAATAATTAGTAAATAATATTGTTTTAGCCTTAACTCATGATAAATAGACTTATATTTATGTTAAAGTGTGAAAGGTGATTTTTAGTCGATTAACATGAATTTTTAGATAATTATGTGATTTTATACAATTTTTAGAGTCTTACTTTTGAGATAAATGAAGGAAAAGAAATTAAAATAAAAATATAGCAAAATGGGGGCTTGTCAACCAGCTAGGCTTGTAAACCAGACAGAAGTGCAGTCGAGCAGGAGCCGCGAGTAAGGGCTCGAGCGACTTGAACCGATGGGGACACATGTGCGCCACTCCCCTTCCACATCACTAGTGGCCAGCCGGCTGTGGGGCAAGGGCTGGTCATACACACGCGAGAAAAGGATTTGATTGGGAATGTAATATTACCTTATATTCACCAGAAACATCGGCGCACAATCAATGTGGGACTAAACTTGCGTCAACTTCCCTAGTAAGGGCGGGGCAACTGGCACAGGTTCGAATCCTCCCAAAGCCAAAACTCATAAATTTTTATCTGATTATCACGACTTTCCTACATATTGCTGATGAAGGATTAAGCAACCAGAATCGCTGGATCATTGACGAAAATCTCATCAACGTAATTTGTAGAGCATTGTTACTAAAATTGCTAAACAATTCACGATAAAAGGATTGCAAATCCGTCGAGTAAAGCATCTCCAATTGATCGACGAACAAACTGTCATCAGAAAGAGGATGATCCACCAAGAGACAAGTCACCACCTCCTGAGAGCATACTAGATGCGATGAACAGCCTCCTCTTGTTGCGCGGACCTAAGGATGAAGCTCCCTAACATGCGCCCCACCCCCATTCAGCTCCTCTCAATCAAGTGATAGCTGCCGGAGAGTCGCAAAGTCACTGTTTTTCCGATCTACTGGGTGACAGCCATCAGAGATGATTCAATGACCCATTTCATTGATCTCTAGACTTCACAAGGAGATCTATAGATTGCCTACATCGTCCTTATCCAAGGAGAGCCTTTGAGGTTGTGGAAATTGCATGACTATCCTCCTAAACAATTAGAATTCTGGTGCATTACTGACGCATCGCCACCACGATGTCAGAATTCTATTTTCTTGCTTTCAACTTACTTTACACTTCATTTAGTGATAATTTGTTGATTTTAAATTTACCAAGATATACTTTATTTCATTACGATTCTTCTGGCTTTTATAAATCTTAATTTGATCAATTAAATCATCTGTAATTGCTTATGTAAGAATCACCGGGCGGAATTCTATTTCTGTCGATTCACATTCACTGGGCACTGACATCATCTTGGCGTCTTCACTCTTATTTTCTTTTTTTGTGAATTTTAAATATATTTCTTTTTTATTTTTTAGTATAAAATTCATATAAAATAGTATTATTTGAGGAAAATTATGAATAATTACTAGATATTACATCCTTATGATCGACTTGGAAAATTATCACTATTTTTTGGGAATTTTATTGAATTATAATTGATATATTTGTTCAAAAATACATTTAAACATCTGAAAATTTATATTTTTTAGTTTTATAAATTTTAGATTTGCATGACTTAATATACAATGACTAAGTCACGTCATGGAGACATTCATGGTTGACCTCATTTCATGTGTATGAATTTTCAAGTACACATTCCTTTGAGAATAATGGTCACCATGGAAACGGGTTGATTGTATTTCTCTCTTTCTTTATTATCATCTTTTTTCTCTCTTTCCCTCTCTCGTGAGACCTCTTCTTCTCTCTTCATCTCTCGATTGATCTCTCCCTTTGTCTCCCTCTCTCTTCTTCTCTCTCCCTCTCTCTAAGAAGACCTTTCTCTCTCTCCATCTCACATAAGATTTCTCTCCTCCTCTCTCTTTCTCTCTCTTTCATGAGAGATCTCTTCCCTCATCCTTCATGAGAGCTTTCTCTTATCTCTCTCTTTTCCTCCTTTTCTTCACTTCCCTTCCATTATTCTTATCATCTCACCCTTCTATTTTATTATTTTCATTAAATATTAATAAGATATTAAAATCACTTTATATATAAACTAAATTAGTTTTTATGACGAATTAATCAATCTCCTTGAGTTCAACTTGAGACTTACTTTTATATTACTATTCTATTAAGTCTTAGTTATAAATATTATTAGAATGTGCATTTAAGTACAATGACAAGTGCACATGAATTTTCAACCACAAATGTCAATTAATAAGTTCTACTTTTTTTTGAAGATTAATCTAGAATCTCTCTTCTACATTCACATCTCAAGGATGCCACACCATTGTTTATCAGTCCTACCTCCTATAAAATTTCATTTTGTATTTTTTTCTAGATTTACGACTCTAGGCAGTCACACTATTATTACTAGAGACAATTCTCAACCATGATAAATAATATTTTACTATCACATTTATCTAATAAGAAATAATAAATAAATTATTGTGAGATGATTTCCAAAAGATGATGTTGACTTAGAGTGCATTCGGAATGTTGATGAAATGATGATGATCAAAATATTGATATTTGTTGTTCTCTTCTTGGAAAGATGTTGACTGAAGATGGAAGGTGTTGGTTGTTGACACGACTTAGTTGTTGTATATTAAATCACACAAACTAGAAAATATGAATTTTTAGTTATTTAGAAGTATTTCTGAACAAATATATCAACTATAATTCAGTAAAACTTTCAAAAATAGTGGTAATTTTCCAAGTCAATCATAGTAATGTAATATAATATCTGGTAATTATTCAGAATTTTCTTCAAAGAATATTATTTTTTATGAATTTGATTCTAGGAAATGAAAAAGAAATATATTTAAAATTCACAGAAAAAGAAAAATAAGGGTGTGGATGTCAAGATGACATCAGCACCCGACGAATGTGAATTGAATGAAAACAGAGTTCTACCTGATGATTCTTATGTAAGCGATTACAAATGATTTAATTGATCAAATTAAGATATGTAAAAGCTAAAAGAATTGTAATGGAATGAAGTATATCTTAGTAAATTTAAAATTAAAAAATTATCACTAAATGAAACATAAATTAAGTTGAAAGTAAGAAAATAGAGTTTCGGCGTCGCGACGGTAATGCGTTGGTGATGTACCGGAATCCTAAGCGTTTGAGAGGATTGTCATGTAATGTCTATAACCTCGAAGGCTCTCCTTAGACAAGGACGACATGGATAATCTCTAAATCTCCTTGCGAAGTCTAAAGATTAATAAAATGAGTCGTCAAATCGTCTTTGGCAGCTATCACTTGATGGAGGGGAAAAATGATGACTTTGTGGCTCTCCAATGGCTGTGACCCGATGGAGAGGAGCTAGATGGGGGTGGGGCGCGTGTCAGGGAGCTGACGTGACTCAGTCGTTGTATATTAAATCACGCAAATATAAAATTTATAAAACTAGAAAATACGAATTTTCGAATATTTAGAAGTATTTCAAAATAAATATATCAATTATAATTCAATAAAAATCCCAAAAATAGTGGTAATTTTCCAGGTCGATCACAGGGATGTAATATAATATCTGGTAATTATTCAGAATTTTTCTCAATGAGTACGATTTTCTTACGAATTTTATACTAGGAAATAAAAAGGAAATATATTTAAAATTCACAAAAAAAAGGAGGAAATAAGGGTGCGGACGTCAGGATGACGTCAGCTCCCGGCGAACGCGAATCAGGCGGAAACATAGTTCCGCCCGGCGATTCTTACGTAGGCGATTACAGACGACTCAATTAATCAAATTAAGATCTGTAAAAGCCGGAAGAACCGTAGTTGAACGAAGTATAGTTTGGTAAATAAAAATCAACAAAGTATCACTAAATGAAGCGTAAATTAAATTGAAAGCAGGAAAACAGAGTTCCGGCGTCGCGACGGCGATGCGTCGGCGATGCACCGGAATCCTGAGCGTTCGAGAGGATCGTCGTGCAGTGTCCACGGCCTCGAAGGCTCTCCTTGGACAAAGACGACGTGGGCAATCTCTAGATAAAGCAGGAAAACAGAGTTCCGGCATCGCGACGGCGATGCGTCGGCGATGCACCGGAATCCTGAGCGTTCGGGAGGGTCGTCGTGCAGTGTCCACGGCCTCGAAGGCTCTCCTTGGACAAAGACGACGTGGGCAATCTCTAGATCTTCTCGCGAAGTCTAGAAACCAATGAAGTGGGTCGTCGAATCGTCTCCGGCGGCTGTCACCCGGCGGAGCGGAAAAACGGCGACTTTGCGGCTCTCCGGCGGCTGTCACCCGACGGAGAGGGGCTGGATGGAGGTGAGGCGCGTGTTAGGAAGCTTCATCCTCAGGTCCGCGCAGCAAGAGGAGGCTCTTCATCGCATCTGGTACGCTCTCAGGAGGTGGCAACTGGTCTCCCGGCGGATCGTCCTCTTCCCGACGACGGCTTGTTCGTCGATCAATCGGAGATGATTTACTCGATGGATTGCGATCCTTTTATCGCGAATCGTTCAGAAATTTTAGTAGCAATGCTCCGCGAATCGCGTTGACGAGATTTTTGCCGATGATCCAGCGATTCCGGTTGCTTAATCCTTCACCGGCGATCTGCAGGAAAATCGCGATAATCAGTTAAAAATATATGAATTTTGACTCTGGGAGGATTCGAACCTGCGGCGGTCGCCCGCCCCTGAAGGTTTAGTCCCACATCGGTTGTACGCGGATTATTCGGGCAAATATATAGTAAAGTTAGCTTTGTAGGCAAAGTCCTCTCGCGTGTACGACCACTCCTTGCCCCACAGCCGGCTGACCACCGGTGACGTGGAAGGGGAGTGGCGCACACGTGCCCCTATCGATCCAAGCAAGCCGCTCGAGCCCCTGCTCGCGGCTACTCCCCGACTGCGCTTCCGACCCGCTTGCGGGCCCGGCTGGCCGGCGGGTTCCCCATTTTGCAATATTTTTATTTTTATTTCTTGTTCTTCATTTATCTCAAAACTAAGACTGTAAAAATCGTATAAAATCACATAATTACCCAAAAATTCACGTTAATCAACTGAAAACCACTTTTCATGCTTTAACACAAATATAAGTCTATTTATCATGAGTTAAGGCTAAAACTATATTATTTACTAATTATTAACTCATGATAATGAAGACTTATCAGGAGCTTTACCCTTAGGTTTGCGCAATAAGAGGAGGTTCTTCATCACATCTGGTATGCTCTCAAGAGGTGGCGACTCATCTCCCGATGGATTGTCCTCTTCTCATTGACGGCTTATTTGTCGATCAATTGGAGATGCTATACTTGATGGATTCGTCATCCTTTTATCACGAATCGTTCAGCAATTTTAGTAATAATGCTCTGCGAATTACGTTGATGAGATTTCACTAATGATTCAACGATTCTAATTGTTTAATCTTTCACCAGCGATCTACAAGAAAGTCACGATAATCAGATAAAAAATATAAATTTTGGCTCTTGAAGGATTCAAACCTATGCCAATTGCCCCGCCCCTTCTGAGAAAGGTGTGACGGGGGTTTAATCCCTCATCGGTAGTGCGCCAGATTTTCGAACGAATATATAGTAATATTACATTTTAAAACAAGTCCCTTTCTTGCGCATGTACGACCACTCCTTACCCTACAACTAGTTGGCCATCGGTGACGTGGAAGGAGAGTGGCGCACACGTGTCTCCATCAGGTCAAGCCACTCGAGCCCCTGCTTGTGGCTCTTGCTCGACTGTGCTCCAACCCACTTGCAGGCCCGACTAGCCGGCAGGTCCCCCCCATTCTACTTTTTTTATTTTAATTTCTTTTCCTTCATTTATTTCAAAAGTAAGATTGTAAAAATCATATAAGATCACATAATTACCTAAAAATTCACGTTAATCAACTAAAAATAACTTTTCACACTTTAACACAAATATAAGTCTATTTATCATGAGTTAAGGCTAAAACTATATTATTTACTAATTATTAACTCATGATAATGAAGACTTATCAGTTGTCCTTTTGAATTATTTGAGGTTGATCATTAAACAATTGAGTAATGCTCCTCAACTTAGTGCCTTCATGTAGGTTGACCAACTGACAACAATATCATGATGTCTCTAAGATATTTCTACATATAAACTTAATGCAACTTTAGAGGTTATGGTTGGGTTAAAAATAGTTGTTCAGCTCTAATTAGCCATTAGAAAGTTACTATATTTATAAAGAAAACTAATTTGAAATCTCCTCTTGTCTTTCATTATCTCATAACTATGCCCTTAATAAGTTTGGATATCTTCAAGAGAAAATAAATTATGTTTCTTTTAAAACACAATACAAATATTGGAATCATATCGACTTAATCAAAGACTTGTAAGGATTAAATATCATTAAACAAGGTTAATAGTAGATATCTTGATAAGATAATGATTTTGTAATCAAATCTTATGAGAATAACCTTAAATAAAATTTGATCATCAAGTTAACATCTTGAATCATTATCTAAATATTTACAATCATGATGTAGATGATTCAAGATATCTAAAATTTTACAAATGATATTATTTATATTTAAAATCATTTTTGATTGAATAATCCAAGTGAATTCAATCGATTGAAAGGATATATTACTCAAATTTTACTTCTTGGTGTCTCATTAATTTTGATGTGCTTATATTACTTTCTCACTATGACGTATTTCGTCAATATTAGCACTTTTCACAACAATATGCAAATGACAATTTCATATGATGAAATAATCAAATAAATCAATTCAACATTGATGATCAAAACTATTTTTAATGAATTATCATGTGAATATTTAATAATATGAAATTGAATTATATATAAACACTTCAATATTATCCTCATATCAAGCATATTTGGGATTAGACAATTTGATTTTTAATTGATCTTATGAATATTTGTCATTATCAAAAATTACTCATTTGATACTCTAACACTTTATTCTAGCTTTAAATATATTTATTCACTATAAATTTACAAAGATAGCTCTCCCATGATAAAGCACTCCTATCTCTATAATAATGCATCACATTTCACTTGAAAATATAAGTATTGATAATTTCACTTTAATAAATGAAAAATTAATTCTATTTCAATTTTCTCGTGTATTGAATGATGGGTGTCATGACAAGACCATACTTTTAGTCATTATGAATATGCAACAAAAAGTAGCAGAAGTACGAGAACTGCAAACTTCTACAACACTTTTCTATGTAGGGCACTCCTTGATAATTTCAATATTGATTATGAAGCCTAATAATACCATGCTTTTAGTCATTATTCTCTAATTCTTCATATTAATGTAGAGCTCTTTTTCTTGAAAAATGTTTTGTATTGCACTTAAATGTACAGAATGTTCTCTTTGTAATCCTATAAATAAATCAATATGATGTGAACTTAAACCACAAAAAGTGAACCAATAAAGGGTTTCCTCATCATCATGATCATAATAGTGTGTCATGAAGTATGTAAAAGGTCAAATTGAATAATCATCTATTAAAAAAGTATTCAAAGACAATCTTCTCTTTAACATTTAGGCATATTCTAATTTCGTAGCAACCACATTTCAAACAAACCTTTAACACACCTTATAATTAGAAAGCATATCAAGCATATCTTAGGGTCATAGAATAATAAATTAATATTTTATTCATTGATTCCATGATTAGCAATACATGTGTCAGCTATGGTCCTTTAATGTTAAAGTAAGTGCAAGTGATGTCAATTATCTCATATTGAACTTGATCTATATATGATTTAAATAAAAAAAAGTTAATAAGATATTTTCCTATATCTTTTGTAGTAAAACCATTTTTAATCTACCCGATTTTTCTTGGATGATAGTCTCTTAATTTTTGAACCATTTTTGAAAAAAAATAATCATTTTTGTCATTATCAAAAATAATGTCATTTAGTTTTCTATTTGCTGTACACCATTTTCACAAGTTGTTGGGATATTGGGGTTTCTCTCTCTTTGGCATGAGTATAAACCTTATGCCAACTAGTAAATTTGACATAATATCTCTCTTATCAACTTCAATAAATTCTTCATCGTAAAAATTAGTTGTAAAATCATTAGCACTTGAATGTTAACATTTTGAGATATTTGACTTGCATCCTTTTTTCCTATATCATTAGCATTTCTATTGACCAAATACTTCAACTCTACACTTCATTTCTGAATGTTATGTGATATTAGATTTCGACATCATTTATTATAACATACCCCTTGAATAAAAAGTATTACACCTTATGACATGGCTTAGTTTTTTTATTAAATCATGCAAATTAAATATTCATAAAATTAGAAATATTAATTTCTAAATATTTTGAAGTATTTATGAATAAATATATTAATTATAATTTAATAAAAAGTTCTAAAAATAGTGATAAATTTTCAAGTCAATTACATGGGTGTAATATAATTTCGAATAATATTTTATAATTTTTCGTATAGAATTTATTTTTTTATAATTTTAATACTAAAGAATGAAGATAAATATATTTAAAATTCATGAAAATTGATATAAGGGTGCGGATGTCAAGATGATGTCTATGGCCCGAAAAATATGAATTAGGCAGAAATAGAGTTCCACCTAGGAATTCTTACCTAAACAATTTTAGGTGATTTAATTGATCAAATGAAGTTTTATAAAAGCTAACATAATTCTAGTTCAATAAAAAATAGTTTCAAAACTTGAAATCACACAAAGTATCTATAATTTAAATAAAAATTATGTTAAAAGTAAGAAAAATAGAGTCTCAATCTTCCGACATTGATTGTTGAAATTCTATATTTGTGAGGATTATTGAGTGATGTCCATAGTGTTAAAAGCTCTCCTTGAATATGGAAGACTTAAACATTCTCTAAATCTCTTTTCAAAGTCAAGAAAATAATGTTAGAAGTTGAACTAGTTAAAAATAATAAAAAAAGATTCAACATCACGACAGTGATACATTAAAATCATGAACATTGGGGAGGGACTATTGTGTAATATTTATGACCTTAAAAGCTCCTTTTAGACATGAACAATGTGTGCAATTTTTAGATCTTCTTGTGAAGTCTAGAAATCAATGAAGTGAGTTGATGAATTATCTCTGGTAGTTGTAACTCGATGGAGATAAATTGAATGGAGGTGGAGCACATCTTATGGAGTTTTATCCTCATGTCCATGTACCTAGAGAAGGGTCTTCATCGCATATAGTACACTCTTAGATGTTAACAACTCGTCTTCCAATAGATCACCTTCTTCTTAACGACGATTTATTCATCGATCAATCAAAGATAATTTACTATATTGATTCAAGATCCTTGACATGACTTAGTCATTGTATAATAAACCACATAAATTTAAAAGTTATTAATCTAAAAAATACTAATTTTAAGATATTTAGAAGTATTTTTAAATAAATATATCAATTATAATTTAATAAAACTTTTAAAAATAGTGACAATTTTCTAAGTCAATTACATGAATGTAATATAATATTGGGTAATATTTTAATTTAAAAAAAAATATTATTTTTTATAAATTTTAGACTAAGAAACTAAAAGATATTTAAAATTCATAAAAAAGAAAATAAGGGTGTAGATATCATGATGACGTCAATGCTTGACGAATACGAATCAAGCAAAAATTGAGTTCTACTTGACAATTCTTATGTAAGCGACTATAAATGATTTAATTGGTCAAATTAAGATCTATAAAAGCCAAAAGAATCGTAATTGAATGAAGAATATCTTAAAAACTTAAAATCGCACAACATTTCACTAAATAAAGTAAAAGTTAACTTGAAAGTAAGAAAGATAGTTTCGACCTTGCAATAGTGATCACTAGAATTCTATATGTTCAAGATAATTATCATGCGATGTCCATGGCCTCAAGGGCTCTCGTTGAATATGGACAAATTGGATATTTACTGGATCTCTTTTTAAAACCTAAAAAATGATAGTGGAAATTAAACTAATTAAAAAATGGTAAAATAGAATTTCAATGTCATGACGATAATATGTTAAAATATTGAGTATTCAAAGAGATTGTTGTGTAGTGTCCTTATGCAAAGGCTCTCTTCGAGTAAAGATGATGTGGACAATCTCTAGATCTTCTTGTGAAGTCTAGAGATTAGTAAAATGGGTTGTTGAATCATCTTCGGTGGCTATCACTCGACAAAGCGAAAACATAATAACTTTGTGGCTCTCTGACATATGTCACTTGGCAAGGAAGAACTTGATGGAGGTGGAGCATATCTTAGGGAGATTCATCCTCAGGTCTGCACAATAATATAAGGCTCTTCATCACATATGGTACACTCTTAGGAGGTGACGACTTATTTTTTGACAAATCGTCATCTTCCCGACGTCAGTTTGTTCATCGATCAATCAGAGATAATTTACTCAATAAATTTGTGATCCTTTTATCACGAATTGTCTACTAATTTTAGTAATGATGTTCTGTGAATCACATTAATAAGATTTTAATGATGATTGAGTGATTCTAGTAGCTTAATCCTTCACCGACAATTTGTAAGAAAATTATGATTTAATTAAATAAAAATATGAATTTTGGTTCTAATAGGATTTGAACCCTCACTAATCGTGCACCTATATGAGAGAGAGTGAAATGAGTATGTAAATACCCTTATAAAGTGACATCATCATGATAACTATTGTTGATAAATAAGAGATATTTAAAGTACAAAAATTATTAAAATATTCTAGAAAAAGTGTGACTGGCATTTAGTCTCACATCGATTACATGCTGAATTTTTAATGA